ATATAACAGCTATAGGTAATCAGGTCAGTAATATAACAGCTGGCAGTAATCAGGTCAGCAATATAACAGCTGTAAGTAATCAGGTCAGTAATACAACAGCTGTAAGTACACAGGTCAGTTATATAACAACTATAGGTAATCAGGTCAGTAATATAACAGCTGTAAGTAATCGGGTCAGCAATATAACAGCTGTAAGTAATCAGATCAGCAATAAAACAGCTGTAAGTAATCAGGTCAGTAATATAACAGCTGTAAGTAATCAGGTCAGTAATATAACAGCTGTGAGTAATAAGGTTGGTAATATAAAGGTTGTAGGTAACCAGGTCAGTAATATAACAGCTGTAAGAAACTACAAAACAACCTCAGGGCTACGATGACCGTAAGCCTATGTTAAATCAGGTCAGTAATACAACAGCTGTAAGTAATCAGGTCAGTAATATAACAGCTGTAAGTAATCAGGTCAGTAATACAACAGCTGTAAGTAATCAGGTCAGTAATACAACAGCTGTAAGTAATCAGGAAAGTAATATAACAGCTGAGTGACCGAGTACAACAAGCATATGTTCCTATTTCAACCTAGAATCCCTATTGGGGAACAGTTTAATGAGTAACATAAGGGTCCAGCACTGGGGGCTGTTGTTTCTTGGAATGGAAACATAAATATCATCAATCCTTCACTTGTATACATGAGGTTCTATCATCACCAGTGATCGTTGGTGGTTCAAAAGAGAATCACAGATTCATTGTTTGGAAAAAGAATGTTGCATTATTGACAGAAGACACTTTTGTATTACATTCATAAACTCATAAACTAATTTTTTCTAGGCTCAAATGCACATCAAACTTCCAACATAATCAAGTTACACTCAATGGATAAATGATCCTCAACTGTCAACTATACTGGATTGATCAATGTGCATATAGGTAGCAGTGATGAAGCATTTAGTCATCCACAGCATGCTGTTTCAGGGGATGATGATTGATGAATGGGTGGAAATAGCTAGTTAATGTCTAGTAATCAATTAAATCATTCAAGGCTTCTGCCCTGCCGGTCTAGTCATAAACAATGCCTCAGCTTTGACCATCGTAACCCTCAGACATACTGTGACACGGTTTTACTCGATGCACAATGTGTGTCCAGTACACATAAATGTCGAGAATGGATGCAGAAAATGTAATACTGCGTCCCGAGGGACACACAATAACATTCATTGTACCTACAGCGCATCAAGAGCAGTTATGGGTGTCTTGTTATTTTTAACCCATCAATCATGACCACTGTCTACATGATCATTGGTTGAGTCCAGTCTGTAAAGTAGGTATCTTAAACATAAAGTACACTACACCATTTCATTAATTTACAGGATCCTCATATTGCCTGCAAGAACCTTTAAACTTAATTATCGCAGGTCCCCTGAACCTCCTCTTTTGTAGAACCCTGCTGTGATACATCATCTTAACGTAGAAGGAAACTATCTTGACAAGTCATCATTGTTTCCCACCAGTATTTTATGAAGGGTGGTATAATACACATGTATTTAAAAAAGCAACCTGTCAGTTGCAGACACAAGTTATTCCCTGCATTACACATTATGTCAATAAACTTAATGTAAGAGGGTCCATAATATTATTAATAAACCAACTTTTGAAATTATCATACAATCAATCCAGCCATAGAAAATATCTGGAGTGAGTGAGCACGGTTGCAAAATACTGGCCCCAGTCTTGATAACATATAAGTACCCCAACTGAGAAAATGAAATTCTGCTGTCATCAGCATATTCCTAACACACACAAAATTACTTGAACTAGACAAGTTTCTTTTTTGTAATCTGTTAAGACATGCTGAAGCCACACCCCTCACGACACACTCTTCCTAACTGTCAGTACTCCCATCAACAGAACCCATGTATCATGGCATTAGGTACCTCTAAAGCTAGCAAATCACTTCGGGAAAATACTAAATTGTGGTAATTTGTCCTATAAACAAGTTTAAGGGCTGAAGAAAACACATACATACTATGGCACATCTTATAAAGGTTTGAAGGGGGTGGCAGCATATCAAAAATAAAAAAGGGACATTTCTAAAGTAACTTGTGATCGGATAACATTTTGTTCACATCGTAATATTTACCGAGGTTCAGTTCCTACAATAGTAAATTCAATACATTTATGAATCAACAGTTTTCTTCCAAGTCACTGTCTCCTAAGACATCAACATTCAAACACAACAAATAACAAAATAAACTTTCATACTGGGTCCGAAGTTACTTATACCACCCTGAAATTAAAACGATGACAACAGAACTTTTTGGATTTGAAACGGTGTATATAATTAAAGAAAAAGGCACCAAAGGTTCATACCATGCTCGTACATAAACTGCCATATTATTGCCCTTCATGATAGCCCATCTGGAATACTTTACAAAACACTAAATGTCACCAGCTGACTTACCCAATCTGTCCACCATTTTGAATGTTTTCTGAGTCACAAGGATACGCGATGTCCCAGAAGAAAATTAGCAGGTCCGCTATGAGGCGAATAGAGTAGTTTCCCTTGAACCACAGACTTGAAAAGAGATGGTCTCTGTAAATGGCCTCAGGTCTCGGTTTACATGGGTGCGGAATATATATATTTGGATAAGGAATTTTACGAAACTCTTTTCCCTAGTCTTATTCGAGAAAAGTATTTTTAAATATCAGAAATATCATATGCACATTTTATATAACTTTAATGTGTGTAGAAGGCCCCTTGTCAAATGTGTTTGTGCAAATCATTGGAAAAGAGGTCTTATATCATGTACGTAGACACCCTGATTTTGAAACATAGATTTGTTTTACTGTGGTTATGAAGTAAACTAATGGCGGCTATTACCATTTATTATTATCGGAACTTTCTCTGCAGCACCTAAAATATCCTCATCTGTGTACCTTTCAACTAATTTACTCTCAGCAGGATCAAACAGATAATGAAGCATCTATTTCAACAACTATCCCCCAAACACAAAGAAAACATATGTAACGGTCCGCAGAAAATCCGGCATGTCAGTCCTTCCAAATGGACAAAGATAAAGTTATCTGGGGGTGCAGGCTAAAACGGCACCTCAGCAAAACGTCGGGCGAAAACGGCAGCTCTATTTTTACTAACGATAAGAGCGATTTATGTAGTGGTATATATGCTTTATTTACATGCTTTATTGTGTAATGTTGCAGTATTTATGCTTTATTTACATTGTCTTGTCTTCCACAGTTATTCACAGATTTATAATAAATAATATATATATATTATACAATAATAAATAAATGCACTTTGACATTGAGTTGATTTGAGTAAAGGTACTTAAAACTTCAAAGTATGTGATGTTTTCACAATAAGTTTATTGGCACCTCCCAATCAGAGTCGGCGAGTAAGTTGGAGTAGATGCTAATTTCTACTGTAAACTTGTTTACAATAATTGTTCTTTGTGAATTTGTTCGAGAATAGTTAGTTCCCTCTACGTGGCACAATTTCGATTACCGTTTATCGTCAGTCCTTCAATAGTACTGGGAGTTCATTCATACCGGGACCGTGAAGATCCGGGGTAGAACAGGTCTTCAGCAATCCATGCTTGCCGTACAAAGACGATTATGCTTGTCGTAAGAGGCGACTAACGGGATCGGGTGGTCAGGCCCGCTTACTTGGTTGATGCATGTCATCGTATCCGAATTGTGTGGATCGTTGCTCATGATATCAACCACCGGATTGTCTGGTCCAGACTCGATTATTTACAGACCGCCGTAATATATAGCTGGAGTATTGCAGAGTACGGCATTAAACAACAAACAAACAGAAAACAAAAAAAATCATTTATACCGGACGGTCCTGTATAGATTCCAGGAAGGCGTACATTTCTGTAGTGAAGGTTGACTCGGTGTTTATTTAACAGACACTTCTACTTTTGCGTTCGAAGGCAAGAGTAATGCTTTTTGTTTGATTTAAACATATTTTATTGACAAGGTTTTAATTTGTTGATCTATATCAATAGTAACACTTACACACTTTTTAATATGTATATGATGTGTGTGTGCGTGCGTGTGTGTGTGAGAGAGAGCGAGCGTGTGTGTGTGTGTCTTAGGGAATGTGTTCGTGAGAGTGTGTTTGTGGGTGTGAGAGAGAGTGTATGTGTGAGTGTTTTTGCGCGCGTTTGTTTCTGTGAGTGGCAGTTTTCGCGTGCATGTTAGAAAGTGTGTATGCGAGCGTGCGTGCGCGTGTGTGGTATGTGAGAGTGTCTGCGTGCGCGTGTGTGGTATGTGAGAGTGTCTGCGTGCGCGTGTGTGGTATGTGAGAATGTCTGCGTGTGGGTGTGGAATTCAACCGCTGTAGCCATAACCTTGGTAATAATTTTAGTAATAGTCAAAGTAAAACAGAATCGGCAGTCTGCAGGTGTATTTGTGTATTATTTTACAAAAATAATAATTAAAAACTATTTAACAATTAACATACCATGAGTTTCACCTCGGAGTCTGTCGGCCCTTACATCATTTTTGGGTGGGTTCCATTAACTGTCCCCACGAGAGCTGCAGTGCAAAGGTATCAATTTCTTGACCCATATATATACTGCATATGGCTTCTTTATTGGATTAATTAAAATGGTATTTAAATATTCGGTTACTATGTTTTGTGCTTGTGTTTTAAGGTGTACTAGAATATGAAATACTCACCGAATGTTTTATAAATGCCAACCCGCATAAACATATTAAATTACAGAGTCGTTTTTTGACAACTTGCTGGAAGTTCCGCTATGAGTCGTTTAAGTCATCGACTTCTACCATAATCAGTGCGTTAGCGGGTACCTTGTGTCAGTGAATGTCACAACATTTTGTACATCAAAATTAACATCACCAATTTATGGCTGAATGTTGATAAGTTTCTTCGGAACTCCCCACATCATTATAAACACGATTACAAATTTATTTAGTGGTACGGAGTTGTGTATGAGTTATCTTCCCAAATCTTTCGCTGGTGCATTACGTTTATTGCTGGTCACATGATCTTGAGTTGAGGTGACATACGGACATCTACCGACTAAACATCGAATATTACAATGGCTTGTCCGATCTGTGGACCGAAATTGTCGGCGTATTGCATGGTTCTGAGTGTATGGGCAATCATTATGTTGGTAAGTGTAACATGTGTTGGTATTTCTCGCTTGTAACAACGATAGGGTGTCGATACATATGAACGTTCGACCTCTGTTTTTCCGAAGAATTTGGGAATATGTAACTAGTGAATTTATTTAAAAGATCCATATATTTCAGTCAATATATTATAAAAATTGATATTGATTTGTGAATTTGAGAATGTTTACCTGGTCATATTTCTTAATGTACCCGGTAAGGGCAAATGTAGTGTGTTTATTTTAGCACACATGATAGTCAACACATGTGACGACAGAGATATGTAGACAGGATGTAGGTCACGGTGAAACCCTAAGAACCTAACCTTGTGATGGCATGAGGACATGTTTATCCTGTATATCTTCACTCAGTGTCCTGGAGTGGGAATAACTGTGCTGTGCAAGTCTGTATGACAGCTGATGACATGCCAGTTAACTACAGGGTAGAGCAGGGTTTCAGATCGGTTCTTATTCCAGACATTTGCAGATGATACTTTATGTATGGTATCAAAATATATATATATCCCTTTTCAACAATGATCATGATAAGATAGTGCTCATCTTTTGATCATAGTGATATTATCAAACTTGATTGCAGATAAGGTTATTGGCATGATGCCCCTTTGTTTATTATTCAGCTGTTTGATAATGATAGCAGTAAATAACATTTATATAGATAAGTAAACAATAACACAGAACAATATATATATATATATATATATATATATATATATATATATATATATATATATATATATATAATCTAGATGTGTATATCTTCACTCAATGTCCTCGAGTATATATGTATATATATATGGAGTATATATGACAAATGTAGTGTGTTTATTTTATCATATATGATCGTCAACACATGTGACGACGGAGATATGGAGACAGGATATAAGGTCAGGGTGAACCAGTAACAATATATAATATCTATTTTATAAGTGTCTATGTAGGTAGGCTTTTGTTGTTGTTGAGTTATTAAATATTATAGATGTGTAGTAGAAACGAAATGTTTTATTTGTAGGGTCTGCTCGGTCTGTTCTTTTACATCCGAAGCCCAGCATTGTTTGAAGACATTCCTTTGGGAGACTGGGAGAAGAATAACTACACCTACAGCTATGTGAAGGAGAAGTACGAGCAGAATGCCATGAACTGCTGGATCGCTGCCGGCCTCTACTTCCTCCTCCTCATCTTCTCCTTCACACAACAAAGAATGAACTCCCGAGCTAACTATGAGCTGTCATAGACAACAACAACAACAACATGTACATTCTGGAACCCAAACAAGTATCAATGCGGACAAGATGCCTGGGTTGGTTCAATTTGATAAAGTGAAGTCTAGCAAACCCAAGAATCCATGAAACATCAGCAGATATGAAAGATAGTTTAGTTGCAGTAGGAGTCAAGGACTTATTAATTGTATGTAATACATTGTTGACATATCCCACTCCAAGATGTAGCCAAGAACAAACTTGTGTATTACTGTCAATCAAAAGGAAGGAACTGGGTTGACTTGTATATAACCAATACTAAATATTTGTTTCAGTTGTTTATGGTTATGCAATTCTTATAATTGTATGCTGGAAAAAAACAACTAAGTACTCTCTGCTCTAGCCTGAAATATATCATCATGAAAAATAAGTTGCACTGTCAACAATTCAAAATTTGTATTCACCCAAAGGCTGTCTTTAGCATCAGGCATATTGTTTCAGTGAAGAGCTATGAAAATATATTTGAGAAATGCATTCTTTAGTGATGATTATCATAATGTGTCTATGTGGAAACGTTTTATTTAGATGATACTAGATCTGTGTAGTAATCTGGGGAGAAATGTCCTCTTAATAGCAAAAAGAGTCTCCATCAGTTGTCAAAATTTTAGGTCAATATTAGCATGATTAGTGCATCTCTAGTAATCTTGTGGTGTCGGTACATTCCATGGCATGTTTATGCTTTAGATGGGAGAAGTTGATTGTGATCACATGTTTAATGCTGACTTCCTGTATATATGTGGTGCATAATTGTGTATACAAGTGATTGCCTAGTAAATCAAATTATCATAATCTTTCATTGATGTTAATTTTTTCCTAAAAATGTCAACAATTTAGAACGAGGAAAATTATGTCAAAGGGCTATTTACACTGTTAATATTCTCTTTTCTTGGCAGTTTTGGTGTCTGAACTGTCACTAAGTGTCCGGTGAATGTACCATCAACTGTTATTCTGGTAATATGAGGATAATAATAATGTACCTGTTAGACATGGATACAGATGACTTCTTCAACCAACAGGACAGCATTCAGTTAAAGAACGTTTTGTCCACTGAACCAAAACTTGTTTTTGGAGAAGATTTCAGTAGAATATTGTAATCACATTATGGATATACGCCAAGCTTACTAGACCAAAATACATTTTAGCAGACTCTGCTTCAAACTTGTGTCTGTATTATCAATGCTGATCTTTAGTTTCTGTCTTGTCGAATGTTTTTGTCTTTGATTGTTTTGCAATACCACCAATTTCACCTTCTTGTATTGCTTGTCTGCAAAGTCATCTGTATCATTTCAGAGTTCTGTTCATCAACCTAAATCATCAACAGTAATCAATATTTTAAAACGTGGTATGAGTTAGCTATTGCTTATTTCTGTAATGTTTTGTTGATTTGATGTCTGTGTTGTATTCTTGATGAGACATTAGGGGTGTGATGGTGAATTCACCTGGCAATCTGACACATGATACACTTACCCATCATTTGATTTATGTTTTATTTCTGTATCAGTTTTAAAAAGTAATATTTACGAACCTTTAGAATAACCCGGTCTGATAACTACAAAATGTTTAATCTGATTGATGCTTTAAGAAAAAGCCTAAGGCCAAATTGACCAGTCATGCAAGTACAGTACAAACTGGTTGAAAGCAACAATCTCTTGTTAGCTGGGCCTCATAGAAGATAATAAACTGTATAAATAAGTATCATGAAGCGTATCATCATGACAGAAGTACTGTGATATGTACCGATACTTGTGGTATGTGTATCATGGCACTCCCAGTAGATATGTCACGTCTGTCCTGTCAGTTTTGAGTAAAATCCAATCACCTGTTTCAGGTATGTTCATGTCCCACATTCAGACATTATTGTTTATGGAGAATGCAAATATGGCTGTGAATTAATATGAAGTTGTACATTTTGAACATCACATCATGACTATCATTATGGTGTATCAGTGTTTTTGAAGTCATGCAGAGTTGTGTCCCTTAGTTGCCAGGGTCTGCTGCTCTTAGTTTCAATCCGTGGTTCACCCTGAGTATGACAGGCCATGCTTGCTGTAAGAGGCAACTATGCTTCTCGTATGGGGTGACTAATGGGATCGAGTGGACAGGTTTGCTGATTTGGTTGATGCATGTCATCATATCCCAATTGCATGGATCATGTCAATCACTGGATTGTCTGGTCAAGACTCGATTATTTACAAACAGCTGTCATAGCTGGAATATTGGTCAGTGCGGCGGTAAACAACAAACAAAGGATCAAGATGACTTTTGATAACAAATGTTTACCTGTAAATTCTTCATGAAGTGCATGATTACATCACGTTTGAATAAATGTGAATTATTGTAACTGGCACTCTTGGCATCGTCATCATGTATATGAATGTTCTTTCGTCTTCTCTTGAGGGGCGGTCGGGTAGCCCAGTGTTTAAAGCTTTCGCTCGTCACGCCGAAGACCCAGGTTTAATTCCCCACATGGGCACAATGTGTGAAGCCCATTTCTGGTGTCCCCCGCCGTGATATTGCTGGAATATTGCTAAAAGTGGCGTAAAACCATACTCACTCACTCGTCTCCTATTGTACAGGATACACTGAATACTCAGTGATGTCTCTAGGTTTAATTCCTCAATAATTTGTATTAAAATGATACATACTTTATTTTAACTGATGTGTCTGTACAAAATGTACAGTTTCATGACATATTTAAGTTTTTGAGTCACTCTGTATGGGTAATGAAGAAGCTCCTGCTATGAGCTGATTCAGCAGTACGCGGAGACTTGTTCCTGTTGTATCATAGAACTATATAGAACAAATGTGTAATAAAGTATGGGTTATTTCAACTATGTGTTGTTTCTTTTCTCTGCCCATGCCCGACCGCCTCCGTGGTCTTGTGGTAGAGCGTCCGCCCGGAGAGCGGAAGGTCCAGGGTTCGATCCCGGGCAGCGTCATACAAAAAGACGTTAAAAGATTGTACTTGTTGTTACCCTGTCTGGCGCTCGGCATTAAGGGGCTAAAACAAGGACTGGTCGGCTCGGAGTCAGTATACTGTGTCTGAGTGGGGTATTCATGTTAAACTGCGGCATGGTATCTCAGTGAGCTAGCACTACAAATCGGCATCAGTCCGGACTAGTACAAGCAGCCACACACACACATACACGTGCATGCACGTCGCTATATAAGTGCAATAATCTTGGACGCGACGTTAAACCCAATTTCCCTTCACTTCACTTCTGCCCATGCCCACTTATCTGGTGAAGAAAAAGGACAGGAAGAATATTTACCTTTTTGTTTGTTAGATCAGATTGGTTCGAGATTGCCGATGAACGGAAAATCTACAAACTTCCCCCTTACATTCTGATCATATCAATTACATGATAGTTGTAATGAAACAGAAATTCAAATTAACAAACAAAGAAAATGATTATGCAGGGTTAGAGTATTCGGCATCACAGCATATCGCTGTGAGGAGCTTGTGTTGCCACAACCAAAGGGAGATAATCTCTACCCCTCCAGCAGTATTCCAGCACAGCATTATATATGGCACTGGATCACACATGCAAATTACATTCAGTTCATGCATATCACATCGGTAGAGTCATTATGACAAGAGGAGTTAGATATAACGTTTATTTATAATCTGGATACTTTTAACATTTCAGTTACAAATGCATTTAATATGAAAAATGGTTGACACTGACAGTAGTTTTTGAACATATTTACAACACATTGATAAAATACGCTTGGGTCTGATTTCACAAAGGCATCGTATAAATTGAACTGTCGTAAAGTTACGAGTTATGACAATGGTAGTGCCACGATGTCTTTGTGTTACGGCCCTGACTACTGTTTACGGATACACTTGCTGCATACAAGCTGTAGAATAATGACAACTACTGGTCCTAGTCGCTGACTTCATCATCAGCTTCTACTCAGGCACTCTTTATCACTGCGATGAATATCTCCATATATATCAATAATGTCTACTAATATATATATAAAAATAACAACTTTACGGTTTATTGTTTAACGCCGCACTCAGCAATATTCCAGCTATATAACGGCGGTCTGTAATAATTGAGTCTGGACCAGACAATCCAGTGATTGACAAAATTGGGACCGATGACATGCATCAACCAAGTCACCAAATCTGACCCCCCGATCCCGTTGGTCGCCTTATACGACAAGCAAAGTCGCCTGTTCTACCCTGGATCTTCACGGGCCAAAAGTCATCAGAAGATGACTCATCCCCCTGGCCCCTTCAACATCGAAAGAACAAATCATCTGACTGTTACTTTAAGTCCATCTTGATGAGAGAATTTCTATGTAATCTGTCTGTATACAAGAGTAGTTATTGAGCTTTCAAAACAATACCATGGAATTGGGATTCGAAACTTTGTATTTCTATGTCATGTACACAGCACTACGAGTCAAAATCAAACTTGTTTCCATGGAAACAAAACATAAATTATGATTCTAAAAATCCCTAAATAGCAAAAGGCACCAGTTGACAACCTGGTCTTTGTGTATGCAAAGTTTCAAGAAAGAGTATTGATTAGTTTTAGAGATATGGTCCGGACAAACACCACTATGAACTGAGTCAAAGTCATACTTGTTGCCATGGAAAGAGGAAAAAATTATTTTAAATTCCTGAATATGCAAAGGTGCCACTTTAGACCTTGATTAATACATGTACCGAGTTTCGAAGAAAAATGTTGAATAGTTTTTCAGATCAGCTCTGGAGACGACACCTACCTTCGTTTCAGCCAACGAAAAATTCTTAAACAGCAAAAGGCACCACTACAGCCCTTGATTAATACATTTACCAGGTTTGGATGAAAACTCTTTCAGTTTTCAAGTTGTGCTCCTACGCCCCCCGCCCTTTCCAAATTGTTTCTATGAAAATTGAGAAAAATAAAAATCCCCAAATAGCAAAAGACACTGCTTCAGGATCTGTTAGATATATCTGTTAAATATAAGTCTTATTGAAGGATATTGAATGGCTTTTGAGTTAGGCTCTGGAAACGAAATGATTACGGATGGACGAACAGACAAGGCGTCAACCATATCCCTCACATTATATTGCGGGGGATGCCAGGGATAATATAATCACATACTCACCACACATACGATAAATTCATTTCATACCATGTATACAGAACTCAATGAGAAGAATATACAGTACCCCTATTTGTGCCACCACATTGTCTTGATACAGATACAATAAACAATATTGGTATTTAGGCCAAACTTGAGGTATTTGTTGAATATACCAAGAAGAAGAGGTAAAATATGATAGAACACCACATCAATACTTGCTTTTATATCTTGATTGACTGTCATATTATTTCATTATTTATTCCTGCACCAGCCATTTAAATGTGAATTTAATCTTTCCTATGATCCTGAACCTAAATTGTTCCCGCACACGACTCATGGTCTATTTTCCTTCACTCAATCTCTCCCAAGCAGGTTGGTCCACTGTTAGTACCAAGATGCCGAACACCATATTTCAGCTGAACACAAGGGTCTGGAAGAATCGCAGAACACAATATCTGAGAATAACCTAACGATCTGGAGGACCACGTGTCAGCTTGCCGTAAGGATCTGGAGGAACCAACGTTGCAGAACGCCTACGTGTCAGCTTGCCGTAAGGATCTGGAGGAACCAACATTGCAGAACGCCACATGTCAGCTTGCTGTAAGGATCTGGAGGAACCAACATTGCAGAACGCCACATGTCAGCTTGCTGTAAGGATCTGGAGGAACCAACGTTGCAGAACGCCCACGTGTCAGCTTGCTGTAAGGATCTGGAGGAACCAACGTTGCAGAACGCCACATGTCAGCTTGCCGTAAGGATCTGGAGGAACCAACGTTGCAGAACGCCCACGTGTCAGCTTGCCGTAAGGATCTGGAGGAACCAACATTGCAGAACGCCACATGTCAGCTTGCTGTAAGGATCTGGAGGAACCAACATTGCAGAACGCCACATGTCAGCTTGCTGTAAGGATCTGGAGGAACCAACGTTGCAGAACGCCCACGTGTCAGCTTGCTGTAAGGATCTGGAGGAACAAACACTGACATTGAAGAACGCCATATTTCATATTCACAAAAAGGATCTAAAGGATCAGAGCTGTCGTAAAGGCAAGCACTGATAGTTTCTAGGTTGATAGGTTGCCATTAATTGCATTCTTCCTGGATGTAGGTTGCCATTAGTTTGTGTCCATCTCCAGTGGTGGTTGCCGTTAATTGCATCACTCTCCTTTGTGGGTTGCTATTCATTGCACCCCTCTGGGATGTAGGTTGCCGTTAATTGCATCCCTCTTGGATTTAGGTTGCTGTTAATAGCATCCTTCTCGGATTTAGGTTGATGTTAGGTTTTTCGATGAAGGTTGCCGTGAGGTAGTGTCTATCTCTTCTGTGCAGGTTGCACTGATTATGTCACTCTCTAATGCAAGTTGTGTCAACTGCATCTCTCTCCGATGCTGGTTGGAGTTAATTGCGTCCATCTCCTATGTAGGTTGCCGTTAGTTGCCTCCATCTCCTATGTAGGTTGCCATTAGTTGCCTCCATCTCCTATGTAGGTTGCTGTTAGGTGCACCCATCTCCTATGTAGGTTGCCATTAGTTGGGTCCATCTCCGATATAGGTTGCCGTTAGTTGCGTCCATCTCCTATGTAGGTTGCCGTTAGTTGCGTCCATCTCGTTCCTTCTCCTGCTGGTCCAGTTCATAAGCAGCCCGGTAGTAGACCACACCCTTGTCATCACGGTACTGCAGACGGGGGTTGGGGTGTGTGTTGTTCATACTTCCCAGGGACGTGTACCTGAGGTGGATAATAATACGAATAAGGGCCGACTACTTATGTTTTCCTTGAACACAGATGCCTACCCTTCATTTTGCAAAAATTATAAAGAAATAATTCATAAGATATAAATGCTGGTTGATTTAAATTATGCTTACTGCAATCATGGAAAGTATGGCGTGGCAGACCTAATGGGTGTATGTCCCACGAGAAGACACACATCCCTGGTCATTGAAACTACAGTATGGCAGATGGGCCGGGATGGGGGTGTATGGGAGGTGGTGTATGGGGGCTATGCTCCACAAGAAGACACTCACCCCCGGTCATAGAGACTACAGTATGGCAGATGGGGTGGGGTGGGGTGGAGGGGGTGTATGGGGGCTATGCTCCACAAGAAGACACTCACCCCCGGTCATACAGACTACAGTATGGCAGATGGGGAGGGATGGAGTGGCGGTGGTGTATTGGGGCTATGCTCCACAAGAAGACACTCACCCCCGGTCATACAGACTACAGTATGGCAGATGGGGTGGGATGGAGTGGCGGTGGTGTATTGGGGCTATGCTCCACAAGAAGACACTCACCCCCGGTCATAGAGACTACAGTATGGCAGATGGGGTGGGGTGGAGTGGAGGGGGTGTATGGGGGCTATGCTCCACAAGAAGACACTCACCCCCGGTCATACAGACTACAGTATGGCAGATGGGGTGGGGTGGAGTGGAGGGGGTGTATGGGGGCTATGCTCCACAAGAAGACACTCACCCCCGGTCATAGAGACTACAGTATGGCAGATGGGGTGGGGTGGGGTGGAGTGGCTGTGGTGTATGGGGGCTATGCTCCACAAGATGACACTCACCCCCGGTCATACAGACTACAGTATGGCAGACAGAAGGAGCGCAGGAATGTCCACACATCACTGTACTGCCACTCTAACAGCGGGTTAACTCTCATGAACTGTGGCCAGTCAGCGTCCGTCATGGAGAAAGACTCGAGGTGATCTGAAACATGTGCCAATGTTAGCATGAAGTCTGCAGTAACTTGCAACAATATGAGTTCTAATCTCAGTTCTAATCTCATGGCGGCCTCACACACGCAACAAAAGGTTAGAAAACTCAAAAACATTTGCTGACATGGGTTTTCACATTACAAATATGTGTTTTTACATACTTTCTCTTCACATCTCTCAAATTCTCACACCATTTTGTAGCAGACGTAATATCTACACAGTATGTTGTTAGTTGTAAACAAACAACACATGTCACCAACCATGCATGTTACGGGGGAAAACTACCTGCAACTAAAATAACAAGATATTGGAATATATTATTCCCTATAACAAAACACTTTCAGATACAATTTTTCACGATCCTTGCATCAAAATCCTTTACAGTTATACCATTGGGTAAGTTTTAACTGAATCACTTATAGATTCCAAGAAAATGTGTGTACAGCTGATTTCTGTTTCTGGGTTAGTTACAAGAAAATACACAGAGACAACTGTCAGTTTTCCGATACTTTAACATACATGTAGGATAAATGCATTCATCTTTAAACCTAACATAACATTAAATGTCATCAGTAATATTGTTACTATTTCTTCAAACTGTCCAAGAATATAACCCTGTGGTGACCCAACAACTTGGTTGTTGCTCAATATATTGACCAGTTGTTTGTCTAGGCTTGATTACTTACAGACTGCCTGGAATACTGTGGATTGCAGTGTTAAACAACAAATAAACTTACCCGAATATGGATCTGTACGTCTTGTTCCCATGATGACGGCCTTGACCCTGGGATGCTGCTCTTGAAGTTCACTCATACAATTTTTTATTCTACCATCAAATCTTAGCATTTCTAAATTATATCTGAAACAAATAAAATTATAACCTAAATTACACTGAATAATGACTAACATTCAGAATAAATTTTTTAACTGGTACGTATAGAGTGAGTGAGTGACTTAAAATTCGACATCACATTGGCACTATTTCAGTCATAATCTGATGAGAGAAAGTTATACACTAATAATAAATATATTCAGACTGTACAAAAACCAGTCCTCAAAGGACAGTATCTATAGATTATCACAGATTATATTTATAACTACATGTAGTTTGAGAACATTTAAAAGAATAAACTATCCTTCAACAAGTCTTTGAAAGGCATTTAGAAGTGATACACATAAGGAAGAGAATTTATGGATGTCAACTTCTTTATTATGAGGAACACAACATTTCAGAGTATATGCTTACTCCTTCATCAGGTGAATGACCTGATGGAAGGAGTAAGCATATACTCCGAAACATGTAACATCCATAAATTCTCATCTCTATATTCTTCAACAATCATGCATAATGATACATATGGACTTGCATACTAACACATGGAAGTAGTGAGTGGGTGAGTTGGGTTTAACGCCGCTTTTAACAGTATTCCAGTTATATCACGGCATGTCAGCTTATTGTGGGAGGAGAGCCCAAAGTGATGCAGGTCTCAGACGTTGACCACTTCGGTGAAACCCATGAGCACGGGTATGGTGCTGACAAACCCAGAAACATAATCGAGGCGAACCAGGATTCGAACCCACAATCATTGGTTTCTGGCGTGCCCAAGGGACGCAACTCTGCACAGCGAATTAGATGACTGGGCCCCTGTGACCACCACATGGAAGTAACACTCACCTGTCTCTAGACACCTGTATAAACTCTTCTACTTCAGGGAATGGAAGCTTACTTCGGATGTACAGGGCATTCAGTTTGGTTGTGGAATCAGGGTACATTCTGACAAAGAGTAGGATAAATCGGTCATGAAAGTATTCAAATGTTTGTTTGTTCGTTGTTTAACGCCGCACTCAGCAATATTCCAGCTATATGACGGCTTTCTGTCATTAACTGAGTCTGGACCAGACAATCCAGTGTTTGACATCATGAGCATCAATCTACGCAATTGGGATAAGACGACATTCATGAACCAAGTTAGTGTGACTGACCACCCGATCCAGTTAGTCGCTTCTTACAACAAGCATGGGTTGCTGCAGACCTATTCTAACATGGGTCTTCACGGGTCGCATTCAATTGTACACTATCAAACATCACAGCGTGTCCAGCTCCATACTGTTTGTTTCTTGTTAAACGCCACAGTTGTATTTCATATATATCACAACAATCTGTCAGTAATCATATTTAAAAATGTTATCCATTGGGGTCATATGAGGATAAGAAATGTAAATATCAAATATCAATATAAATATTTACAAGTTTTGGCAACTTAGGAGATATAAATTGCTAAACAATTTTGCAAGAGCACTATCCAAGCAGGATCCTCTGCGGCTTGGAACCTTTTCCACAAATTAAAACAGTTGGATTTGGAGGAAATATGTCCAAATTGTTACCTTGTTTTGTTTTGTTGCTATATGTACATCTGACTGCACTTTGTTACGTTAGTACAGAACAGGCTGACTAGGGTTAGAGTAGCTTCCCTTTGATAAAGGGCAGTTACTCTAGTGGACAGAATTATGGATTGCCGCGACAGGTAAGGAGAAACAACTTGTGTAGGCAATTGTTGTTTTGCATGTAGTTACGCCACTGAATAAGAAACAGGTTTCAGTTTGAACTATATTGGCTAATGTTACTGTCCAGCTGACACATCACTTACCTTCTGACGTAATATATATTGATGTGCAACATTCCAGGAAAAATTGATTGTGAGAGATGGGAAAAGATTAGAATTGAAGAATGACCTTATATGATAAAGAGGTTACCATGATTGTGCATTTGGGGATGGTAAATATCCTGTATTAGGAATAGAAGAAGAAGAAGAAGAAGAAGAAGAAGAAGAAGAAGAAGAAGAAGAAGAAGAAGAACTTTTATTTGCATGAAGGCCTCGGGCACATATACAATTACAGTCCCCAATATACCAATTGTTGACAGATGCGACGGTAAAGTAATGTGACACATGACTTATGTCATAATTGAATTGTACTACTTGTTCTTTTTGCATAAGCGTAATATAGGAAATGTGATAAACTGTTTTAGACTGCTTCATTGTTATTACACATAATAGATTTGAAATGGTTCAAGCTAGGATATCGGTAAGTTTTTGGAATAAACACTATGTATTTAGCTTGCAAAGGCTCGCTAAATACAATGTTTATTCCTAATACAGGATACTTACCATCCCCAAACACACTCACGTGATAACCTCTATATATCTTATAAAAGTGGGAGCTTACAGTCTTAGATTCACAGGCATAATTATTTCTAACTTTCCGTTTGTTCCTAGTTATGCAAATATTATTTTATGCAGATTTATGTAAGTGAATTTTATTTTATGCACATCTCAGCAATATCACATCTGGCTAAATCACATCAATATCACATCTTGCTTCACACCTTTCACCCATGTAGGGAAAAGAACCTGGACCTTCGTCATGACAAACCTACACTTTAACCACACGGCTACTGCTGTTCCCAGTTTGAGAGTGGTGTACTTACTTCTTGACAACAGCATGACACAGGTGGAGCAGAGCTGTGCAGTCCTTCCCTCCATTGAAACCAACACAGATCTCCTCTAGGCTGAAACAGAGCAAATACCACGAGATCGTGAAAGGTGAGTGAGTGAGTGAGTTTGGTTTTCCACCGCTTTTAGCAATATTCCAGCAATATTACGGCGGGGGACACCAGAAATGGGCTTCACACATTGTACCCATGTCGGGAATCGAACCCGGGTCTTCGGCGTGACGAGCGAACGCTTTAACCACTAGGCTACCCGACCGCCCCAGATCGTGAAAGGGATCAAGGTCTAAAAACACAGATCTTACACAGAGTTTTTCTACCTACATTAGGGCTGGTAAGAGTCCAGATTAACTACCCCAGTTCCCACACCCCATATTACCAACCCTACCCGGGTACCCACTGTTGGTTTCAAAAGATAGGTACAAAATGTCCGATTGGGAATATTTTGATCGTAGCCCTGGCAAAATGTATTTGGATAAACATATTTATAAAACGATCTGGTCATGCATATACACTGAAGTTGACTGAAGTTTTATCTTTTATCGGCTGGTAAAGAATAGTAACAAGTGTGTGTAATCCACATTTCAACTGAAGAAGTTTGTAGGGTAGAAACTTACGGGTATTTCTGCAGACCTTCTTCAATGACCTTGACGGCATGTCGGACGTTGTTGGCGTACACAGTGTCTTCAGTCGACTCCACCAGCGTGTACAACTGCTTCACCGCGGCAGACACTGGGTCATTCTCATACATCACCACGCTGTCTGAAAATGCATTCATAGCAATATTCAATATTATTCCAATGGCAATATCTCCCCTGCAATCAGTCACATTCAATCCACAGCTGCACACTCAGAACATCCCTGCTACCTGCTCCTCAAAGGGTAGGAGCAACTGATTATAATTAAACTGCCGTTGTGTTTATTGTTATTCCTGCATTCAGATTAGCTTAACTGGTCACATGTTATTGCATTCATTTCCAATGAATGTAAAAAATTAAGCCACGCCCACTGAAGCGGACTACTTTTATTACTACGGAATGTCGGGGAATCCCAATATTACAGTCTGCTCACGTGTATTGTCAAACACAGGACATTTAGCAAAATTTATGCATCTTCATTGTCCAAACTACCCTTTGAGACCAAATCCCGAGAAGGAATTAAACAGCAAGCGGTTTTTCCACTTGCCTGGGATCCACAAATGTCGGTCTTCAAGTTTCATTCTCATTAGCATTTTTCCAACTGTCTCTTCCCCTTCTCAGTGAACTAATGTTTGACTCTGTCGGTATTTTCATATTACTGTAGTTATGACAGAGTAACTGTAGTATGAAACAATTGGGCAGTCCTCGAAATTGTGCCAAATTGTTTGGGAAATCAAAGCTAATTGCAAACCTTTCTCACGTCATATTAACCTCTGCTTCACTTTTTCTGGGATATATGTACCTCCCATCTACATAACATGTTTTACACTGAAATGACCGATGGTTTTTCAAGCAAATTAAAAAAGAAATTGTGATTGTGGATGATGATCGTTAGTTTTAGTCTTTCATCGCTTTAGGTCCAGCAGCGGCAGCGTTTGACAAATACCATCATCATTGTGTCGCCATGTGAAAGTGTGAGATTCCAGTGTCTAGTAGGCTTGATTGTAGATCAGTCAGGTTATTGGAAATAAAACTATTTTATCTGTCTAGACTTAGAACTAGAGGTGAAACGACACAGCAAGGTCACATTACGATACGTATCACGATACAAAGATCATGTTATGATACGTATCACAATATCAATATTTACACCAAACTGCGTGGAAATTAATGTCTATTGAGCAGGTTCAAAAGGAAAAGCTAGCTGTAGATACATTTTCGTTGCGGTTATTTTCAGTAGTGAACTTAATTACAACAAATTTTGCGATTTTTCACTCTGACAAAAATGCCGGGGGTGGGTGGAGGTGTCATTAAAGGAGCACTAATGTATTTTTTCAGGTGTACCAGCTTGTGTTGATACTGAAAAAACCCAAATGTAGCGTGCATCGTATCGGCGCATAAAAACTCACGATGCACCTCTACTCAGAACATTAAAGTTACTTCCAGTGACATCGTCCTATTGTTCTCTATAAACAGGGATGTCATAATATCCCCACGCGTTTCTATGCACAAGTTCTGGTGATCATGACACAACATGTGAATGTCCCTCGCCAGAGATTTATTTTGCATTTGAGCACAGAGTAGACATGGAAATGTGTGGGATCATGTAACATCAAATTACAAACGTTTTCTATATGTTTCAGTGCATTGAACGTGCAACCTTTGCATCTGTAGTCTATGAGTGAATCACAAGGCTACAGAGACGCTAATAAATCTTTTAAGAATCTCTTTTTCAAGTACATTAGGCAACATTTATGTATGACAGGAAGAGATATTTTACGCCCGTTTCCTAAGTTGCATCAAAAGTATGTTTGAAACTTAAATTCTCTTGTTTCAGATTATTTGGGTGGGGTTGGGGGTTATAAGTTAGATAATAAATTCCCCATCATGTTTTTATGAGATTTCAAACCCTCATCCTTGGAATAAAACCTCAGGGACAATGCCTCTCTGGTGTATGCCTCCGATTCAGGTTTTAAATCTCACAAGAACCCTTGCACATCTTTCATCCTACACATGACATGTGTATGTATGTTTTCTTATGTTTTATTAGTTGGTTTACCACAGATTGCAAAACAAAACCAAAAGGTTACAGATTGTTTTTTATTAGAATAGATAGTTTTCAAACTATGTTTCTGCATTTCTTACAAACACCAGTGATAAAATCTCGGTAAATACCAGGATTTGCATTGTAATATATTTGGTATGTTATCACATGGTAATTTTATACCAGGATTTGCATTGTAATATATTTTGTATGTTATCACAAAGCACTTCTGTACAGAGATTTGCATGACATGATGTATTGTATGGTATCAAACAGGTTCAGTTTCACAATACTGAGATAGCGCTCTAGATAGGAGTGAGTGAGTGAATATGGTTTTATGCCGCTTTTAGCAATATTCCAGCAATATCACGGCGGGGGACACCAGAAATGGGCTTCACACATTGTACCCATGTCGGGAATCGAACCCGGGTCTTCGGCGTGACGAGCGAACGCTTTAACCAATAGGCTACCCGACCGGCCCCTCTAGATAGGAACTGAACATGAACTTTCATTAGATGGTAATGGAAGCTCATAGGTGAACAAGGTAGATAAAAAGAAACAGCTGGTTTGACTCTGTAATACCATTATGCCTTGACATAGAGTATTCTGTAACAGACAACTAATGGGAAATATGGTATGCAGTATTCTGTAACAAACAACTAATGGGAAATATGGTATTCAGTATTCTGTAACAGACACCTTACGGGGAATAGTGTATACAGTATTCTGTAACAGACAACTAATGGGAAATATGGTATTCAGCATTCTGTAACAGACACCTTACGGGGAATATGGTATGCAGTATTCTGTAACAGACAACTAATGGGAAATATGGTATGCAGTATTCTGTAACAGACACCTTAAGGGGAATATGGTATACAGTATTCTGTAACAGACAAATAATGGGAAATATGGTATGCAGTATTCTGTAACAAACAACTAATGGGAAATATGGTAATCAGTATTCTGTAACAGACACCTTACGGGGAATATGGTATACAGTATTCTGTAACAGACAAATAATGGGATATATGGTATGCAGTATTCTGTAACAAATACCTAAAGGGAAATATGGTATACAGTATTCTGTAACAGACACCTTACGGGGAATATGGTATACAGTATTCTGTAACAGATACCCAAAGGGAATATGGTATACAGTATTCTGTAACAGATACCCAAAGGGAATATGGTATACAGTATTCTGTAACAGATACCCAAAGGGAAATATGGTATACAGTATTCTGTAACAGACACCTAAAGGGAAATATGGTATACAGTATTCTGTAACAGACACCTAAAGGGAAATATGGTGTACAGTATTCTGTTACAGACACCTAAAGGGAAATATGGTGTACAGTATTCTGTTACAGATACCTCAAGGGAAACACAACATACCTTTCTCTGCAATAATATACTTTAAAGGGGAAATATGGCATACATTATTCTGTAGTATGAAAAGGTCAGTATGATACATCATGTATATCACATCCTGGAATGGCTATCTCAAAATATCAGGGATGAAAATCAAATAATTACTCTATTATGGCCTACATATCTTGATAATGTTTTAGCTTTCCAAATTTGTCTTTCATTTCACTGATAGCTGGAGCAACAAAACAAAAACGGCGTAAGTGCCTTGTTGACATTACTGATATTGAATACATTAATCCTAACTTACCTCTGAATTGAAAAAAATAAGGTATTTAGTTAATAAAACTGATGAATTTCCCAATAAGCCTGCCACATACCTGAAACTTGAAACTTGAAATCATCCCTGTTGTCGTCATGGAACACAATTATTCAAGACTGTGACATGAATTTAAAACAAGAGTTACCTGCCACATGTCATACACAGTCAACAGCCTGAATATCACCACCTTCCCAGGACTTCATTCACAGGACCCAACATCTACATTCAAGGAGGTTCACAGATGTCACCCTTCAAGCCTCAGCCTCCACCAAATCATGTCCTGTCATGTCATGTCATGCCATGTCGTGTAGAATAGCCATGTTGTGTGTGTCATGCAAAGATATGAACGGTCTCTCTCTCATAATGAGTTGACAGAAATTAACCCCTCCCCTGTCCTGCTTTACACAGACATCAGCCAATAAGAGCTGGTAGCTGGGAGAGGGTTAGCTTCCTCATCTGGAGGACATTCCTGCATGTTATTTATAGCCTATACACCCGTGTGTGTTTTTATCTATATATAGTGAGGGGTGAGATCCTGGTAGCACACTGTATATCCTTGAATAAGACCAATATCATTTTTTAATTGGAATATCCTTTGACACAGTGCATATTTGCGGTTGGAATTTATCTTTTTCATGCGAGGTGTTTGCACCTAATTCTTAATCATAATTTTGTTCCAAATGTCTCTTTTTGATGTTTTTAGGAAACAGATTAAAGAATTCAATTTTTGTATAAAGCCTTTTTGATCCTTTCAGCCATATCCCCCTCACCACTAAGACAAAACATACTCTACTTCTCCCACACTGTTAACACACATTCTTTATCTTCATGGAAACCAAAATTCAATGATATTCCTCTTTATAGAATTAAGAATAAACATCATGAGAAGTTGACATTTTTAAGAAAATATAAAAAATCACTATCTTACACAGACATGTTTTCAGACGTCAGATAAAAATATAAATCCATGTTTGGGGTGAGTGGGAAAGGGTTAATATGTCTGTAATTTTTCAAGCGAAAAAAATATACTTTTCAACCTAACCATCCAAGTCACTCAATCAACATAGTTTTATCCTGAAACAAATAGCATCTCCATCAGAGGAATCAAATCAGTTTTAATGAACAAGCAGTCACATGCAATCAGTGCAAAGTAGGGAGTCACTTGACCAATAATCTATGTGGATGTTGACACATTTCTTGATCCTACTTTGACCTCTTGAACACCTTCCTTCCGTGCCCCACTCAGAACATCCATGAGGTAACTTCCTTCAGTAGCATACATCTTCCTGAGGTAAGGGAGTTAACTGACTTAAAGTCCAGTTTCCACCCTTGCCAAACTAGGCTGGCATTTCTGGGCTTGATCGTAGCGCCACCAGTGGCTATTACGAGTAATGTCCCTTCTATGACCCTTCTATTGACCAATCAGATTCCACCTCTTGTATCACTTGCATTTGCTTCAAACAAAATGGTGGCGCCCAGTCAAGACGATCTGATCAATAATCAAGATCTATATTGTAATAAAACGAGTCTTACCTCGCGAAGTGCATCAAATCACTTGAGCACTTTGATTAAAGACGGCAAAATATGTTAATGCCCAATTGACGGTGCACATGTTTTGCAAATCCTGCAGCCAACCGAAATCTGTACGTTACAATCCATGTTCTTTACAAACCGGATGTCTTGTTCGTAACGCAAGTTTGATTGGACTATGCAGACTCGTTAGTCCACCCAAAATGTAACACCATAATTCCCGCCTAGTTTGTCAAGGGTGGAAAATGGACTTTTATAGTCAGTTAACTATATATAGTCAGCGTATGACACAGGTAAAAGGTCCATGTGATAGCAAGACTACCAGTACTGTGCATGTGTCTAATGGCTGACATGGTTCATGAATCATACTGTGCAATAAGCATGTTCATTGATCATCCAAACTTGCCTTCCACAGGAGATCTTGCATAGGTCAGATCAAGTGTTACTTCCTAGGACATGTCGCAACAATGACATTGCATCACAATGCTTTTCAGACCGTTGTGACATCATCAGTTACCATGACATCACAATCATAATCAGTCACTGGTTACATTTACTTTCTACACTAAAGACTCTGCTTATTTATCATGTTCATGCGCTCTGAGGTGTTTATTCTCCTGCAGTGTTTTATTGTACGATAAACAACGACCATGAGTTGTTTATTTCTTAGATCAATATTATGTTGGTTGGTTGGTTTGTTGTTTAACGCCGCACTCAGCAGTATTCCAGCTATATGACGGCGGTCTGTAAATAATCGAGTCTGGACCAGACAGTCCAGTGATTGATATCATGAGCATCGATCCACGCAATTGGGAACGATGACATGCATCAACCAAGTCAGCGAGCCTGACCACCCGATCCCGTTAGTCGCCTTTTACGACAAGCATAGTCACCTTTTACGGCAAGCATGGGTTGCTGAAGACCTATTCTACCCCCAATATTATGTACAGCCTCTTAAAGGATGTTAAAAAATGTACAAGCTTTAAAAATATTTACCCATATTTAAATAATAATGACTCCCTGAATATTATCCGACTCTGCAATGTTGGACAAGTCAATTTTATGAACAGGTAGGGTAAATTTGGTCTTTCCTGCATAATGTCACAATCCTCACATCTATTATCTGTACCTTTTTACCCTAATACCGATTGTCATATTTCTCCCACTTTTGGATGCGATTGTTCGGCCATTGTGTTTATCAATGTTGCCAGGCTACATCTATGAGGAAAAACTCACCAGACACCTCCCTCTCAACAATAACTTTATCCAATATACGATGTCAGCATGTTGCAAGCACATGTTCGAATCTCCAGAAATGATGTCTTGACAGAACAATGTTTTATTGTGAAATATACCATGCTTTGTTTTTCATTGTTCCATGTAGTTTATCGTGTAGCTATCTTATATTACTGATTACAAACTAAAAACTTTGGAATAATAATTTTGGATAATAAATAGAATCTCACACTTGTGATATCTAGAGAATCTCAACCGAGTGTCTTTTAACATCAAATATATTAACACAAGTCGATAACATTTAAAACTCATTCCAAATCATTCTTCCAACTTTGTCAGGATGTAAACTGTAAGAATCAGTGTTTGGAGGGGATGCAGAACAGCTTACTAGCTGGCTTGTAAAACATTGTGATGCAATTTGATTGTAGCCACATTTTCTATGAGATATTGCTTGATTCACCCAGGCAAGAACTGTGGAAGCCAGGTTTCGGCTATGAATAAAACATATCAACACAAAAATTTAACATGTTTGAAACTCCAAGGGATCCTCAGAGTTTTATTGACCCATGTTGACACAGGACTTTCAAATAACACTTAGGAGAGAGTCTCTGTGTGTTTATATCCCATGTGTTGTCAACATCACCTGTGTGAAAGTACATGTATTTCCAGCTTCATACACAAACACCTTCACAAGTTGTTAGAACAATGATAATCAGTGAGTCCGTTAGGCACTGGGACTTTTCTGTGCTGTTATTACTTTCACAGTGTCATTTCACTCGATTAAAGAAGTTTATTATAATAACATCATAACAAACAAGCAATGGCTTTGTCTTTTGATCTACATATTCACGAATAGTCCCCTTTGTGCAGTTGACAGCGTGAATGTATAGAAGTGATCACAATGTTGAGAAACCCATCTGTCCTGCATTATAGGTACTGTAAATCTTGAAATTAACGCGAGCGTGAATTAAATGCAAAAAATGTGAGTGGTCTTTGCTCGCATTTTTAAACATCGCATTTATATCAACAATAAGACATTTTGGATAGCAAAAATACCAACTTAGATGTACGCTGATGTATTCTACACCACTGTTTATTGAGCAGCACTTGTATATAAAGTATATAAACAATGTCATTCAAACACTAATTACGTCCTGTGAAATGTCACTGCTGGGGTCAAGACAAGAGTTCTACTCACTTATGTCATCACTGATCACACCTGCAAGTCCAGACAGACCCCACCCTTTGTTCTTTGTGACTGTGTCAAAGGCTGATACGAGCCAGCGCACATGTATTGTTTTTGTTGAAGTACTTTACTCAGCGCTAATAAGCGGTGCTATTTGGTGTGTGATTGGATTAATGTAAGGTTGGATTAAGGTGAGGATTCTAAACCTGACTGAGGACATCTGTAGATAGAAATCTACTGATGCTTGAGAGGAGGGGGGTGTCGCATTCATATTGAGTCTCATTTTTGGCTAGGGTCCAGTGGTTGCATTCTTTTGGAGACGCATTTATTTCACGATTTACAGTGTACACATACTGCCTGTTATCTGACAAAACAATACCATATTGCACTACGATAAAACATAATAACCTCACTGTTCGATTCTACGTATTTTGACATCACTTGTATGGAAGTAGAAAAAGGGGTCACCATACAACTGATTATCGCCTGATATGATAGACTGTTTCATCTGTTTAATAACACAAAGCACTCACCACAAACACCAAGGCACAATACACATACTTTACTAAGGGTTATTTACAAAACAAGATTCTCAATGGGACGATGTTGAGAATTATCCATGTCCACATCAATACACATATTGCACCTGTATATACATATGTATTGTCCTATATAATGCAATATACAAAATATTAATTTATTAATTAGATGTATGTCAATATGTACCTGATATGGCATTGTTAATTAGACGTATTGTTATGAGTGACGTTGTATATTTGTGTGGTTCTCAAGGGGTCCAGTTTGGGTGGACGGCGTCATGCTTGATTGAGTTAAGCAAGCTGCCTGACGAGGAGAAACGTGCTTGTGGGGTGATTGGAGTTTGAGTTGGCTTGGTAACTGATTGGTGTGGGCCGATCAACCTTTTCTTGTGTGCTGAAGTAGATAGATTACTTGGAAATTGTTTTACTAAATGAGGGCAAGTTATCATGTAGAAAGGGGGAAGGAAAAGGAATTGGAGAGGGAGAAATATGGTAGAACTGAACGAGGGCAGTTCAGCCCAGCGTTATGTCCGGAGACAAAGTTAGAAGGTCCTGACGACGCTTCGTATGAGGAAACTGTTGTTACCCAGTTATCCTGTGAACTCTGATATATAAGTTTGGAACTATGTGAGCTTGGATACGTTGGGAATGTGATGTCAAGAAATCTGAGGTGACTGTTATCTATATTGCACATTTGCCATATTGCTTTGCCTAAATAGATTTGTATATGAGTGCCTTGCCCAGTAACTGAGAATTGTTATATACTTATCTTTGTTTTAATTATTAAATCTAGCTTTAAACTTCAGAGATTGTTGTGTGATTCTTGTAATAGTTATTTGTGGTATTAGCGGGAACCCCTGCGGTTCATCCCACACGTAACAGTATGCCTTGTCCTGGCTATATCAGAATAACTGCAGGGAATATTTTCTAATAACAAACTTCAAATGTAACCATGGTAACTACGAGGAAAGGATTTAGTTTGTGAACATCTGTGCAAAGATATCAGCTTATAAACACAAGGGTAATCCAAGCTAAAACATCATATAAAAAAGAATCCGTATCCATATATTATAAAAGTGTTGCAGTGCAATAACTGTTAACGACCAGTCTGTGTACATGACGTAAGTAAGTCCTCATTTATGCATCTTTCACATCCTAGTGTGTAAATGTAAATAATCTGTCTTTATACATAAAAAGGTGTTGCTGTGCAATGACTGTCAAGGACCGTCCTCTGTAACAACAGCTTCAGTCTTTCACGTAACTACTCATTCTTGGCTGTCTCCACACATCTTTAAGGGGGCGGTCACGTAGCCCAGTGGTTAAAGCGTTCACTCGTTAGTCGAAGACCCGGGTTTGATAACTGACATGGGTACAATGTGTGAAGCCCATTTCTGGTGTCCCCCGCCATGATATTGCTGGAATATTGCTAAAAGCAGCGTAAAACCAAACTCACTCACTCTTAAAGGTGCTGCAATACAATGACTGTCAAGGATCATCTTTTTTAAGAAACATTTTCTGTATCAGAAATTATTCAGATTTTATGGGTGAGTGAGTGAGGTGAGTGAGTGAGTGAGTGAGTGAGTGAGTGAGTGAGTGAGTGAGTGAGTGAGTGAGTGAGTGAGTGAGTGAGTGAGGTGGATCCAGGATTCAAACAAACAACCAGCAGATCCTGGCAAGGCAAAGGGATGCAACTCTTCACAGCAATAAGCTCTTGATAACCTACCTTGTGGCAGGCTCTCCTTCAGATAGTCACAGGCCTGTCTGAGTTTGTCTGCATCTAGAGACTCCAGCGTCAGCCTCACTTTGTAGTAACTGGAAGGTAATATCTGCTTTATTAACATGCCTGTTGACATCATGGATGTCGACACCACGTAAATATAAAGTGTCAATGTAAGAGAATAACCAGCCAAGACTTTCTGCTAAAAAAGATTCCACTTGGCGTAAAGGCCAAATAGCTGTGGTAGTTATAGGAATGGACCACTGTTCGTGAAGGGTAAGCATGTCCTGCCCTACCAGTAGCATTTGCCATTCATTGAGACCGCTTTCTTGGTCTTGTGATAGAGCGTCCGCCTGGAGAGCGGAAGGTTCGGAGTTCGATCCCCGGCCGCGTCATACCAAAAGACGTTAAAAGATGGTACTTGTTGTTAACCTGTCATTAAGGTGCTAAAACAAGGACTGGTCGGCTTGTTGTCAGTATACAGTGTCTGAGTGGGGTATTCATGTTAAACTGCGGCATGGTATCTCAGTGAGCTAGCACTATAAATCGGCATCAGTCCGGACTAGTACAAAGCAGCTACACTCACACACACGTAAATGCACGTCGCTATATAAGTGCAATAGTCCTGGACGTGACATTAAACCCCTTTTCACCTCACCTCACCTCACCATTCATTGAGTTTGCATAAAAAAGTAAGTATTTATTGCCTGACGCAGCACAGCAGTACTCCTGCAATGGGACGTCAGCCTGTAAACAACACTGTGACATGAGCATACCACTACTGATTTTGTTGAAACTAATCAAAACGGTATGTTAATTTTTAATTACGTCTCCTGTGTACAGACCGACCACCAACCACCTCCCCATCACACAATAACTCACCGACCACCCACCACCTTCCCATTACTCAATTACTCACTGACCACCCACCACCTCCCCATCACCCAATTACTCACCGACCACCCACCACCTTCCCATTACTCAATTACTCACTGACCACCCACCACCTCCTCATCACCCAATTACTCACTGACCACCCACCACCTCCCCATCACCCAATTACTCACCGACCACCCACCACCTTCCCATTACTCAATTACTCACTGACCACCCACCACCTCCCCATCACCCAATTACTCACCGACCACCCACCACCTTCCCATTACTCAATTACTCACTGACCACCCACCACCTCCCCATCACCCAATTACTCACTGACCACCCACCACCTCCCCATCACCCAATTACTCACCGACCACCCACCACCTTCCCATTACTCCATTACTCAATTACTCACTGACCATCCACCACCTTCCCATTACCCAATTACTCACCGACCACCCACCACCTTCCCATTACTCCATTACTCAATTACTCACTGACCATCCACCACCTTCCCATTACCCAATAACTCAATGACCACCCACCACCTCCCCATCACCCAATTACTCACTGACCACCCACCACCTCCCAATCACCCAATTACTCACCGACCACACACCACTTTCCCATTACTCAATCATTCACCGACCACCCACCACCTCCCAATCACCCAATTACTCACCGACCACCCACCACCTTCCCATCACCCAATTACTCACCGACCACCCACCACCTTCCCATTACTCAATTACTCACTGACCACCCACCACATCCCTATCACCCAATTACTCACCGACCACCCACCACCTTCCCATCACCCAATTACTCACCGACCACCCACCACCTTCCCATTACTCAATTACTCACTGACCACCCACCACATCCCTATCACCCAATTACTCACCAATCACCCACCACCTTCCCATTACCCAATTATTCACCAACCATCCACCACCTCCTCCATCACCCAATCACTCACCCACCCACCACCTCCCCATCACCCAATCACTCACCCACCACCTCCCCATCACCCAATCACCCCTTCCCTCCGCTATCCCCAGCTCACCTGTTGTGTGCCACAGGGTACGACCCCAGCAAGACGTGTTTCCGAAATTTCTCGTCCACCTGGTTGAGGACTGTGGCAACTGACATCTCATCCTGGTTGACATAGACATCCTGGGTGTGGAACTCTACCCCAGGGTTCATGAACAACTCTTTCTGGAATATTGAGAACAGCTTTCTCTTAGATATATTCAGAGATTACATCAGTCGGATGTATGGTACAAATATCTAACATATTAAAGGCCCTCTCCGCTCTATATACCTCCAATATCTTAAAGGCCCTCTCCTCTCTTTGTACCTCCAGTCTGATGTTTGTCACAAATATCTGCCATCTTAAAGGCCCTCTCCACTCCATATACCTCCAACATATTTAATGCCCTATCCATTCGACATACCCTTACATATTAAAGGCCCTCTCCACTTGATATACGCTTACATATTTAAGGCCCTCTCCACTCGAAATATGCTTACATATTAAGGCCCTCTCCACTCGACATACCCTATCAACTGCGCATACCTCTAACATATTCAACCCCCTCTCCACGCTACCTCCAACATATTAAAGGCCCTCTCCAGTTGAGCCGGGACACCAGGGAACATATGTACGTTCTTCACCGATACCAGGGGGTACAAGGCCTTCTTGCCAGTGTTTTTGTTGACTCCATACTTCAAGGTAGCAGACTTGGGGATCTGAAGAAGTGGTAAACAATCACAAATGAAATGTGGTATATCATCTCCAAGACTATTCAGAGGAGACCATTTTCAGTCATGGGCAAGAGAGTTTTGCTTGTCACCACTTTGAACAGTATTGCAGTTATATCATGGCATGTCAGTTTGATGAAGGATTGGTTGGTTGGTTTCTTGTTTAACGCCGCACTCAGCAATATTCCAGCTATATGATGGCTGTCTGTAAATAATCGATTCTGGACCAGACAATCCAGTGATCAATATCATGAGCATCGATCCACACAATTGGGATCAATGACACGCATAAAGCAAGTCAGCGAGCCTGACCACCCGATCCCGTTAGTCGCCTCTTACGACGAGCATAGTCGCCTTTTACGGCAAGCATTGGTTGCTGAAGACCTATTCTACCCCGGATCTTCACGGGTCTTTGATGAAGGCGGAAAGAATGAAGTGATGCAGTAGAGCAGTCACATAGACTTGTTCCTAGCTCTCCTGGTTCTGGCATCTTTATTAGATCATGAGCAGTTAATCCATGACCAATTTCAGTTAATCTATTTATAGCTGATCATTGTGCTGGGAATGCAATTTTGTTTCCTGGAGTGTCATCATGGTCATAGTTTGAAATTTGATTTCAAGTCATAATGAAGTATTACAAAATGTGCAACTACATTTGGTGGCACCTTTAACATAACTGAATCTTTCTAAATTTCCACTTACAAATGCCATCTTCATCTTGGGAGAAGTGAGGTCATCAGTTCCGAAGTATCCCTTTATCAGCTCCACCAACTGCGGGTGTGGGTAGGTCTCCTCACTGAATGCCTTCGCCACACCTGCAGCACAGGACAGGTGTCAATTAGGGCTGGGACGGGTAACTCGGGTACCCGGGGCGGGTGGGTACTGATTAGGACCCAGGTACCAAAAGGACTACCTGGACCCGTGGTTAGTCACGTGATATATTGTTTAATGGCAAAAATTATCTAGAACTCTATGGTTAAACTACAAGTCACTTATGTTCGCATTTCTTTCTGACTATGTACCCATTCCTTCTGATTTTTCATATGGATGAATAAAGATATAACTTAATTCAACTTCAGTGTATGAATGACCAGATTGTTTAATACATGTATCTTAATATGTTTTGCCTGGCCTATCGCCGCTTTTAACATTATTCCAGTCATATCACGGCGTGTCAGCTAAATGTGGGAGGAAAGCCCAAAGTGATGCAGGTCTCAGACGTTTACCACTTTGGTGAAACCCACGAGCACGGGTATGGTGCTGACAAACCTAGAAACATAATCAGGGCGAACCGGGATTCGAACCCACAATCATAGGTTTCTGGCGTGCCCAAGGGACGCAACTCTGCACAGCGAATCGCGGCGCCTTAGACGACTTAGACACTCGTGCCCTCGTAAGCATGGCAGAACACAAGGACGTGGTGATAGAGGACGTGCCTGCTATCAAACTATTACATGTAATAACCATCCCTTCATTTAAAACTATTTTGTTCATGTTTTTTTTGTTTTTGAGATAAGTAAATGAATGAATCCACAGGTATTAGAGTTATTCTATTTTCTTGATTTCATCATTTTTTACTATTTGTTGGTGTATCGTGATAGCACGGGTATCGTCAGTCTGTATCGTGATACGAATTGTATTGCAAGATACCAGGCGATACTCTGTAGCTCACCTGTACCACCAGGCATCATATTGGAAAACAAGATAAAGTCCCTTTTACCCAACTGGATATCCTTAATAATATAACTGAAAATCTGAAATGCTGGCATGAAAACAATCTGATATATTCAAGATGGTGACAACTACTCTGTTTTCTTGTTTACACTTGCAAGTTTTGGACGTGTGGCATGACCTCAAACAGAAGTAGGCTAAAAGAAGTGAAAAGGGCAGATCTTGATGAGAAAATCTAACAATGAGCAAGTTCATGAGCTTTTTGCCAGTTGTTTATACTGTTTTTATCTACATCTTCTTACAAATAGGTTTGGTTGAAAGCTTTGCTCGTGGTTAAATATTTGAAGAAACTTCCCACAACCTCCATATTCAACCCATTTGACACACCTTAGCCTCACCTTCACATTAGTGTTGTAAGTCCAGTACATGCCAGTGTTCAACAGAATTAAGTCCAACTCTCATGCATATTAACACATCTGATAACTTCCATAATAAGTTATAACCAATCTGCACATTTCTGACATAATGCAGAGCTTGTGGGTCCAAACGGCCGCTATCCTGCCTTATCCTTCGAGTCACACAACTGTAAACATGACTATGTAAAACTATCTGCAGTCTGTACACAGCAATACACTCAGTGTCCATCTACACTGTCTGGAGGATTCACTGAGGGACAAAATGACATCTCAAACATGTTCATGATCCTTCATAGGTTGTACCAAGAATCAAATCATTCACAACCAATCATAACATATTTCTGACAGTCATAGCACATACTACAAACTTACTCTATTACAAATTTCACAAAATTTTCTATTCACTATCACTGTCTCTTTAATAATTGGCTTAGATACACAGGAAGGATTAAATGTCACAAAATTTCATGAATAAATAACCTTGCTTTAATTTTTTTGTTTAACTTAGCCCTGGTTGGTAAAGGCCGCCATTACTTTCTACAGTGCAGTTACATATATATAAAATACTGGGTTTTTTGTTTTCAATTTTTTTCTTAATCTTAGTCAGTATGTTCAATAAAACAATACAGTAAAAAACATTACAGATTATTTGATTTGTCATATTAAGTGATCTGAATATCTTACCAATGCTATGTGCGCAGTGATAGTTAAGCTTGTGTCCTTGTTAATCTACTGTAACGCAATTTCCAGTCAACCATTGTATGCACAATTTTTGTGGTGAATACATAATTTTGAATGTGGCACAATTAATCATGTTAAAGTTAGCACTTTTCTGACTTAACTTTTTCTGTAAATTTTCAGCTGAAAATCTGGAAAACCCAATCGAGCATGGTGCTCAGAAACTAAAACAGTCCAGTGCTTATTATTTACATTTGGAACTGGTCTTTTAAGTTCATTTTCAGGGTACAGAAATTGGGTATGCTGTTCCGAATGCTTCACTCACTCATACCAAGAGTTTATATGCCTTGATGCGGATTGGTTGATCAGAAAGTTCACCTTCTGGGAAGTGGTTGTGAGGTCTTCATGCAGAGACGTATCATACAGAAGTATAAGATCTGATTATAAGGAGATCGCCATAAACCAATTTTTAGACAGAGTCCTGCTTGTGACATGTCCCTGCATGAGGCTTACTTTCCAGTGTCTTGTCATCATGTGTTGGGCCGATCCCCCCCGATGTGATGACGTGGGTATAGGCACTGGAGAAATTAGCAACCTCCTCAGCAATGGTATCTTTGTCATCGCCAATCACAGAGATCTGCAATCAAGATAGTGAAGATGTAACCTTGACCTTACCGGTGTGCCTTGAGACGCAGGTGCATGCAGTGCCTTAGAATTGGAGTGAGTGAGTGAATTAGTGAGTTGGGTTAAATGCTGCTTTGAATAATATTTCAGTTATATCACAGTCTGTCAACTTGATGAAGGGGAAAAGCCTGAAGTCTTAGGGTCTTTTGCAATACATCGCAAAGTGTTCATTTTGCCTTATATATTTAGGTTGTTGGTCGTGTTCAAATGACATACACTAGAATTTCATTCCTCCATGGTGGCCATTTTGGATTTGGTGGCCATATTGGATTGTTATGGGTGGCCCCATATTTGAAAATAGTTGGTATGTCATTACCTACAACTGTGCAAAGTTTCGTGCTTTTATCAATATCTGTCAAGAACAGCTGCACTATAACATCAGTCTTAAGCTTTTCTAAACATCAATATATAGATTCTCTTTACCCCACCCTAAAACCTCTCTTTAACATCTGTATAAAGCTTTCCTTTACATCAGTCTGAGGCTTCTCTTTATGTTAAGGGGGCGGTCGGGTAGCCTAGTGGTTAAAGCGTTCGCTCGTCACGCCGAAGACCCGGGTTCGATTCCCGACATGGGTACATTGTGTGAAGCCCATTTCTGGTGTCCCCCGCCGTGATATTGCTGGAATATTGCTAAAAGCGGCGTAAAACAATACTCACTCACTCACTCACTTTATGTTAAGTCTAAAGCTAGCCTTAATATACATCTAAACCTTTTTTGACATCGGTACATAGCTTCTCTTTACAGTATTCTAAAACTTCTCTTTATGTAAAGTTTAAGCTTCTCTTTACAGTATTCTAAAACTTTTCTTTACGTAAAGTCTAAAGCTTCTCTTAACATTCTACTAAAATTTCTATGTACATCAGTCCAAGCTTCTCCTTACATTAATAAAAGTTTGGAAGTTTCATTGTTAACAGTTCCACATGTGGTCTGCAGTTCTGGACAGAGGGGTGCACTGATATCCCCTGATTTGGAGATCCATTTGGGGGGGGCACACTTTGGGGCTTCCTTAGTTCTAAAGGATAACTCATACTGGACAGTTACAAGATCGACTGATTAAAACAACCAACTATAGCGCTGCAGATCTGGAAGACCCCATCAGGGGGTCATCCCACGTAGCCGGTTTCTTTGCTATGCAGACAGATGATCCGCATTTTGTGCTTCTTGGATGTACTGGCATGGGTGGCCTAGTCGTCTCAGGCGCCGCAATTTGCAGTGCACCATACCAAAGCCGTAAACGTCTAAGACCTGCATCACTTCAGGCTTTCCTCCCACATTAAGCTGACATGTCGTGATATAACTGGAATACTGTTAAAATTGGTGTTAAACACAACTCACTCACTTTGATTTACTGACAATAGTCTGTATGAAATAACCCCGGATATTGACATGATAAACATTTACAGATTTTTTCAATACAAATTCTTGACATGATATACATTTATTAATGTATACATCAATACAAATTCTTTTAATTCATTTCTTCATTCTCCATTTCATTAAGATCTGTGCCAGCATCAGAAATTGGCACTAGTCCTGTAGTCCTTACCAAACTGCCCAATAGTAAAGGTATCCTAGGGACTAGTAGAAATTGGCCCATTTTTAGGGTTTTGCTATATGTTGTCATTATAAGGACTAGTGGACAAAAACGGTTAGTTTCTAACCCTGTGTACCCAGTTAGATGTTACACAGCATCTAGGTACTCTATGGCACATTTCTTCCCAGCAAGAAACTAGAGCATCTTCAAGTTGTCGGTATTTCTTATTCTTAACATGGTGTGTACCACCTGCTTTGAGCTGAAGAACGGCAACTTCAATGAAATACTGTTCTGTCTTTACAAAGTCTTGAATCTTGAAGAGGTTAGGTTTGGAAACCAGTGATTTGGATGATTGTGTCAGTTGTTGTAGTTCGTCACAAGGTTGTTCAGGGTGTTGATTGTGGAATGGCTTGATCTCAGACAACGCCAGTTTCTTGACTTAAAACTAAAATTGTAGCTGAAGTAGACCAAACACTGTCCTCCACAATTGTTTGGATTATAGTGAGGCACTTGTCAGTTTGCCATATTGCTATGCTGCAATAGTCTATGACCATCTTGTGCTTTTAATTCAAATTGAATATATTCGCTCACTAAAAATAAAATAATCTATAAAATGTAACTGATAACCGGCTGACATGAGTTCACCACGGCCCCTTTCACCAGAATAGACAATAGTTGGTCAACTACCCATGTGTTAACATTAATCCGGATTATTTCGGATCACCAGACGAGATTACCTGTGGGACAAACCCTCTATCAGTATAGTGAGTGAGTGAGTGAGTTGGGTTTAACGCCGCTTTTAACACTGTTCCAGTTATATCGCGGCGTGTCAGTTTAATGTGGGAGGAAAGCCCAAAGTGATGCAGGTCTCAGACGTTTACCACTTAGGTGAAACCCACGAGCACGGGTATGGTGCTGACAAACCTAGAAACATAATCAGGGCGAACCGGGATTCGAACCCACAATCATAGGTTTCCTGCGTGCTCAAGGGACGCAACTCTGCACAGCGAATCGCGGCGCCTTAGACGACTGGGCCACCCGTGCCCCCCTATCAGTATAGGCTGCTAGCTCTGATAAGGGGTGAGGATGGAATTGGGGTGTTTGTTTTACGACATATGTGCTCTGGGGTCTGCAAGAGAGAGTAACCACAAACACAACATAACTGCTTACATATGTAACTTTGCTATGCATTCATTCATGTGATCAAATTACATAAATACACATCTGTGCAAAAATAAATTTTATACCGCAAAAAATCGTTTTCTGTAAAAGCTTTGATCGTCCACTTCTTATACCTTAAATCAACACTGGCCGATCAAATATGATGATAACTATACGATGCTTGAAGTGAAACATTAACTCCTACCCTTTTCACTGTGACCCCGAGGCTGAAGAGATGCTTGCAGATGAAGTGTGAGTTGGTGTCAGCTGTTTGCCCTTTCAGAATCTCATCACCAATGACTGGAATATTAATTATTATTACATGTAAACTTAACAATTAAATCACATATTAATTAGGGCTGGGACGAGTCCAAATTTACTACCCGGGTTCCCAACCCCCTATTACCCAACCCTACCCGGGTACCCACTGTAGGTCTCAGGAGATGTCTCAAAATGTCCGATTGGGAACATTTTTAGCATAGCCCTGGCAAAACGTATTTAGATACATGTATTAAACAATCTGGTCATTCATGCACTGAAGTCGAATTAAGTTATATCTTTATTCAACCATATGAAAAATCAGAAGGAATGGGTGCATAGTCAGAAAGAAATGCGAACATTAGTGACTTGTAGTGTAACCATAGAGTTCAAGATAAGTTTTGTCATGAAACAATATATCACGTGAGTAACCACGGGTCCGGGTAGTCCTTTTGGTACCCGGGTCCTACTCAGTACCCACCCGACCCGGATACCCGAGTTACCCGTCCCAGCCCTAATATTAATCATTTGCAAAATTGGCGAAAATAGAGAAAAAAATCGGTGCTGATTCTATAATTTTAAATCTAGAATAAAGCGAGAAAAAAGTCACTTACAATTTTTATTTTTCACAAACAAGACCATCATTTGTTCAAAGTAAGCGAACAGCGAAAGGTGCAAAATGACCTTCGACCCTCTTTACCTATGTCTTACCAATGATTCCAGCTGTGCTCTGTGATCTGTCGTCCATCTTTATGATATGATTGAGAACTGTGCTTAATCTGTGAGAGTGTCGAGATGATGTCATACGTAGAGGAAGTTTGTATAGAAATACAGCCATCACATGTTGTTCACAACGACCCCTCTGACACCGATTATTGTCAGGAATATCCCTCAGCCTCGCTTTCAAAAGGGAATCCCCAGACCTTCACCTTTACGAAGTCTGCCGTAGACGCCTCTCGGATCTGCTCGGCTTTTTCCGCAACCTACATAACATTAGACTGTGTGAGTTCAATATACAAATGTACCAGTGATTGTGTCAATCAAAATATTTGTGTAGAATTACTTTTTATGCTAAATTTTCAATGTTTGCATAATCTGTAAAATAATAAATGAATTAAATAAGAAATTCACAAGTTGGAAAAGAATATGAACAAGTTCAAAGAAAGAAATTTGTCGGCTGAAGTCAGAGTATTTGTTATTCTTTAAACATATTATACAAATTTGGAACATTTTCATTCAGAATAAGTAACGGTCGCGATCAATATGCCGAAGACGCTGAAGTAGTGGCGATAGTAGTAGGATAAAAAAAAATAGTGAAATGTTTTTTATAACATTTGTGTGATTCGGGTGCATTAGATGTATATAAATCATGTTATAGTTTTTCTTCTGAAAATGCTTTCCAATATATGAGTACGTTCGTTGAAACTTTATTTACTGAAGATAGGTATTCTGTCGGGGAAGTGTAAGAGTTAATATTATTAATATTACAGCAGGGTAGTAACCATTATCAAACCAGTTTAATTTCATGGACGTTTGAACTAATTTTCGTCACTACCGCTCGATATCTGACAAAAAAATCCACTCGCTGTTTATGGTTTTATGTCAATTTTCACTAAGAATCGCGCGCGTGCGTGCGTGCGTGCGTGCGTGCGTGCGTGCGTGTGTGTGTGTGTGTGTGGGGGGGGGGGGGGGGGGGGGGGGGATATTACGGCTTATACGGTATTCATATATTTTCGCTTTTAGTATCATCGTATCCCAATTGGGTAGATCGATGCTCATGATGTCAATCACGGGATAGTCTGGTCCAGACCCGATTATTTACAAATCGCCGTCATATGCATGACTGGAATATTGTTATTGTTATTGTTACAACAAACAAAGAATTGTTTACTTCATCTGGTCTTGTGAGTGTGAACATGTAGGAGCGGACACTTTTCACATGTCTGAATACCCAGTGACATTGCTAACGTCAAGTAAACCATTCCTAGTTTATTCGAATTGTATTGATTGTATCGCTTTAGTTTGATATCCCGTCCTGTGCGCATGTGCATGTGTTATTGCTAGCGATTAACACATGAAATGTCTTATATGGTCGTTTTAGTTTGTTTTATTCTAATGATGCGTTCTCTCCAAATCAACTATCGTTTATCATAGTGACTAAATATGTTCGTTAGCTAGAATGTTATTCTGTTATTAAAGGTAACCCGCCTGAATAGCCTGTCTCTCTGTTCCCTTTCCGCCCAGCCCTGGCTGAAATGCAAAAGCTCTAAATGTAGCAAGTCTAGATTTTCTTCATGTTCTGAATCTCCCACTTCAACGAGGCTCTATGTCAATGTAAATGGAGTTAATCGTTTCTATGAAAATGATATATTTTCAGAGACTAAGCGTTTGTCCTACCTGGGTGCTACGGAAAGTGCCGAGTACGTTATGTACGGGAAGAACCGACCATATTGCACTGACCACTGGGGTTATTATCAGCCTGGCTGATTAGCCTAGCCTCAGTTGCAGTAGTCTGTCATTCAGACCCCGAAACAAATACATCCCATAAAGCCGATTCACGGCAGCTTTGAGGTCATCGTTGTCGTCATAGCGCTTTCCACGAAGGTATTCTTTCAGTTTAGGAAACAGGTGGAAATCACTTGGTGCCAGGTCTGGCGAGTGGGTAAGCTTTTCGAACACACATTATCGCACAGCAGCCTTTGCAAGTCGAGAGGTGTGAGAAGAGGCATTGTCATGAAGTAGTAAAACTCCAGCAGTCAGCATTCCTCGCCGCTTTTCTTTGATAGAATCTCTCAGGCGATGAAGCAAATCAACACGGATCATACCCTTTGCACCCCAGGCTACAGTGGTCATAACTTTCTTCACTGATCTTGAAGACTTGAATTTCTTTGGTGCCGGAGAAGTGAAATAGTGCCATTCCATTATTGACATTTTGACTCGGGATCAGAGTGGTAGACCCACGTTTCATCACCCGTTACTTATCTCTTTTTGAATTTGACGAAATCCTCCTCAATTAGCTCCAAACCTATTCCGGAACTGTCAGTTCGTTGTTTCCTTACGATCAGAATTTAGAAACACCCAACGAGCAGATATCTTGTTCATCTGTTAATGTTCATGAATAATATTTTCAATGGATCCATGGCTTAGACTTTTGTCTTCCTCGAGTTCACCAAAGGTAATACGTCTATCTGACAGTAAATGTTTTTTTTTCTATCTTCTTGATTGAATCCTCATTGATTGAAGTTGAGGGACGTCAAGACCTAGGGTCATTATCAAGGCCTGTTCTCCCAGCCTTAAACATAGCTGCCCAACGTTTATCAGTGGAATAGCTAGGGCACTTATCCCTATACACTTGTGACATGCGCTCATGAATTTCTTTGGGAGTATATTTCTCTAAAGTAAAAAAAACACTTAACGACTGCTCGGTACTCGTTCTTGTCCATTTCTGTGTCGATTTGGACCCCCTCATGTTCAACTGGCTGTCACTAATATACAAACAGCCTCACGGAAAAAAAACAGACTTGCATTGAACTACTCAAACAATGTACTCCATTACAAGGTCACTATGTTATGGCCCATAGTTGAAAGTTAGTCAGGCTTAGAACATTTTGACCAGCCCTCGTAACAAACATTCTAGTCGACATTTTGCATAAAAAATTTTTTGTCACATCCTCCTTTTTATCAGGCGAACAATTATTCATTAAATCCTGAACCTCCATATAATTTCATGTTGAAATGACGTATATTCGTCTGAAAAATACGGTCTTGTATAGACTTTCAAGTGAAGATAAATTCAAGTATATACCGCTGTTCTGTTTCTGAATTTTATATGTAATAATATACTAATTGTTTTTGTATTATTGTAAAATGTGAAAATTGGAACAATGTGAAAACGATCAGAGGAAATGTCCACAACATTCTGTCATTGGTATAGACAGACAGACAGACAGACAGACAGACAGACAGAACATTTTATTACTCAACCAACCAACGGTGGTACATGAGAATTTGAATTATTTACATCATTTAACAAATATATACATGGCATGTGACAGGACAGGATAATATGAATATTACCTTAACAAATTATATAATATATTCAGATATGACTTAAGATTCTTTAAATCCTTCGTGGTTTTATTCCATAAGAGTTTTCTAATCATTGGATAATTTTGGAAATCACATATTTGTATCGAGAGGTAGGTATTTCGGTGTTGGAGAAGGGCTTCACACCAGAAGAGATAGTGAAACTCATACAAGGACAAGGAACCTCATGAAGGTTCCGATTGAATGAGAGTTATCAAGAGGAGATAACTCTCGAGGCATCGGCTTTGTTCATGGCGTCGCTTTTGTTGATTTGGAAAAGACGACTTTTATTTGGATAACAAATCAGGGTAAATGAATAGTTTTCAATACCATTCATAAATTTTGAAGTGCGAGAACACAACCGGCTGTCATTTTATAGTTCTACGCCAAAGAGCGTACGTTTTTACTAAGTGGATTGTTTTTGAAATCCTCGTTATATGCATGACATTTCATGCTGTTTGAGAATATGGTAATGTGACTTGAGCAGGTTAGGTTGTTTGTTTATTTAAATGTCCATCGATTACACACATGTCCAAATGTCAAACTTTGGCCTTAGGCCCCATTCTCGGGACCAATAATTTCAATTCCCTTGTTTATTGACCTCCCAATATTTAGGACTAGGAGATAAACATACTCCCAATATTTAAAAATGCATGTTTTTCGAGAGATATTATTTCCACGTGAAGGAGATTATGAACTTATGAAATCTTACAAAGAATATTATTATATACCATCCCTTGTTTTATACCACGTGGACAGGTTACTCAGGAGAAATATTCTGTGTAACATTATCAGAAATGCACACTGTTGGGATTGCTATCTGCACGGGCACTATACAAATGTACCCTAGCCTGGCAATATATGTGTGGTACTGTCTATTAACACAATGTCTAGTTTCCCTGAAGGGGTCATTGTCAGCACAGGTACTACAGACATGTACCCCAGGTACGTTTCTGTATAGAGAAATGTACCCTAACCCAAATCAGAATGCAGAAAGATACTTGGAGTCCATATTCCTCATCCCGGAACCGAACCGGTTCATATCGAGTTCTGATTCGCCTGATGACGAGTGCATGCTGGATAATTCTGTGCATCGTGGAATATGAGAGCAATGTACGTACGTCACTTTGCTCGTTTTTTATATAGCACACTGGAATGCATCTCATACAACAGTATGACAGTTCCGATCCATTTATGGTAAGGAAATACGGAGAGAAAAATATACTACATGTACTGCCATGTTGAATTTTCCTGCTGTTTGGCATCCAGGATGTGTTGTACAGGTAAGCGTTCAAGGAACCGTTTCAGAGCATTGCGCAATACGGCCGGCGGCGCAATGGACTCCTCCTAAGGTACCTTTCTGTATTCTGATTTTGGCTAGGGTACATTTCTGTATACAGAAACGTACCTAGTTCTACATATCTGTAGTACCTGTGCTGACAACAACTCCTTCAGCTTTAGGTTCAGTTTGGCTGTCATGTTTGGAGTTGATGACCAAAAGCATTTAGCTGGAAAATAAAACACCTCACAGTAAGAAGTGGTCTGTACCATCAGTTAGTGTTTGTGATGGGTTTCATGTTTAGTATTCCTTCATCAGCCATATGCTTCAATGAGGGGAGCATATGGTGAGAGAAAGGTCAAAAGTACAAATCATGGCGTAAGAGGCGACTAACGGGATCGGGTGGTCAGGCTCGCTGACTTGGTTGATGATTGTCATCGTATCCCAATTGCGTGGATCGATGCTCATGATGTCAATCACTGGATTGTCTGGTCAAAGCCCGATTATTTACAGATCGCCGTCATATAGCTGGAATATTGCTGAGTGCAGCGTTAAACAACAAACAAACCATGGTTATCAGTCATAGTGTCAATATACGAAAACAAATTGGGTTTGTTTTACATATACATGCATCTACACATGTTCACGTAGATCTTTGTGTTTGACATATGTCTTAGCATTAGAATACTTTTGGTTATTATTGCTTACTGAAAGTTGAACACATTGGAGGAAGTGATATTGAGACTGACACATGTTGTAGGAGTTGATTGTGCTGGGATTGTGTTCTGATTGTGCTGATTGTGTCAAGATTGTGTCAAGTTGTCCTGTGAGTGTGTCATGATTGGGCTGTTATTGTGTCATGATTGTCCTGTGATTGTGTTATGATGTCACTGTGATTGTGTCATGATTGGGCTGTATTTGTGTTTTGATTGTCCTGTGATTGTGTCATGATTGTGCTGTATTTGTGTTCTGATTGTCCTGAGATTGTGTTATGATTGTACTGTGATTGTGTTCTGATTGGGCTGATTGTGTCATGATACTCCTGTGGTTGTGCCTGATTGTACTGTTTTGTCTCGATTGTGTTCTGATTGTGCTATGATTGTGTCGTGATTGTCTTCTTCTTCTTCTCCAGTGTGATGGAGGCTGCTGAGGAGGAGGAGCAGATGTATCGGGTTGTCAAGAATGACCTTGACAACCTCATCTCCTCCATTTTGGAACAGGATCAGGAGGAGGACACCGACGAGATTAATGTGTTCAACACCCAGGTCCGGCAAATAGAACGTGAGTAGATCAATGTGTTCAACACCCATGTCTGGCAAATATAACGTGATTAGAACGATGTGTCCAACACCCAGGTCCGGCAAATAGAACAGGAGTAGATCAATGTGTTCAACACCCAGGTCCGGCAAATATAACGTGATTAGAACAATGTGTCCAACACCCAGGTCTGGCAAATATAACCTGATTAGAACAATGTGTTCAACACCCAGGTCTGGCAAATATAACGTGATTAGAACATTGTGTCCAACACCCAGGTCCGGTAAATAGAATGTGAGTAGATTGATTTGTTCAACAACCAGGTCCGACTGAGATGCCTTAGATGTAATGACAGGGTGTGTAAAATATCCACAATATATATACCCCAGTCTTTATTATTCTCTTTTCAGAACAGCCTGTTTTTACTATGTTTGAATTAAATTTATAAATCAGTTATGCTGGTGTGAATGCTTCTCCCGAAAAGTTAGAATCCCAATGGTGTTTGGCTACAGTTACCTCCTATGGAGTGTTTTGTCAGATCTTGATGGTGAAAAGTATCGAAGTGGAGAAAAAGTAAACTTTGCTTGGATCCTGTTTACCAGTTTTTGACTGGTAAAATTAGACTTGGACCGGTAATTCACATGACGGCCAGTCCCCGTGGACCGGCAAATATAGTACCTTATAAATCTTCCTTGTTGAACAAAACATCAGCAGTATTCATATAAGTATATTTTTCGAATGAAGTCAATTTGCCTTGTCTACTTTTAGTGCAAGGACATTACATTTTGCTTTGTTTCGAGATTAAATATATATTTGTAGCAACTTAGTCTCGAAATATTAAAAAGAAGAAGAGTAAAGCGTGACTGAACTTTGTGTGAATGACATGTAGATCTAACTTAGTTACTTCACAGATGACGTCATTGCATTGAATATGATATTGAAAGAATTAAAATAAGATAATTTCATACGTTTTTTTAATTGTTGAAAGTTGGCACTAATAATTTTTCCAGTCCACCAAGATTGGCAGTTTCAAAAGCCAGGGGGAACACTGACATACATGATTGAAATACTGGTCGAAGTACCCACACACTCACTGTCTGTCAATGATGCGGTTGGAGGAACCATCCATACTTCATTGAGGTGGCCCAGTCGTCTAAGGCGCCATGATTCGCTGTGTAGAGTTGCGTTCCTTGGGCACGCCAGAAACCTTTGACTGTGGGTTCGAATCCCGGTTCGCCCCGATTATGTTTCTAGGTTTGTCAGCACCATACCCGTGCTTGAGTGTTTCACCAAAGTGGTAAACGCCTGAGACCTGCATCACTTTGGGCTTTCCTCCCACATTAAGCTGACACGTCGTGATATAACTGGAATACTGTTAAAAGCGGCGTTAAACCCAACTCACTCACTTACTCATCGAGACGTTCATGGTTGTGGTAGACACCACCAACATTTCGTTCTAAAGTTAACCTGGTTTTGTTGTGAAATGTGAGAAGGTTGACTGCAGTAGTTTTGTGATCTCCCTTCTTACAGGGAAACAGCGGGAGATCAACAAGATATTCCTGGAGTGTCAGGACCATTTGGACAAGTATCGGGAGACCCTCCGACTGGAGCAGGAAGACGAGGAGTAAGTTACGATTGTAATTCATAGTGATGACAGAGCTTCAGATTAATGTTACTATTGAAAAGGCAAGGAACTTTTCATCTGTGAAAATAATGGGTATAAAAAATACATGTGCCCTGAATCCATACTCATCCAAATTGTTTGTTTGTTGTTTAACGCCGCACTCAGCAATATTCCAGTTATATGACGGCGGTCTGTAAATAATCGAGTCTGGACCAGACAATCCATTGATTGACATCATGAGCATCAGCGCAATTGGGATATGATGATCCCATTAATCGGCTTTTACGACAAGCATAGTCGCCTTAAACGGCAAGCATTGGTTGCTGAAGACCTATTCTACCCCAGATGGAAACAGATAATGATTACAATTTAATATATCATCTCTTGCACCTGTTGATACAGTTGATATTTCTCCTTTGTTTTTGGTTCTGTGGTGGTGTGCGACCATAGGGTAGTGTTAGGGTTGGGGTATTGGCACATAAATCGTTTTGCAGTTTATCACAATATGGAGAGCTGAATTGCGATACGTATTGCAATGCGTATTAGGGCCCAAATTCTATATATTTGTACTGTTCAAATGGTACTTCTTCATCAATAATCCAGAGTTTAGATTGTCAGATGGGTAGTATGGATAAACGAGACTACCATTTACATCATGAAAATGGAATATTAATGTAAACAGCTTGAAGCGTGTGCTGTTAACATGGTTTGGATAGAAACCCAGTCCATCAAAATGCCTCAAGACAGTAGATATCATTTATATAATTATATTTTAATTCTTGAAAATATGAAAATGCGTGTGATACGTGTATTGCTCACGGTCGTATACCAGTTTTATTGCACACCCCTACTAGTTATGTTACCATGGTTACAGTGAGAAGCAGAAGGAGGCGGAAGCAGCGGTAGCTGAGGCACAGGAGACAGAACGGAAGCAGCAGCTGCGCGAAGCACAGGAGGCAGCAGAAGTCCTTGACCTTGTGGAGGACAGCGATGACGATATTGAAATAATTGGGTCGTCTTTTGATCCAAATGTTGCTGCCAACAGGAAGGCCATCATAAAGGCTCACATGGCGGCACGGCCTGCTGCGAAACAGCCAGTCAAACCAGCAGAGGCGTCGGTGCCGCAACCGGAAACCACCACTCTCACGCAGAATGTCATGTAGGTTGTGCATGTAGTTGTATCTTAAATAATCTGTACAGCCCATATTTTAAACTGTATAAACGATATTGTAATGCCCAAATATTATATAATCTGTATATTACTTGATATTTGCCGGATTAAAAAGGCCAACTAAGTGATATGCCTCACTCACTCACTCAACCACTCAGTCACTCAACCACTCAACCACTCAACCAACCACTCAACCACTCACTCAACCACTCACTCTCTCACTCACGCAACCACTCACTCACGCAACCACTCACTCACTCACTCACTCACTCACTCACTCACTCACTCACTCAATCACGCAACCACTCACTCACGCAACCACTCACTCACGCAACCACTCACTCACTCACTCACGCAACCACTCACTCACTCACTCACGCAACCACTCACTCACTCGCACAACAACTCACTGTTGCAGAGCCCCTGGGACAGCTGGAGTGTCTGGCCAGGTGTCCGTAGCCCACCTGAGAGCTATCCTCACTGAGGCCATCAACAAACAGATGCCAGGCTCACAGGCACATGCTCAGTCTCAGGCTCAACTGCTACAACTACAGCAGGTACGTAACACTTCCCTACCATCAGTGGTGTCTCGGTGTACCGCCACAGCTCAACTGCTACAACTACAGCAGGTACGTAACACTTCCCTACCATCAGTGGTGTCTCGGTGTACAGTCTCAGCTCAACTGCTACAACTACAGCAGGTACGTAACACTTCCCTACCATCAGTGGTGTCTCGGTGTACAGCCTCAGCACCCATCCTCAAAAACAAGGCCTCACAATACTGCTCCTCACAGATCACATACCAGCTCACGGCAGTGCTGTGGGGTAGCCTGTTGGTTCATCCAGGGATTTATCAAGACCTGATCAAAGGTCAAATTTCTGCCCAAGTCTACAGAAATGTCAGTAAAAATTCCAAGATTGGAATTATAATTCCCAATTCCTGTTGTTATAGTTATAACTAATGTTGGAGTGTTGTTGAGCTGACTTATATTTCACTTATCACAGACCCAGTAGGCAGGACATATGCTTAGTTTTACATCACTGTAAAGAAAACAATGTTAAATACCTCAGAATTTGAGAAAATAAGAACAAATGTTTCTCTATTTACATGCCATGGACGCTTAGTTTGGAGTCCTAGAAATATCTCCCTCAGGAATCCGCTCGTCTCACCGTGTTCGAGCTTCACATGACTACAGTGTCTCATGCCCTCCTCTTTACCTTGAGACTGCCTCTGTGGTCTAATGGTACAGCGTCCGCACGGAGAGCGGAAGGTCCGGGGTTCGATCCCCAGCCGCGTCATACCAAAAGACGTTAAAAGATGGTACTTGTTGTTACCCTCTCTGGCGCTCGGCATAAAGGGGCTAAAACAAGGACTGGTCGGCTCAGAGTCAGTATACTGTGTCTGAGTGGGATATTCATGATAAGGTGCGGCATGGTATCTCAGTGAGCTAGCACTGTAAATCGGCATCAGTACGGACTAGTACAAGCAGACACACAAACACACGTACATGCACGTCGCTATATAAGTGCAATAATCTTGGACGAGACGTTAAACCCCATTTCACCTCACACCTTTACCTTGATATTGTTCGAATATTGCTAAAAGCCACATCAGATCAAATTCACTCATTGACTATCTCAACTTCCAGCAAGCCCAGAAGGGAGAGTTATCTCCCCTGCAGAAGCAGCTCAACACTGACGTCACATACACAGTTGCGAGGACAGGACCTGTAGCAATCCTGCCAAAAGTTTCTACAAAACCTAAAAACTCATCTTCATCGCAGGACTGGTAAGTATTGGGAGTCTGCATAATTTTACCTTATCCTGCATTACATGTTGCATTCCCTTGTTTCCTCTGAGAACATGGGTTGGTGAAAAGCAGAATAGTGATGTAAATACTGGCTGGTTGCTGAGGGCAGGCGGTATTTGGGCAAGCAATTTCAGTCTTTCACAAGGAATGATGTTTCCATAATAAAAAGATTTATGTGGTTCTGGCTTCCCTACTTTTCCTTAGTGTTTTTAATCCGGTCTGTAAAACCTGATCATTCTAACGGTTGGTAGTCACGTGACACAGGACATCCTATCCTCACAAAATGGCCTCCATTCTGTAGCAGACACTGAAAGTCCCTGACATCACAACCCGTGACTCTTTTTCTATGACGGGGCGGTCGGGTAGCTTTAAAGCGTTCTCTCATCACGCCGAAGACCCGTCTTCGATTCCCAACATGTGTACAATGTGTGAAGCCCGTTTCTGGTGTCCTCCGACGTGATATTGCTGAAATATTGCTAAAAAGGTGGGATAAAACCATACTCACTCACTCACCCACTCACTTTTTCCCTGACAGTAACCAGCCGGTATTTGGGGGAGGTGGACTTTGTATGCTTATTGAGATGTCAACATGATATTCAGGGATGAGAATCTTTCGCGGATCCGCGAATTTTAGTGACCACAAATTTGTTTAAATCTGATGGCTTCCCCTATAAACACCCCCAAGTTATGGACCATGCTCCATTGCAAAGAAGTTTCAGCTGATAAGGTAAATATCCATTCTCATCCCTGGATATTTGGAACTGTTGATACATACATGCATGATGATCACTCGTTGATGTGTTTGAAAGCAGCCATTTTGTCCATTACCGTGTCCTTTGTCATGTTATCACTGAGTGGAGCCGATATTTCAGAATCTAAGGTGCTGACTTTAAGGGATTTTTATAGTGGTGCTCACTACTGGGATAGACCTGTAAAGACCCAGGGCAGAGTAGGTCTTCAACAACCCATGCTTGCTGTAAAAGGCAACTATGCTTGTTGTAAGAGGTGACTAACGGGATAGGGTGGTCAGGCTTGGTGACTTGGTTGATGAATGTCATCATGTCCCAATTGCGCGGATTGATGCTCATGATGTCAATCACTGGTTTGTCTTGTCCAGACTCTATTATTTACAGACCGTCGTCATATTGCTGGAATGTTGCTGAGTGCGGTGTTAAACAATAAACAAACTGGAACTCCCAATTACTCACATAGTAATATCTCGGCCAGTGTTTTGTTTCAGTCACTGTTCATGCTTCATCTTATGCTTGTTGCCTTCAGGAAAGAGGTGGATATTTCGGCCAAAGTGCTTGCCAAGAAGTTCAATGATATCTGGTACTCCGGGACAATAACTGACATCGTCAACAAGTTAGATCCACCAGACGTGGTAAGTATCGCTTCCACACACTTTGTACTGTCACTTCCTAATGCTTAGAGGCTGCAAATGAACCCCAGCAGATGTCGGAACAGATCGAGCACTGATGAATGTTTCCATAATGATGGCACAGTTACCACTTGGTTGTCTTGGCCCTATGAAACTCATGGTGCTGGAGGCCATTGATGAGGGACTAAGCATGAATTTAAGTTATTGTTAATTCTACCATGACGATGTGAAATACTCGAATTTGGTTGGGCAATCAATACAATTAGACATTACAGAGCTCCAGATAAGCTTTTGGTGTTGTGGGTATTTTACCCATGCATTTTTAAATCATTGGGTATCAGTAATCCTATCTGGGTATTCAAATTTCTGTTACCAACTAATTACATTAAGTAATACGTTACCACTGTTATACCGAGGGTGTTGTCTCCCACAACTGCTGCTATAGCGAAATCTACCACAGAGATCTCAATTACCTCATGCAGCACGTGCGTAGCCACCTAGCTGCCATGTGACACCCTTCACTCTTGTCTCTTCGCTTGCTCTAGCAAGACGTACAATAAACTGCTCAAGCGTTCCAGTTTCTCCGACCATTCGGTGATATTTATTACTGTTTATTCTCTCTAATAAACTGTGCTTTTACGGGGCGTTTGCTGTAACTACGCTTGGAAATATTTTCCCGCCAAAAGGAAATATTTTTCCCGCCCTTTTTTTCTATATACTTGCGGGGTGTCTCGTATGCACGTTGCGTCTTACGTTCCCCTGTTCTAGTATATCTTGGGGTTTTTACATCACTTATACCTCTATATGTTATATGTGTATGTTCTATATTCGCATTGCTCGTTTATTTTCTTGTGAAAATACTCGTTTGTGACTATTTGTGGTGCGTGTGTTGTAACCATGTTTTGCTCTTTGTTCATAGTACAAACAAAATGTCTGACATGGATGTTTCGCCGTCCTCCACCCCCGCAACCAGGAGCTGCGGGGTGTGCCGCAAGCGAGCGCTACCGGCTGTATGTGCAGTCCGTTTCCACCCCTGTGGTGGCCGGCTCGTCCGGTCGGGGTCCCCTTGCGGGTACCACCACCACGGCTGCGGCGGATCCCTTGACGGCCCGTGGGCTGTCCGGGGATTCCGTCGCTGCATTACTTGCATAACTTGTGGACTCCAAGCTGGCGGCCTTATCTCAGGATAGGCCGCTGGCTGTTCCGTCCCCGGCCACTTAGGTGGCCGCGGGGTCGGACGCGGGGTCCACCGGTACGGCGGCGGCTCCCGTGGTCACCGGTCCTTCCCCCGAACCGTTGCTCCCGCTATCGGTTAAGGACCGCGTGGCCATGGTTTATGACCTCTTTGAGGACATGCCCCGGCCGGAACCGTGGGGAATCCACGACTGTGGGTTCCTCCGAGGTATACGATGAGTCTTCCGACACGGCTTTCCCCGCATCAACCTTGCTGCGCGGTATCAAGCCTTCCTTGGAGAACGCCTTCGCGGCGGCCTCCGGTCGGGGTCTCCCGTTGCCTCCGACGTCATGGAGAAAGGGTTTATACCCGGTACATGACCTTGCCTTTCCCGAGGCTGGTCCTACCGCGGAGGCCCATGTTGAGCGGTTGGGTGTCCGTGCCCCACCGGCTGCTACGGTAACGCAAGCTACCTTGCACCAGCTGGACGCCCTCGCTCGGCACTCCATGTCTCACGGAGACACTTACTTGGCTGCAGCGGCCCGTCTGGTCGAAGGTTCTCCCAAGGACCGTGACCAGCGCATTTACAACTGCCTGCTCAGTTTAAATGCTTCCCTGGAGTACGTTGCCGAGGACTCTCGGCACACACTTGCTCTTGTTGGGTCCCTGCATAGGCGCCTGGGTGCCGCTCCTAACCGGAGCGCGCCCCAGGCTGCTGCGGCCGGTAGGTCTAAGTGGTCGGGTTCTTCTTCCTCTGGGAAGTAGCCCCGCCCTGAGGGCTCCGGTATGGGCAATCAGCTGCCTTTTCGCGGGAAGACGGGGAACTGGGGGAAGCCCAAGTCGTCGACGGACGGCAAGGGCCCCTCCAGGTGACTCTCATTGGAGGGGTTCGTATGCCGACAGCGCCGACTTCGGTTGGCCCTAAGGCGAACCCGAGTCACTTGGCCCTGGACAGTTGCGCCTGCCGCAGCCTGTCAGGGCCCCCTCTCCTTCCCCAGTGGGAGCCAGACTCCAGACTTACTGGGAGAATTGGGAACAAGTGTTCGACGACCCGTGGGTGGTCAACACGATTCGGTACGGCTATCGGCTTGATCTCAAAGCGAATCCGCCGCTCACCATTGCCCCGTTGGCAGGTTTCGATTCGGAAACCGATCTTCCCATCCTCGCCGATGCCATCGGCAGGTTGGTGGAGAAGGGGCAGTACGGGAGTTAGCTCTACCAGAAATAACACCGGGGTTTTACTCCAGGATATTTCTCGTTCCCAAGTAGGACAGTGCCGAACTCAGAATGATTCACACGTCCGCTCCCTGGCTGTTCACCCGGTTAACCACCCCCATAGTGGGGTTCCTCCACAGGAGGGGTGTCCGGTACTTCGCGTAACTGGACGACTCGCTAGTAGCAAATCGAATGACGGACACCCTGTCACGCATCTCGTTTTCGCACTTCGGCTCTTGGAGCAATTGGGGTGGATTATCAATCTCCCCAAGAGCGAGTTAACCCCTTCTCAGAACTTGCTGTTCATCGGAGGTCGGTTCAACACGGTGTCCCATCGCCTCTTTGTCCCCCCAGACCGGTGGCACAAGATTCAGGCGATGATTGCCAAAGTCTTAGCGGTGTAACAGACTGTTCACTTTTGGGAACAGCTGTTAGGGCTACTTGTATCAGCCCAGGACTGCACCGAACAGGGTCGTCTCCAACTCCGCCCGCTGCAACGGTTTTTAATCCAGTTGTTAGCAACGGAGGTGAACAGTGCGACCGTCACCCTCCCGGATCGGCTCCGACCGCATCTGGAGTGGTGGACGGTCCCTTACAATGTCTTTTCAGGAGTCTCTATGCGGCCCTACCGGGCCACGTTGAACCTGTATACAGACGCCTCTCTAGTGGGCTGGGGCGCCCATCTAGAGGGGGAGGTGAGCTTGGGGCTGTGGTGCGTAGACGAACTAGGTCTTCACATCAATTGTCTCGAGTTCAAGGCAGTGATCAACGCAGTCAATCACTGGAAGCATCGTCTCGTCGACGCCCGGCTCATGCTGGCGACCGACAACACGACGGTAGTGTCCTATGTGAACAAACTGGGGGGAACCAACAGTCACTCGCTACTCGATCTCACGTTCGAGTTTTACGCTCTGGTGGACAGTGTCCCGTGCCAGATACGCGCCCGTCACATCCCAGGTGTGCGGAACGTACTGGCCGATGCTCTATCGAGGCCTCAGGATCCGAGCCCCACAGAGTGGATGCTGAACCCAGTGGTGTATCAGTGGCTGTGCGAACGTTTGGGTCGTCCGATGGTCGACCTGTTCGCAACACGGTTCAACAATCAACTCCCGTTGTTTGTATCACCGGTCCCGGACCCGAGGGCCATCGATCACGATGCTCTCGCGTTAGACTGGACGGGCTTGGACGCTTATGCTTACCCGCCGACAGCGTTGATACCACACATTCTAAGCCGGCTCCGAGGAGTTCGCTGTCGAATGTTGCTGATCGCGCCGATGGGGCCGAACAGATCGTGGTACCCCGACTTGCTGACCCAGGTCACGCAGTCGCCACTCCCACTGCCTGTGAGACCGGATCTCTTGATCCACCCTCACACCCGTCAGCTTCATCCAAACGCAGGGCAGTTCAATCTGCACGCGTGGATGTTGTCACCGAGCGTCTGAGGAGTAAAGGTTTTTCTCGCCTGGCGTCTCGGGCATACGTTAGTATGCATCGTGATTCTACCCAGAAGGTGTATAATGCACGTTGGGTTATTTTCACGAAGTGGTGTTGTAAACATCACATTCATTCGCCAGATAAGATATCTGTGCAGGATACTGCTCGTTTCATGTCTCACTTGCGAGAGACCCGGAAACTCTCCGGGGGTTCCATTGCCAACTATGTCTCGTCCGTTGCTACGGTACGGGACGTTGCTATGGGTACCAGTCTCTCCAAAGAGCCGGTGATACGGGGTATTATCAAGGGTTTCAAACAGCACGATCTTAAGAAGGGCCGCCTTCGGGCACCGGCCTGGGATCTTTCCCTAGTGTTGCAATCACTTACGGAAGCTCCGTATGAACCCTTGCATAGTGCTTCGTTCCGGCATGTGACTTGGAAAACAGCATTTCTCCTCTCCTTTGCCACGGCGGCACGTGTATCCGAAATTCATGCACTCGATGTCGCCAAGGTACGATTCCATAGGGGTGACGAAGGAGCGGTCCGCCTGGGCCTGCTCATGGGCTTCGTCGCCAAGAATCAGAGAGTCGGGCAAACGGAGAGAGAATTCACTGTAAGATCACTCAAAGAAATCTTACATCCTGCTGATACTGAGGACAGAGCGCTGTGTCCGGTTAGGGCCCTTAAGTATTATCTTAAGGCTTCGAATGAACGTAGACAAGGGCGTGACCGTCTGTTCATATCGTGTAACCCTAATCGCACGGTTGACATAACTCGATTGCGTTGTTGCTTCGTTCTGTCATCAATCTGGCGTACCGGTCTCGGGGGTTACCGGTAGCGGGGTCACACCCGCACGAGATCAGGGCGCTAGCCGCAACATTTGCCCTACACTTGAATATCTCTGTTCGCAGAATATTACGAGGTTGTTACTGGTGTTCTGACTCGGTTTTTGCCAATCATTACCTCAAACAGGTCGCTGATGCCGTCGTGGAGAGTGTGCACCGTCTTGGCCCGCGGATCGCGGCGCAAGCGGGCACCTAAGGGGTGTGCCCAGCGCAATTCCGAACTCCTCAGGCGTCAGACCTTGCACGGTGGTCAATCTGGGTCGACTCCATTGTTCCCACTGCCGTGGGTACAGGAGTTGGGGTCCCGCAAACCAGCGCACTAAAACCACAGGTGAGGGCGGCTTTTTGTGTGCTTTGTCCTTATTTGTATTTTGACAATTATGTATTTAATTGTCTGTCGTGTATCCCAACCTTGTGATGCATGCTTACAAATACTGGAATTAGGTCACGCGCCTAATGCATACTTTAAGTAGGCTTGCTCTGGGATATACGGTCTGAATGAAATTAATTTCCCTCTTTTCGACTGTTTAACCTGATCTAAGATTTAGCTCACGCGGATACAGTGTTCTCATCCGCTGCGGCGATGAAATACCTATCCAGTGGGGCCGTTTGGAGTCACCAATCGTTTTGGCAATGACGATTGAGCCTTACGGTATGCGCTTGACAGTGCTTTGGTATTCCTATAGGGTAACGCCTAGCTAGGTGCATGCGCATCGACTGCTTCCGCCTTGGTGTTTACTTCCGCTGGTCGGAAGGAATGCTAGCAGTCAGGATTCGGGTTGTAGGTGCTCCCCACCGCCTACTGTGGTAGTCAGCCTCGGTATAACAGTGGTAACGTATTACTTAATGTAATTTGTAGAATTTTCCTATTCCTTTTCCTTTCCGTCCGTCCCCCGAGCACTTGCTCTCGCAAGAGACAAGAGTGAAGGGTGTCACATGGCAGCTAGGTGGCTACGCAAGTGCTGCATGAGGTAATTGAGATCTCTGTGGTAGATTTCGCTATAGCAGCAGTTGTGGGAGACAACAGCCTCGGTATAACAGTGGTAACGTATTACTTATAGAATATTCCGAATAGGAAAATTCTACAAGTTTTTACACATGTGGGTATTTAAGTTAAATATTTAAAAACACTATTCATCTAGTCTCTGCAAACTGGTGTCGTGTGGGTTCGAGCGCTTTATAGGACTCAAAAGTACCACGATACTTCCACAAGAAAGTGTGATGGCAAATGATCATGATGTAACTGTCAAGGTTGACGGAATGCCCGTTAATAATTTCAAAATAAGTTGCTGATTTGCTAATCGAATACGAAGGGTTACTTCTTAATATTTTGATGATACGCACAAGTTTTATTTTTGTAGCGTATCTGTAATGTTCGTTGCGTATTTGATACGCTTGGATTTTATTTTACTGCATATTTCTGCATTTCTGATGCGTATTTGACGCAGATACGCAGCTTATCTGGAGCTCTGCATTATCAGTTGCGCACCGATACAAATCATTTGTCGTCTAATCAGATGATGTTGGGATAGAGTTTATCACAATGACCCATTCGGAATCCACCAAAAGTCATCCAAGATAAGGGTCAGGCAAAACCCTGAATGTATGCCACTCCCTCCTGCCCTGTTGCATCGTTCAAAAAGTACATGTCAAAATTGAACAACCAGAATCCTGCTTTCTACCAGTTATCCCACAAAACTGTCACTGGTGTTGATCGATGTTGGTACACTTTAAGACCGCTTGACCAAAATCCTCTGTACCAAATGACATAACATGTTCGGTTTCACATGAAATTAAGAGACTATCAATTTGGTCTAACATTATTCTAATTTTCAAACACAGTACGTTTATCTCCTAATTGTCTTGGGGTTGCTGATATTGAGCAGCATTTCTTCTGAAGATGTATCTTGAGTAGCATGTCTGTATATGATTGAAGGAAAATCACTGAATATTCATTGTAAGCGATCTGTTTACAATGCTCCTCCGTTGAGTAGGATACTAACTGTTAAGTAATAACAAAATGTTTCTTAGTCTGAAGATCAGATTTTGTACGAGGTCTTTTTGCTTGTTTTAATTTATGCTGAAATATTATTGAGACTGAATGTGATGGTATTTTGATTGTGTTGTCAGAGAAAATATAAGGTGAAGTTTGATGGTAAAGGCATGAAGATTCTGTCAGGGAAGCACATTGCGTACAGAGACCCGATACACGTGGTGCTGAAGGTGGGATCTAGATGTGTTGGTGAGTTTGTCAGCCGTGCAGCACTCACATGAAGTGTTTGGTGAAATGGGGGTTAACATCGGCTTCAAAATTATTCCATATAGACATGTGCATGAATGCATGCACTTATCAAGGCTGATGGTGGTTTTATGGAGAGATACCATGCTACAGTTTAACATGGATACCTCACTCAAACACAGAATACATCTATATAACGTCTTTTGGTTTGACGTGGCAGGGGAATGGATGACCGACCTCCCACTCATTGGACAGAGACTCTAGCCACTACACCACTCTAGCCACTACACTCTAGCCACTACGCTCTAGCCACTACACCACTCTAGCCACTACACTCTAGCCACTACACCGCTCTAGCCACTACACCACTCTAGCCACTACACTCTAGCCACTACACTCTAGCCACTACACCACGGAGGCAAGCAGAATTAGTAGGGACTGAGACTAGGTGTCCTTCATGTACATCTCCCCTGCGGGGACAGTATTGGTCTCCAGTACCCATGCTGATTATTGAAGCATACAAAAATGAGGAATCATGGGGATTCCGGATTAGAATTGGTCCCCAGCAAACCATGCTTATTGTAAGAGGCGACTACATAGTTTGGGAAGTTAGGCTTGTGGACTTGGTTGATTCTGTGTCATCGTACCGCAGTGACATGGATCATGGCTCACAATAACATGGACAAATTTGTGTGGCCTATATATGGATTATTCACAGGCTGCTGTCACGTAGTTGGAACATTGCGTTAAACAATAAACAAACAACAGAAAGTGAGGTTTGGATGGTTACAACATGAGACTAATTGATAATGTGGCTGGACCACTGATCTGCCTGACTACAACAGGATGCTTTATCAAGGCTGGGACATTTCTGCCAGAATGCAGCGTAAAACACTCACTTTCACACCAGTGAATCAAAGTTTAGCTTCATATTACACTGAATTGCAACCATGTTTAGAAAATTTGTGAGTTCAGTTCCCAAGTTTGGGAGTCCAAGGCCCATGGTGTGTCTGCATGTGCTTTTCTTTCTTTCTTTTCGTATAGTAACCATCAACCTTCATGTTTTAGCCCTGTATCGGGATGATGAAGCTAACGGACCCAACTCATTCTATGCCGGGATCGTTGCTGAGGCGCCGAGCGTCAAGAACCAGAAAAGGTAGAATCTGTCCTTAAGATTCAGTATTTAGCGTTTGATTAGAGAATACCCAATGAGCTACAGTGAATGATTGCATCTCTTATTTATCTTGAGTCGGGGCGGTGGGGTAGCCTGGTGGTTAAAGCATTCACTCGTCACGCCAAAAACCCGGGTTTGATTCCCCACATAGGAACAATGTGTGAAGCCCATTTCTGGTGTCCCCCGCCGTGATATTGCTGGAATATTGCTAAAAGCGGCGTAAAACCGCACTCACAATAATCGTCTGGAGTGAATAAATGGTCTTGAGTAAATAAATGGTCTTTAGGGAAGAAATGGTCTAGAGTGAAGAAATGGTCTTGAGTAAATGATGTTGATTGAATGATGGTCTTGAGTGAATAATGGTCTTGAGTGAATAAATGGTCTTGAGTGAATAAATGGTCTTGAGTGAATAAATGGTCTTGAGTGAATAAATAGTCTTTTGTAAATAAACGGTCTTGAGTAAATAAATGGCCGAACATTCCTCTGTGTTTTACCTATTGTCATTTTAAAAAAGAAAATGAAGAAAAACGTATAAAATCTCAAAGCTGAAGTTTATATAACTTGTTGATGATGTGTTTTTGAATTATTCTCATTGATACAGCAGTTTAATGTGCCTTTGACCCCCCACCAGTTAGATGTTAGTATGCTGCAATCACGTGCACATGTTGTAAGTTTAACAGTCAGTTGTTATCCCTGGGTAATACGGAGCTTGTACAGTATTTGTGTGTGACCAGCGCCGTACACTGACTTTTCATGGTTCTCTCGTTTCAGATATCTCATATTCTTTGACGATGGGTATGCCCAGTACTGTTACCCCAAGGAGATTCACAAAGTATGCCACCAGAGTAAGTCAGTGTTCTTTGTCACGCCACACATCACAGGCGGATCCAGAGGGGTCCAGAGGGGGGTCCAGAGGGTCCAAACCCCCCTTTTGTACACAAAATGTAGTACCGGTATGTTGTAGGAAGTAAAATTATCTGAGAGAGGATTTTAATATTTTGGACCCTCCCTTTTCAAGAGCTAGATCCGCCCTTGCACATACTTTGATCAGCTACCAACAAGTATTACTTTATGAAACTGGTTAAACGGACAAATTACAAAGTTTGCACATGAAAAAGCCTGCATACTGACAATAGACTAGAAAAGGTTTAAATACATGGGTGCCTTTCAAAGGAATTAAACAAAGTTCTTGAAAAGGACTGTTATTTGACAGAAGTTATAGTTGGGAATAATACCCTGTACTCCCTTAGGATTGTTTTCAGGATATTAAACTGTTTCTCAGCAACTTTGTAATAATTTCGTCAACATGCCTCCCTTTGTTGGTAATACACACAATCCATCAACAGAGGAGTGAGTGAGTTGGTTTTAACGCCGATTTTAACAGTATTCCAGTTATATTGCGGCGTGTCAGCTTAATGTGGGAGGAAAGCCCAAAGTGATGCAGGTCTCAGACGTTTACCAATTTTTGTGAAACCCATGAGCTCGGGTATGGTGCTGACAAACCCAGAAACATAATTGGGGCTAACCGGGATTCGAACCCACAATCATAGGTTTCTGGCGTGCCCAAGGAACGCAACTCTGCACAGCGTGTCATGGCGCCTTAGACGACTGGGCCACCATCAACAGAGGATGTGTTGATAGCTGACTGATGTACTATATTGTGGCCAGTGTGTATGTGAAGGACTTCTATACATGGCCTTAAGAGCCATAGCCAGTGTCTTGAGAATTCCATAATAGGCCTGAAATCATGTGACTGAAAGCTTTTAGATGATTGTAATTTGAGAGAGACAACACTTCGAGCAGTTTCCTTAACCAGATGGTGGGAGTTGTTGACGCTAGTCTGGTTATGGTGTTTACATGGTATGTTTATGCTGTGACTACTGACAGTTGGTGATGTAAGGGACCTCAGCTAGTCATAGATTCCAACTACCTCGGTAAGTGGATGTCACAGTGTTTATGGAATAGCTGTTTCTGACCTGCATGTAAAGTGGTCTTGTACACCATGTTCTACACTTCCATCTATTTTATTTCCAGGTGACAATGTGTGGGAAGACATTCACCCAGATTCTCAGGAATTTATCAAGGAATACCTCAAGCAATACCCAGAGGTACTCACATACGCTTGTTTAAACAAACTTTATGTTACTTTAAACCAGTGTTTGAAATAATTTTAAACCCCAAAAGACAGTCGGGCAGGTGACCCATAAATGTTGCCTGCTCATCTTCAAAGTCACCTGCAATCAGTCAAACATTATAAATATTGAAAGTTCGGTAAAAATAAGAAATAATCACGTCTTGATTCAGTTGAAATAATGAAAACAATTACTTGAGAATCTATGAGGAGTAATAAAATTGAATACAGAAGGTGGCTTAAAATTATCTGCTAGACAGCCGGGTAGGTAGATGAAAATTTCATGCAGCCCGATGGAAGTGTTACCAGCCACAGGCAGGCGGGCAGGCAGACAGGCATTTATTTCAAACACTGCATTCAACATAAAGACCTTCTTGTCTTCTGTTAAAAATAGGATGGAGGGGCTAACATATGTATTAGTCACCGATTCATTTAAACAGTTTGTTTTAATAGTTGGATGTGTGTGCAGCAGTTACTAAAAAGAGCTTTACTAATACCATTGGAAGATGTAATATGTTACACAATATAATTCTTACAAATCCTCTACCTCTATTACATCATTGCCATAAATGCTGTATTTTGGCTACAGTCACACTATACTAAGACTTTCAGATTTTCAACTGGGGTCCTCCTCACTGTCAACTATACAATATTAGTTGTCCTGAAAATAGCACTAACAAGAGCTTTACTAATACTATTGGAAGATGTTGTCTTACTAGAGATAGGTTGTGAACTATGTTGAGGTTTATAAGCTGTCATGCTTCATTGACTCCAGAAGAGAAACTGACTTTTAATCGTCTGCGAGTACGATTGTTACTGTTATTGTTATGATGAAGATGAGATGAACATGTTTCCCCCGACATTGTTTCAGAGACCGATGGTACGTCTGTTGAAGGGTCAGGTCGTCAGGACCGAGTGGAATGGAAAGTGGTATGTGTTATTGTTCTACTGTTTAACAAGGAAAATTGTCATTAATCTGGGATTTCTTTAGGTTATGCAGAAGCACTGCAGAGATTTTGTCTGAGGTGAATGTGTAAGACACTATTTGTCAATTGTCTGTGTGATCAAGTGATCCATGATTCTGCAATTATCTGTGGAGAGTAGCGTCCCTTAGCCAGGATGTGCTGATATAACTGTGCAGAGTAGCGTCCCTTAGCCAGGATGTGCTGATATAACTGTGCAGAGTAGCGTCCCTTAGCCAGGATGTGCTGATATAACTGTGCAGAGTAGCCTCCCTTAGCCAGGATGTGCTGATATTGCTAAGCACAGGAGCATCCCTTAGCCAGGATGTGCTGATATTGCTGTGGAAAGTAGTGTCCCTTAGCCAGGATGTGCTGATATAACTGTGCAGAGTAGCATCCCTTAGCCAGGATGTGCTGATATAACTGTGCAGAGTAGCATCCCTTAGCCAGGATGTGCTGATATACTTGTGCAGAGGACCGCCTCCGTGGTCTAGTGGTAGAGCATCCGCCCGGAGAGCGGAAGGTCCGGGGTTCGACCCCCGACCGAGTCATACCAAAAGATGGTACTTGTTGTTACCCTGCCTGGCGCTCAGCATTAAGGGGCTAAAACAAGGACTGGTCGGCTCGGAGTCAGTATACTGTGTCTGAGTGGGGTATTCATGTTAAACAGCGGCATGGTATCTCAGTGTGCTAGCACTATAAATCGGCATCAGTCCGGACTAGTACAAGCAGCCACACGCACACATGCATGCACGTCGCTATATAAGTGCAATAATCTTGGACGCGACGTTAAACCCCATTTCACCTCACCTCACTTGTGCAGAGAAGCGTCCCTTAGCCAGGATGTGCTGATATAACTGTGCAGAGTAGCGTTCCTCAGCCAGGATGTGCTGATATTGCTGTGCAGAATAGCCTCCCTTAGCCAGGATGTGCTGATATTGCTAAGCACAGGAGCATCCCTTAGCCAGGATGTGCTGATATTGCTGTGGAAAGTAGCGTCCCTTAGCCAGGATGTGCTGATATAACTGTGCAGAGTAGCCTCCCTTAGCCAGGATGTGCTGATATAACTGTGCAGAGTAGCGTCCCTTAGCCAGGATGTGCTGATATAACTGTGCAGAGTAGCGTCCCTTAGCCAGGATGTGCTGATATACTTGTGCAGTTTTGCATCCTTAGCCAAGATGTGCTGATATTGCTGTGCAGAATAGCACCCCTTAGCCAGGATGTGCTGATATTGCTGTGCAGAATAGCGTCCCTTAGCCAGGATGTGCTGATATTGTGTGGAAAGGCAACAACTGCCATGATTATGGTCCTGTCAGCCACATACCCATGAGATTCACCACGGTGGTAAACCTCTCTGATCACAGCCACTTATACTGGAATATGATAAACACAACACAGGATGTTTAGAGTGAATTTAGAGTCTCAGAAGAGTCCATTTTGATTGGTGTTATCTTGATCCTGCTACTTATGGCCATGTTGACAGTGATGCCTTGTTGACTGTGATGCAATTTTGGCTTCATCTTGATGTGGTGTCATGGTGATGCCATGGTGATGCCATGTTGGTGTCATCTTGATGTGGTGTCATGGTGATGTCATGGTGATGTCATGTTGGTGTCATCTTGATGTGGCGTCATGGTGATGCCATGTTGGTGTCATCTTGATGTGGCGTCATGGTGATGTCATGTTGGTGTCATCTTGATGTGGCCTCACGGTGATGCTATGTTGGTGTCATCTTGATGTGGTGTCATGGTGATGCCATGTTTACAGGGATGTCGATACTAAGAATGTGATGCCATGTTGTAGGTGGACAGCGAAGGTGATGGAGGTAGATGCCAGTCTGGTGAAGATGTTCTTCCAGGCCGACAAGCGAACTGAATCAATTTACAGGGGGTCTACCAGACTGGAACCTTTGTTTAAGGCACTGGTGGGTACACTTGGTCGTAGACATTCATTTCTCCATATCGCGAGGGCAACGAATTGTTACAACATTCTTCATTCTAAAGTTCACTGATTCAGAGCAAATTTCCTCCTTCAGAGGTGCAGCAGAACCACATTATTCTGCCCAATCCAGTTTCCATTGGGTTCTGTTAGATTAAAAGCTTCCAAAACTACCCTTATGTTAGAAAGTTGGAGGTTAAAACCTTGGTTCTTACCTCACATGTTCCTCTGTAACTTTAAAGTAGAGTCCACTATAACTGTCTAAAGTACACTGTGACACTGTAACTAAACTTCCAGTAGGTTCCACTGTAACTTTCAACTATATTCCTCTGTAACTATAAAGTAGATTCTACTGTAACTGTCTTCCTCTGTAACTAAACTACCAGTAGATTCGTCTGCAACTTTCCATAAGATTTCTTTGTTACTTTCAATGATTAACACTAACGTGAAACACTACATAACATATAAGGCAGTCCAGTAATGTGGGTGTCCTGCTTTGTAGGCCAATGCAGAGGCTATCAAGGCAGCAGGAAACAACAAAGCTAGACGCCACAATCTGGACCCCAAGGCCAACAGGAAGCCCCTGGTTGAGTATACCCGGGGAGTGTCCGAAGAAAACTCCAATAAATCCATGATCAAACAACCCCCAGCGACACCACCCACTGCCACGCCCCCACCATCAATAGCCCCAACGCCACCCCCACCCCAGGTTCTGGGCCCGGGGTACAACCAAAACCACCCTGCCGTCCAGGCCTACCTCCAGGCCCGGGAAGCCGGGACACAGCGGGCCCAGCTGGCTACAACCATCTCAGTGACGGGGGGAGAACACAAGAAGCGTCCTGTGGCCAAGAAGAGCACCGGCAGCCGCCCCCTGCCAGTCCCTCCCCCCGTGACCACTTCCGCGTGGGAGGCCCCCTGGCTGAAGCTTCCGAAACGTGGGGGGACGACCACTGTCACTGTCACTCCAGCGCCCGTCCCCAAGACCACTATGCCACAAGTGTCAGCTGCTGATAATGAAATGAGGAAAGGTGAGGACTGGATATTAATTTGAACATGTGCAATTTTGTTTGTGGTGCAGTTCCTTTTTTTAAGCCCTTGTAACGATTCCACAAAATGGCGAGAATCAGATTAAGGGCTTAAATTTAAGGGCTTTTCATTTTGTGACTGCTTCTTGTTTGGCTAAAGCTCTGGTGTGAATGAGATATCTTTACATACCGCTTGGTTATCCTATCCCCTTGTTAGATCCCCTTGTTAGTCATAATTTAATAAACCCATGAAGATCCAGGTAAGAATAGGTCTTCAGCAACCGATGCTTGTCCTAACCAGCGACTATGCTTGTCGTAAGAGGCGACTAACGAGATTGGGTGGTCAGCTCGCTGACTTGGTTAATGCATGTCATGGTATCTTAATTGCGTGGTTCGATGCCTATGATGCCAATCACTGGATTGTCTGGTCCAGACTTGATTATTTTCAGACCGCCGTCATATAGCTGGAATATTGCTGAGTGCGGCATTGAAAAACAAAGAAACAAAACTAAACATACACTACTGGGGACAATGAATAGACCTGTTACTGCTAGAAGAGTCTGCCAATGTGCTCTGAAGGATTTAGCCCACACTATATACCATTTATATACTTTTTTTCATTGAAGCTGAATTTTCCATTCCCACACACACACACACACACACACACACACACACACACACATACACACATACACACACATATATGAATGTTTGATCTGTACAACATGTTTCTGACCAGTACGTTGTCTGTGTCCAGCCTTCTACCAGGCCAGCAGCATCAGCAGCAACACTGTGGCCCAGGACATGGCCAGCGTCCTTCAGGAACGCCTCAAGACAGTGGACGAGGCAGACATAGGTGAGGGCATCTCTTCTTGTGACCGGAAACGTTACAGGCTCTACTTTTTACTGACACAAAAATGTAATTAATAAAGGATAAAGCTGGAATATTGCCGACTGTAGTGTTGCACAACACTCAATAACTGATATAGCTGGAATATTGCTGACTGTAGTGTTGCACAACACTCAATAACTGATATATTCGGAATATTGCCGACTGTAGTGTTGCACAACACTCAATAACTGATATAGCTGGAATGTTGCCGACTGTAGTGTTGCACAACGCTCAATAACTGATATAGCTGGAATATTGCTAACTGTAGTGTTGCACAACACTCAATAACTGAGATAGCTGGAATATTGCTGACTGTAGTGTTGCACAACACTCAATAACTGATATAGCTGGAATATTGCCGACTGCAGTGTTGCACAACACTCAATAACTGATATAGCTGGAATATTGCTTACTGTAGTGTTGCACAACACTCAATAACTGATATAGCTGGAATATTGCCGACTGTAGTGTTGCACAACACTCAATAACTGATATAGCTGGAATATTGCTGACTGTAGTGTTGCACAACACTCAATAACTGATATAGCTGGAATATTGCTGACTGTAGTGTTGCACAACACTCAATAACTGATATAGCTGGAATATTGCCGACTGTAGTGTTGCACAACACTCAATAACTGATATAGCTGGAATACTGCTGACTGTAGTGTTGTACAACACTCAATAACTGATATAGCTGGAATATTGCTGACTGTAGTGTTGCACAACACTCAATAACTGATATAGCTGGAATATTGCTGACTGTGAACTTAAAAGTGCTTGCACGAGAAGATTGTGAACCATTCAACTGTGCAGTGTACATGTTTGATGATTAGGTATGGAAATACATGTTAAGTGGTACCAAATTATGAAATATCAGCATTCATTCCTTAAAATACGTATGACCCAGTGATTGCCCTCTGCATTATTATTGTGTTCGTTTTAAATTTGTATGTGTATAGGATGCAGGATTTCCAGTTCTTGTCGTAAGAGGCGACTATGCTTGTCGTAAAAGGCGACTAACAGGATCGGGTGGTCAGGCTCGCTGACTTGGTTGATGCAAGTCATCGATCCCAATTGCGTGGATCGATGCTCATGATGTCAATCACTGGATTGTCTGGTCCAGACTCGATTATTTACAGACCGCCGTCATATAGCTGGAATATTGCTGAGTGCGTCGTAAAACAACTAACAAACAAACAGGATTTCCAGACTGGTAAAACCCTGATGTCTCAACCAATGGCATGTTGAGGTAGCAGGGACATCAGGCTCTTGGTGGTATTGAAGTTTGGACTGTTTTTCTGCAGATGAGGAGGCACTGGGAGAGAGGATGGACACGATGCTGGACTTAAAGGAAAAAATCAGGAAGAAATTCAGTGAGTATATCCAGTGTGTGGCCCCAGTGGTAACACAGATCAACAGTACTCTGTTTGTGTTGCAAGAGGCAAAACCTGGAATTATGGGAGACCTGTGCTGGTCGAAAGAGGCCACTTCATGAAGGGGGTGATCGGGCACAGGGACTTGGTTGATAGCGTGTCAAACATACCCCGGCGTAGATTGTTGCTCATATCAATTCCTGGATTGTCTGGTGCACATTTGATTATTTACAGGCCACCAGCTTGAATATTAGGCATGAAACGACACAGGAAGGTCACCATATGATACGTATCACGATACATAGGTCATATGATACATATCGCGATATGCATAATTTCGTCAAATCTCGTGGAAACTTCTTCAGAGCAGGTCCAAAGGGAAATGCTAGCTGTAGACACATGTTCGTAGTGATTATTTTAGTAGTGAACTAAAACGCTAATTACAACACATTTTGCAGTATTTGACTGACAAGAATGCTTGGGGGTCATTAAATGAGTAAATAATTTATTGTAGCAAGTGTATCTTCTTGTATCGATACAGTAAAAAATGTATCGTGTATCGTATCGTCTCATGAAAACTCACGATGCACCGGTGCACAGATGTATTGTTTCTCCCCTATTGAATATTGCTGAGTGCGGCTTTACGCAGCAAACTGAAAGGGTAGATTTTGTTGAGCTTGTTGATCTTTTCAGTCCCTCACTGCTGTGGCAAGAAGTGCAAGAAGAACAATGACGAGGAGCTGGAGAAGCTGAAGGGACGCAGTACACTGCTCAAACCTCTACTGTGTGGCTGGGAGAGGTAGGTTGCCTCCCTTAGCTGTGCCAGGATAGGCTTAGAATCAGTTTGAGGCCCAGATTTGCGCTTTCTGTCATAACTATGCTCTGTCCTCACCAAATCTGGTTTCACAAAAGTGGGAAATGACTATGATCACATCACTTTGGGTTCCAGGGATTGGTCCTGACCTGCTCAGAGGCCGATACTCTCCTCCAAATTTTCAGCAAATGTCAGCAGAAATCCCAGATTGGAATTACAAATTTCCCCAACTCATATTAACAGTAATAACTCAGGCAACACTTTTTTTATTTCTTGGTTTACAGATTTTAAACTCATTTCAAAAGTGAGGTAGGCCAATGTAACAAAAAATAATCAAAAAAACTCTCAGATTTGTTTTACTTGACTTTTGTCCTAAAAAGTTAGGTAGGTATAACAAAAAATATTCTGGAGTTACAAAAGTGTAACAGCTCAGTTTTTCAAGAACATTTTATTATATCCCTGGCACACAGCTTGTGCACAAATGGCAATATAACAATATTCATGTTATGGGTGGCAATGCATGAAAGATGCTGCTATTTTGGCAGCATGGGCGATGTTTAACTCATTCAACACCAGCCAACCAGAAGATTACTGCTGTAACACCAAGTTCCCAGAGACTCTTGTGTGATAGATGAAGCCAACATTTATCAAGGAAATTATCTGCTTGTAAAACATCTTTGCTACTACATGTTTGGCTATACACCATTTGAAAGGTCTAATTAATCCTATTGTAATTATAAATGTGAAAGTTATGTGTATCACATTATATAATAATTCATTTACAACTTAATTAAGTTTGTTTTATATAACAAAAATGAAAGCTAACACATTCATAACGTCCAGATTAAGGACCAAGGAAGCGAAATTTAACAATTATAGGCAAATATAAGATTTAATCAAATCCACTTACCTATTTCTTTTTTGTTTTCATTGTTTACGTAATTGGAAAATTATTTTAAAAAGAATTACAAATAGTATCTGTCATCACCCATTTCCCAATATTAGTGGCTGTCCGCTCACTATGAGGAAATACCTCCGTTTTCGAAGCTTCGTATGAATGACATGTTTGTCGAAGGCTGCCATGTCAGTATCCATTAAAAAGCTAATATTGTTTCACCGACATAATGATAATAGTAACATTGGATAAAAATTGGTTTCTAGTGAGGCTTTCTTGCCGAAATCTGCTACAAGGTTGGGGATTGGTCAAATTTAAGCATGTGACCTAAGGTATCCAATCAAATTAACAACAATGGTACCATCCTCGTGTATGATAATTTTCAGATTTTGACCAAACGTTTTGGTTAAATCATGTTATTCTGAACGTTTTAAGCAGGATATCGCGATCTATATTATAAATATGGAACTTCATGGATGTATTGTGCCAGGTTACGAGCTGTGACAAATATTTCTTAGGCATATATTTTAGCATTAAACATGGTGTCCGAGCTGAGAAATCGAGGCAACGAAAGCCGAGCTGCCATTTCACTTACATTACATGCGATCGCACAAAAAGATTGAAATAATAACTTAGATGTAAGTTTGACAACTTTTAGATATATCTTTGTTGATTATAATTATTACTTTGTATAATATATTTAAAGATATGCTTTTAACGTCTTTATTTTGCTGTTTGACATGTTCAATGAGGACCCGTTGTTGAAGTGTGTGTCCGAAAATATTATTTTCAATAACATTGCGGGAAACAGTGAATAATTTTTTAATCTGTCAGTAACAAATGATAACTTAAAATGGAATATGTATTTCAGACATTGCGGAATGAGATAGATTTAATAAATGAATGATATGATAGGGAGGTAAATAAAATGATATACAGTTTTGACGTGACTTGGTCGGTCTACCTGTCTGAGGTGTCTGGTGACTCGTGGCTTCTTGGCTGGTATACCGGCCAACAGTGTTGAAAAAGTTAAACTGGTCACCACTGCACTTTGCGTTGACAAGCTTCGATAGTGTTAGAGAAAGATCCCAGCGAGAAATATCAGAGTGACTTCCTTTCGCTTTACAATCGCGGAGGAAATGAAATCTTTCTTTGTTTGGATTTTTCATCCATTTTTTAAGGTAAAGATCGGCGGTAATAAAAAAAGAGTAATTATAAATTAATTTTTTTTCAACATTTAGACTTTGAAATAGCAGCGGATCCGAAAACCAAGTAATTAGAATAATGTCGCCTTATGCTATTGCTTTGTAGAAGGGAACACATATAGTGATTTAATCCTCTATTTCAAATAATTAATATATTTTGTCAATATCATAGAAACATGAAAAACAACACTGCAATAACTGCACTCCAGGTTGTATATACCTGAGAACCAATTGTTACAAATATATTAGCTTATTGTTAACTATGATGTATGTACTAGAAGTTACTGTGTGTTACAGACATGTATGTAAGCTACTGTGTGTTACAGACATGTATGTAAGCTGCTGTGTGTTACAGACATGTATGTAAGCTGCTGTGTGTTACAGACATGTATGTAAGCTGCTGTGTGTTACAGACATGTATGTAAGCTGCTGTGTGTTACAGACATGTATGTAAGCTGCTGTGTGTTACAGACATGTATGTAAGGTGTTGTGTGTTACAGACATGTATGTAAGCTTCTGTGTGTTACAGACATGTATGTAAGCTGCTGTGTGTTACAGACATGTATGTAAGCTACTGTGTGTTACAGACATGTATGTAAGCTGCTGTGTGTTACAGACATGTATGTAAGCTACTGTGTGTTACAGACATGTATGTAAGCTGCTGTGTGTTACAGACATGTATGTAAGCTACTGTGTGTTACAGACATGTATGTAAGCTACTGTGTGTTACAGACATGTATGTAAGCTGCTGTGTGTTACAGACATGTATGTAAGCTGCTGTGTGTTACAGACATGTATGTAAGCTACTGTGTGTTACAGACATGTATGTAAGCTGCTGTGTGTTACAGACATGTATGTAAGCTGCTATGTGTTACAGACATGTATGTAAGCTACTGTGTGTTACAGACATGTATGTAAGCTGCTGTGTGTTACAGACATGTATGTAAGCTGCTGTGTGTTACAGACATGTATGTAAGCTACAGTGTGTTACAGACATGTATGTAAGCTACTGTGTGTTACAGACATGTATGTATGCTGCTGTGTGTTACAGACATGTATGTAAGCTGCTATGTGTTACAGACATGTATGTAAGCTGCTGTGTGTTACAGACATGTATGTAAGCTACTGTGTGTTACAGACATGTATGTAAGCTACTGTGTGTTACAGACATGTATGTATGCTGCTGTGTGTTACAGACATGTATGTATGCTGCTGTGTGTTACAGACATGTATGTAAGCTGCTGTGTGTTACAGACATGTATGTAAGCTGCTGTGTGTTACTGACATGTATGTAAGCTACTGTGTGTTACAGACATGTATGTAAGCTACTGTGTGTTACAGACATGTATGTAAGCTACTGTGTGTTACAGACATGTATGTATGCTGCTGTGTGTTACAGACATGTATGTAAGCTACTGTGTGTTACAGACATGTATGTAAGCTGCTGTGTGTTACAGACATGTATGTAAGCTGCTGTGTGTTACAGACATGTATGTAAGCTGCTGTGTGTTACAGACATGTATGTAAGCTGCTGTGTGTTACAGACATGTATGTAAGCTACTGTGTGTTACAGACATGTATGTAAGCTACTGTGTGTTACATACATGTATGTAAGCTGCTGTGTGTTACTGACATGTATGTAAGCTACTGTGTGTTACAGACATGTATGTAAGCTACTGTGTGTTACAGACATGTATGTAAGCTACTGTGTGTTACAGACATGTATGTAAGCTACTGTGTGTTACAGACATGTATGTAAGCTACTGTGTGTTACAGACATGTATGTAAGCTGCTGTGTGTTACAGACATGTATGTATGCTGCTGTGTGTTACAGACATGTATGTAAGCTGCTGTGTGTTACAGACATGTATGTAAGCTACTGTGTGTTACAGACATGTATGTAAGCTACTGTGTGTTACAGACATGTATGTAAGCTACTGTGTGTTACAGACATGTATGTAAGCTGCTGTGTGTTACAGACATGTATGTAAGCTGCTGTGTGTTACAGACATGTATGTAAGCTACTGTGTGTTACAGACATGTATGTATGCTGCTGTGTGTTACAGACATGTATGTAAGCTGCTGTGTGTTACAGACATGTATGTAAGCTACTGTGTGTTACAGACATGTATGTAAGCTACTGTGTGTTACAGACATGTTTGTAAGCTACTGTGTGTTACAGACATGTATGTAAGCTGCTGTGTGTTACAGACATGTATGTAAGCTGCTGTGTGTTACAGACATGTATGTAAGCTGCTGTGTGTTACAGACATGTATGTAAGCTACTGTGTGTTACAGACATGTATGTAAGCTACTGTGTGTTACAGACATGTATGTATGCTGCTGTGTGTTACAGACATGTATGTAAGCTGCTATGTGTTACAGACATGTATGTATGCTGCTGTGTGTTACAGACATGTATGTAAGCTACTGTGTGTTACAGACATGTATGTAAGCTACTGTGTGTTACAGACATGTATGTATGCTGCTGTGTGTTACAGACATGTATGTATGCTGCTGTGTGTTACAGACATGTATGTAAGCTGCTGTGTGTTACAGACATGTATGTAAGCTGCTGTGTGTTACTGACATGTATGTAAGCTACTGTGTGTTACAGACATGTATGTAAGCTACTGTGTGTTACAGACATGTATGTATGCTGCTGTGTGTTACAGACATGTATGTAAGCTACTGTGTGTTACAGACATGTATGTAAGCTACTGTGTGTTACAGACATGTATGTAAGCTACTGTGTGTTACTGACATGTATGTAAGCTACTGTGTGTTACAGACATGTATGTAAGCTGCTGTGTGTTACTGACATGTATGTAAGCTACTGTGTGTTACAGACATGTATGTAAGCTACTGTGTGTTACAGACATGTATGTAAGCTACTGTGTGTTACAGACATGTATGTAAGCTACTGTGTGTTACAGACATGTATGTAAGCTACTGTGTGTTACAGACATGTATGTAAGCTGCTGTGTGTTACAGACATGTATGTAAGCTATTGTGTGTTACAGACATGTATGTAAGCTACTGTGTGTTACAGACATGTATGTGAGCTACTGTGTGTTACATACATGTATGTAAGCTGCTGTGTGTTACAGACATGTATGTAAGCTACTGTGTGTTACAGACATGTATGTAAGCTGCTGTGTGTTACAGACATGTATGTAAGCTGCTGTGTGTTACAGACATGTATGCAAGCTGCGTCCGAGTGGCCGCCGTGTCGTCATGTATCAGGGCCCCTGCCAGAGACGTCTCCGGTGTATAGAGGAAGTGGACCTGTACCTGTGTGTCACCGACTCACCCCTCACTATTGACCTGTTCTGTTTCGACCCTGTGCTACATGTGCACACTGAGTTTGTGCCTGTCAAGGTAAGGAGGCATTTGTATCATGGAGTAACTATCACCTTGCCCATCTCCGACAGAAATGCTTACCGTATTCGACGTAATAAGCGCCCAGGGCGCTCTCTAAATTAGAAATAGGGGGCTCTTATTAGAATATTATTTTGGTGGAAAAAAACAGTTGAAAGATAAATTTCGTGGTTTATACTGACGGTCTGAACTGTTTATATACGACAGATATATTTTTCCAGAATTTAATTGCCCATAATTAAGGGTGCATATAACACACAAGTGCGTATTATAAACGAATAAATAAGTCTTGTGTACATTGATCAATCGGAAGGGATGCTAATTGGGACTGTTCACTTGCCAATATATTAGCAAATTTCGCCGTGGGCGCTTATTACGTCGAATATCTGTATTTTTTTTACATCATGTTGTGTGTCGGACGCAACCTAGAATAAGTGTGAGATAACATAACCATGATAACAAAGACAGTTGTCAGGATGTATTTTAGGCAAGGAAAAATATATACAGAAATTGGGGTTAAATTGGACAATGAACTGTAGAGTAGCAGAAGAGTTGTTTAGATGTATTGTTAGATAATACATCCTAGCAATGCTTTTGTTAGGCGGCCTCCATGATTGAGTGGCTAGATTCCCAAGAGCAGAAGGTGGGTGGTTCGAGGGCCCGGACGCGTCATACCAACAGACGTTATAAGATGGTACTTGTTTTTACCCTGTCTGGCACGCAGCATTATTGGGATAAAACAAGAACTGGTCGGCACGGAGTCAGTATTCTGTGTCTGAATGGGGTAGATAGATATGTTAAACTGCAGGATGGTATCTCAGTGGGCCAACTCTCTGGACTTATTAAAGCATCCATGGACGGATGCATGCACATCGCAATATAAGTGCAATAATCTTAAAAGCATTGTTAAAACACATTTCACCTCACCTATCCTTTCAAGGCTTAATGATAAGCCCAAGGTGCTGTCCGGACATATGTATTTAAATAATGTCTTGGTTGTGTGAAATTGATAGACATGTGCTTCTTTCCAGACGTTTTGTGATATCAAGGATTTGTCGTATGGCAAGGAAGCTGTCCCAATATCGTGCATCAACGGGATAGATCGGCAGTACCCTGACTATGTGGAGTACTCCAACCAGAGGATTCCCGCCCAAGGGGTGAAGCTCAACCTCGACTCCGACTTCCTCATGTGCTGTGACTGTACAGACAACTGTAGGGTAGGTGCAAGACTCTGACTTCCTCATTATTATTGTTGTTGTTGTTGTTGTTGTACAGAGTACAATAAAAAATGCAACAAAGAGGGTTTGGGTGATCTTGACAGTCAGGCTGGTTAGGCTTATCATCAGCTCAGGGTCCTAGCCCCCTCTACACTTCTCAAACCCGCCCAGAACTTTTCAGAGAATGTGAAAACTCCCAAAACTATGCAGCCTTCTGCATTACCCAGATTATCAGAAGGGCTTTATTCCTGGTAGCAAAGCCAGGTACTCTCCCAATGTTAGTCAGCAGTTTGGGAGGTACCAAACCTAAGGCATCGAGAACAATGGGGAGTCGAACAACTTGGTAGTTGGGATGAACGCGTGACATTTGGAAAGCGAGGTCTGCATATTTGCCATGTTTTTCCTGAATCTTGTCAATCACATTAGTGTCAAAAGGTACAGAAAATTCAATAATGTAAATGATTTCATTCGATTTATCAAAAAGGACAAGACATTATTATTATAATGCAGGTATCCAGGTACTAGTATCTGCTCAAATGAGGTTTCATATTGTTCACGGACTAGTGGATCCGTTTTGCATTCCAGTTATCATTCTCAACTCCCTGGGGAGTATACAATCCAAGCTGTCTACAGCACTTAGAGGGTTTTTAAATCCCCCTCATGTGCTATTCAGACAACTTAGATGCCAAATTTAAGCACCACATGAGGTTATTGTATGCATGTTTTGTGTGGGATGTGTTCAGTCAGATTGCGTGATGGTGTTCCAGGACAAGTCCAAGTGCCAGTGTTGCCAGCTGACCATCGAGCACACCGAGGCTCTGGGACCAAACTACAGGGACCCCTCTGCCGGCTACGAGTTCAGGAGACTGAAGGAGCCGATATTTACAGGGTGTGTACTGTCAGGTGTATAGTTTGGGGTCTGGGTGGGCCTGGTGTCTACCAACTGATATCAGCAGGGTGGAGTCAGGTATATATTAGTCAGGGTCTGGGTGGCCCTGGTGTCTACCAACTGATATCAACAGGGTAGAGTCAGGTATATATTAGTGGGGGTCTGGATGGGCCTGGTGTCTACCAACTGATATCAGCAGGGTGGAGTCAGGTATATATTAGTGGAGGTCTGGGTGGCCCTGGTGTCTACCAACTGATATCAGCAGGGTGGAGTCAGGTATATATTAGTGGTGGTCTGGGTGGGCCTGGTGTCTACCAACTGATATCAGCAGGGTGGAGTCAGGTATATATAAGTGGGGGTTTGGGTGGACCCAGTTCTAAGGTGCTGCAACTCTCCTCTTATATCTATAACTGGTCACATTTTCAAGGGGGCCACCATTTTGTTTTCCTGAACCTGTACCAGATTTTATTTTTGATCTGGAAGCCTTATTCGTAAAGATGGTTTATAGATTCTTAAATATATGATTTGTAGCCAGTTGGAGATGTAGAAGTGCGCTGTTCATTCTACAATGCAAATCTGCTAACTTTTCAAAAGGGATGATCTGTAGCCCCCAGTAATGACAGAAAGAAAAACGGGTAAGGAATGCGGGAATAACCACAGCTGCTGGCTGTCTGCAAAAGTTACAGAGAAATTATGCAACTACCATTCATTTCTTTCAGAATCTTTGAGTGCAATCCTCGTTGTAAGTGTGACAGTCGCTGTCACAACCGGCTGGCGCAGAACGGACTCAACCTGCGTCTCCAGGTGTTCAAGACAGAGAAAAGGTGAGACACAAGACCTGCAGGTCAGGACAGTTACGTTGGAGGAGACGTTGTACTGGGTACTACAGGGACATGTACAGTGGGTATCTTGCTGTCTTCTGATTTGTACTCTTCCCTAAATTTAATTGAGAAATGCATCCTTGCAGACAACTGCAAGATACTTGAATGGCAGGGTGGGTGTATAAATTGGTGTGACAAACCGGTCTCGGTTTCATTTGTAAAGTGGAGCATCGCATGCCTCATCAATAGATTGCTGTTGTGGTGATTGTGGTGTTCATATAAATCATCGCTGGACATATTTGGCATACTGGAAGTCTGCAGTGAACCTGTTTCAGGCAGTGCTGAGCATATTTGGCATACTGCAAGTCAGCATTGAACCTGTTTCAGGCAGTGCTGAGCATATTTGGCAAGTCTGCAATGACCAGTTTCAGGCAATGCTGAACATATTTGGCATACTCAAACTGATATGTTCAGTGGTCTACGAGGGTACTTTTCTGTATGGAAATTAGATGACATGCTGATCTATTGTCAGGACATTTTAGAGACCTCAGTTTGTCGATTAATTACTTGTGAAGTTTGTTGACGTTGTCTTTGTATTTGTTTTTGATTGGACGAAAATAAACAGATCAGTTTCTGTTTAACTGTTTTGTAAGTTGTTCAGTGACTTTTTGTATTTAGGGGGTGGGGCCTGCGTTGCCTTGACGACATTCCAAAGGGAGGCTTCATCTGTATCTACGCTGGGCAGCTGTTGACGGAGGGCGGAGCGAATGAGGTAACATACTAGATGTAGGGATGGTAAAACTCATGTCAAAAGTAGCAGATGTCCACAATACTATCAAGTTGTCTTTTCTTTTGATCAATTTCACCAGGCTGTTGAGATTCCAGTCTAAAATGTCCCTGTTACACTTTCATGATGGGGAAGTATGGGCGATGGATAAAATGGCTGCTGAATGTGGATATTACTTAAATAGGCTGCCCTGTGACCCCTGCATAACCAGCACCTCTATACACACATACATGATGATGATGATGATGGAGATTTAACGAGCCCTACCAGTGTTGCTGATTTCACACTCAGACAAGTGCACATACAGCTAACCTGTGAAGATCCGGGTTAGAATAGGTCTTCAGCAACCCATGCTTGCCGTAAAAGGTGACTACTATACCTGTCCAAATAGGCGACTGAAGGGATCGCGTGATCACCCTTACTGACTTGACTTGGTTGATGCATGTCATCACAAATTGCAGGGATCAGTGCTCATGATGTCAATCACTGGATTGTCTGGTCCAGACTCAATTATTTACAGACCGCTGTCATAAAGCTGGAATATTGCTGAGTGAGGAGTTAAACAACAAACAAACAAACAGCTTGTATTTGAGGTCTTATGTATAGGAACATAACAAGGAAGCCAATGGGCTAAACGGAAGAGAAGCATACTGGTATATATAACTTAAAATAGCTTATTCAGTATTCACATGATGAAAGGGCAAGAAGTAGCCCTGAAATGTTGTAACAAGGTGTAAAGGAGTTGTTATCCATAAAATGTTTTGTCTTCCGTGTGTTAACCCATGTGACTGACTCCGATGAACATGCACTGTGGTCCTGGCAGGATGGGGGCGGTCGGGTAGCCTAGTGTTTAAAGCGCTCGCTCGTCACGCCGAAGACCCGGGTTTGATTCCCGACATGGGTACAATGTGTGAAGCCCATTTCTGGTGTCCCCCGCCGTGATATTGCTGGAATATTGCTAAAAGCAGCGTAAAACCATACTCACTTACTCACTCTCCTGGCAGGACGGTAAACAATATGGTGACGAGTACCTGGCCGAGCTGGACTTCATCGAGGTGGTGGAGCGACAGAAGGAGGGGTATGAGAGCGACGTGGAAGAAGATCAGGGCATCGGGGGGGACGATGATGAAGATGCTGAAGAAGAGGGGGATGAAGCAGTCACGAGTGACACGTCCGACAGGTCAGCATCACCACATCCTTTTGTCATACAGTATAAGACCGTGAAGATCTCGGGTAGAATAGGTCTTCAGCAACCCATGCCTGCCGTAAAAGGCGACTATGCTTGTCGTAAGAGGCGACTTACAGGATCAGGTGGATTGACTTGGTTGATGCATGTCATATCCCATCGTATCCCAATTGCGTGGATTGATGCTCATGATATCAATCAATGGATTGTCTGGTCCAGACTTGATTATTTACAGACCGCTTTTATATAGCTGGAATATTGCTGAGTGTGGCGTTAAACAACAAACAAACAAAAAAACAAAACAATTCTACAGTATGATTTGAAAATAGGCCTGATGTTATATATATATATGATGCTTTCCTCATCAGGGGCTGCAGGTTGATATGCAGAGTTATGTCCCCTTGACTTGTGAGGACCTGGTGCTTGTGGGCTTGAAATCTGAGATTCGCTCACACAATAGTGTTGACAGAATGTGATACCTCATATATTCGGTGTTATGGTGGAAAATAATAGGTCAAATGGGGATTCAAATTCTAAAACTGAAAACCTCCGGGTCTCTCTCAGTTTAGTACAACACTGCATGTTCTTCCACATAACAGACAAGGGGCGGTCAGGTAGCCTAGTGGTTAAAGCGCTCGCTCGTCACGCCGAAGACCAAGGTTCGATTCCCGACATGGGTATAATGTGTGAAGCCCATTTCTGGTGTCCCCCTTGGTGATATTGCTGGTATATTGCTAAAAGCACTCACTCACTTAACAGACTAGAGGTGTTTGATATAACTGGTCTACCACGTTTTGAAATACTAATGAATATGTATCACAGTACATTTGAAAAATATCAGCACCTTGTAGTATTCAAAATCATTCTTATTTTCATCTTGTTGCCAAAGTTTACAAGCATGATAAGTCGAATTGAAATGAAATTTAGAAATAAGCAACAGATTCAGTGATCAAAAAAGGAAAACTTTTCGCTACCAGCATCCTTTAAATAATGTGTCTATTATGCATGCAATGTGAACATAGCAAAACTCAATAAAATGTATGGGCCCATTTATATTCAGTTTCATAACAAATTAGAACGCATGAATTATAATGTGCATCACATTACATGAATCACTCACTGTAAATTAGAATACAAAAGTCAGGTCAATACCCATTACGACACAGGACTGAGCTTCATGACTGGCTGTGCAGAGTGGATGTGGGTTAAAATCTCACAATTTTCCGACTGTCAACCTTGTCTTACAACACCGTACCAATGTTTGTGTGTTTCCTCTCTGTTGTAATTGTCTTTCAGGTTGGGAAATAAATAAATACTGTTAACATGCAACATTAAACTACCACTTGGTCCTTATTCACTGGAAACACGGCTTCTGTACTGCCTTGTGTATGTTGAGCTGAGAATTATTTTTCGTCACAATTGAACTATTTGTTGTCCACACTGGAGAAAAAGAGTTCAAACTAGAAATGAAAATTAATGTAAGGTTGGTTAATTAGTCGTACCATGTTTTCAGAACAAACCAGGTTTCTTTTATGTACAGTGAAACCTCATTAATCCAGACGGTATGGTTCTTAACCACCCGGATTAATTAATTCCCAGGTAAGCAGCAAATAGATTTGTAGACATATGCTTGAAAATAATAGGTTATAATAATGTTAAAAGTAAACCTCCGGAACTTGAGATTTCTGGACCAACTAGGTCAAGGATTCTCTGTGTTTAGCCCCAGGTATGCAGGTATATTGTTGGAGTCTCTGTCGTGTTTTGGTTGTGTTTGTAGATTACAGTATTAATGTGTTACTGCATATCATGGGCTTAGCACTCTGAGGCCGTGGAGATTCATCGGTTCCTGTGGTGAACCCCACGACTCTGTGTTACAATGGGTCAGACCTCACCTATTTCCATGCAGACCCTGTAAGTCTTTCTCTGTGTGTATGGCTTGTATTTGTACTGTGTTCTGTCTCTGCTTCAGTGACTTTGCTGGTGAAGGAAATGACCAGACTGTAGAGCACAAAGAGCATGCCACCAGGTAGGCGCACATGTCCAGGCAACATGGGAGTCCCGGGAAGAATCAGTCCCTAGTAGTGCCATGTTTGTCTCACTATGGGGTCCCGGGAAGAATCAGTCCCTAGTAGTGCCATGTTTGTCTCACTATGGGGTCCCGGGAAGAATCAGTCCCTAGTATGCCATGTTTGTCTCACAAGGGGTCCAGGGAAGAATCAGTCCCTAGTAGTGCCATGTTTGTCTCACTATGGGGTCCAGGGAAGAATCAGCATGTTTGTCTCACTATGGCGTCCCGGGAAGAATCAGTCCCTTGTAGTGCCATGTTTGTCTCACTATGGGGTCCAGGGAAGAATCAGTCCCTCGTACCACATTTGTCTCACTATGGGGTCCCGGGAAGAATCAGTCCCTATTAGTGCCTTGTTTGTCTCACTATGGGGTCCAGGGAAGAATCAGTCGCTAGTAGTGCCATGTTTGTCTCAATATGGGGTCCTGGGAAGAATCAGTCCCTTGTAGTGCCATGTTTGTCTCACTATGGAGTCCCGGGAAAAATAAGTCGCTAGTAGTGCCATGTTTGTCTCACTATGGGGTCCCGGAAAAAATAAGTCCCTAGTAGTGCCATGTTTGTCTCAATATGGGGTCCAGGGAAGAATCAGTCCCTTGTAGTGCCATGTTTGTCTCACTATGGAGTCCCGGGGAAAATAAGTCGCTAGTAGTGCCATGTTTGTCTCACTATGGGGTGCAGGGAAGAATCAGTCCCTAGTAGTGCCATGTTTGTCTCACTATGGGGTCCCGGGAAAAACAAGTCCCTAGTAGTGCCATGTTTGTCTCACTATGGGGTCCAGGAAGAATCAGTCCCTTGTAGTGCCATGTTTGTCTCACTATGGGGTCCAGGGAAGAATCAGTCCCTAGTAGTGCCATGTTTGTCTCACTATGGGGTCCTGGGAAGAATCAGTCCCTAGTAGTGCCATGTTTGTCTCACTATGGGGTGCAGGGAAGAATCAGTCCCTAGTAGTGCCATGTTTGTCTCACTATGGGGTCCAGGGAAGAATCAGTCCCTAGTAGTGCCATGTTTGTCTCACTATGGGGTCCTGGGAAGAATCAGTCCCTAGTAGTGCCTTGTTTGTCTCACTATGGGGTCCTGGGAAGAATCAGTCCCTAGTAGTGCCATGTTTGTCTCACTATGGGGTCCCGGGAAGAATCAGTCCCTAGTAGTGCCATGTTTGTCTCACTATGGGGTCCAGGGAAGAATCAGTCCCTCGTACCACATTTGTCTCACTATGGGGTCCTGGGAAGAATCAGTCCCTAGTAGTGCCATGTTTGTCTCACTATGGGGTCCAGGGAAGAATCAGTCCCTTGTAGTGCCATGTTTGTCTCACTATGGAGTCCCGGGAAAAATAAGTCGCTAGTAGTGCCATGTTTGTCTCACTATGGGGTCCCGGGAAAAATAAGTCCCTAGTAGTGCCATGTTTGTCTTACTATGGGTTCCAGGGAAGAATCAGTTCCTTGTAGTGCCATGTTTGTCTCAGTATGGGGTCCCGGGAAAAACAAGTCCCTAGTAGTGCCATGTTTGTCTCACTATGGGGTCCAGGAAGAATCAGTCCCTTGTAGTGCCATGTTTGTCTCACTATGGGGTCCTGGGAAGAATCAGTCCCTAGTAGTGCCATGTTTGTCTCACTATGGGGTCCTGGGAAGAATCAGTCCCTAGTAGTGCCATGTTTGTCTCACTATGGGGTCCCTGGAAGAATCAGTCCCTTGTAGTGCCATGTTTGTCTCACTATGGGGTCCAGGGAAGAATCAGTCCCTCGTACCACATTTGTCTCACTATGGGGTCCCGGGAAGAATCAGTCCCTATTAGTGCCTTGTTTGTCTCACTATGGGGTCCAGAGAAGAATCAGTCGCTAGTAGTGCCATGTTTGTCTCACTATGGGGTCCTGGGAAGAATCAGTCCCTAGTAGTGCCATGTTTGTCTCACTATGGGGTCCAGGGAAGAATCAGTCCCTTGTAGTGCCATGTTTGTCTCACTATGGAGTCCCGGGAAAAATAAGTCGCTAGTAGTGCCATGTTTGTCTCACTATGGGGTCCCGGGAAAAATAAGTCCCTAGTAGTGCCATGTTTGTCTCACTATGGGGTCCAGGGAAGAATCAGTCCCTAGTAGTGCCATGTTTGTCTCACTATGGGGTCCAGGGAAGAATCAGTCCCTAGTAGTGCCATGTTTGTCTCACTATGGGGTCCTGGGAAGAATCAGTCCCTAGTAGTGCCATGTTTGTCTCACTATGGGGTCCAGGGAAGAATCAGTCCCTTGTAGTGCCATGTTTGTCTCACTATGGGGTCCTGGGAAGAATCAGTCCCTAGTAGTGCCTTGTTTGTCTCACTATGGGGTCCTGGGAAGAATCAGTCCCTAGTAGTGCCATGTTTGTCTCACTATGGGGTCCTGGGAAGAATCAGTCCCTAGTAGTGCCTTGTTTGTCTCACTATGGGGTCCTGGGAAGAATCAGTCCCTAGTAGTGCCATGTTTGTCTTACTATAGGGTCCAGGGAAGAATCAGTCCCTCGTACCACATTTGTCTCACTATGGGGTCCCGGGAAGAATCAGTCCCTATTAGTGCCTTGTTTGTCTCACTATGGGGTCCAGAGAAGAATCAGTCGCTAGTAGTGCCATGTTTGTCTCACTATGGGGTCCTGAGAAGAATCAGTCCCTAGTAGTGCCATGTTTGTCTCACTATGGGGTCCTGGGAAGAATCAGTCCCTTGTAGTGCCATGTTTGTCTCACTATGGAGTCCCGGGGAAAATAAGTCGCTAGTAGTGCCATGTTTGTCTCACTATGGGGTGCAGGGAAGAATCAGTCCCTAGTAGTGCCATGTTTGTCTCACTATGGGGTCCCGGGAAAAACAAGTCCCTAGTAGTGCCATGTTTGTCTCACTATGGGGTCCCGGGAAAAATAAGTCCCTAGTAGTGCCATGTTTGTCTCACTATGGGGTCCAGGGAAGAATCAGTCCCTTGTAGTGCCATGTTTGTCTCACTATGGAGTCCCGGGAAAAATAAGTCAATAGTAGTGCCATGTTTGTCTCTCTATGGGGTCCAGGGAAGAATCAGTTCCTAGTAGTGCCATGTTTGTCTCACTATGGGGTTCAGGGAAGAATCAGTTCCTAGTAGTGCCATGTTTGTCTCACTATGGGGTCCAGGGAAGAATCAGTCCCTAGTAGTGCCATGTTTGTCTCACTATGGGGTCCTGGGAAGAATCAGTCCCTTGTAGTGCCATGTTTGTCTCACTATGGGGTCCTGGGAAGAATCAGTCCATTGTAGTGCCATGTTTGTCTCACTATGGGGTCCAGGGAAGAATCAGTCCCTAGTAGTGCCATGTTTGTCTCACTATGGGGTCCTGGGAAGAATCAGTCCCTAGTAGTGCCATGTTTGTCTCATTATGGGGTCCAGGGAAGAATCAATCCCTAGTAGTGCCATGTTTGTCTCACTATGGGGTCCAGGGAAGAATCAGTCCCTAGTAGTGCCATGTTTGTCTCACTATGGGGTCCAGGGAAGAATCAGTCCCTTGTAGTGCCATGTTTGTCTCACTATGGAGTCCCGGGAAAAATGAGTCCCTAGTAGTGCCATGTTTGTCTCACTATGGGGTCCTGGGAAGAATCAGTCCCTTGTAGTGCCATGTTTGTCTCACTATGGGGTCCTGGGAAGAATCAGTCCATTGTAGTGCCATGTTTGTCTCACTATGGGGTCCTGGGAAGAATCAGTCCCTAGTAGTGCCATGTTTGTCTCACTATGGGGTCCTGGGAAGAATCAGTCCCTAGTAGTGCCATGTTTGTCTCATTATGGGGTCCAGGGAAGAATCAATCCCTAGTAGTGCCATGTTTGTCTCACTATGGGGTCCAGGGAAGAATCAGTCCCTTGTAGTGCCATGTTTGTCTCACTATGGGGTCCAGGGAAGAATCAGTCCCTTGTAGTGCCATGTTTGTCTCACTATGGGGTCCAGGGAAGAATCAGTCCCTTGTAGTGCCATGTTTGTCTATGGGGGTCCAGTGCAGAGCAGGCACCCAGTATCTCATCTATATCATAGAAGGATGAGAATATTTGGTTCTCAGTGTGACCCCGAGGGAGTGGGGTAGCCTAGTGGTTAAAGTGTTGCCGAAATACTGCTAAAAGCAGCATAAAATCACCCTCTCACTCACTCAAGTGTGACCTTTCTGAATGTGTCATCATACCCTGACGGCATGGAGTGTTGCTCATGCTGTCAACCACTTGTTTACCCAGATCCAGCTTGAGTTATAGGCTGCTTTACTATAGCTGGAATAATGCTTGCTGCAGCCTGAACCATTTCCTCTCCTCCCTGCACGTTGCAATGTTTGAGTAACTTCTGACATACTTCTGCTGTCATGATGCTTACCTCTTCTATGTGGGGCACTTGGGAGCCACCCAAGGTCTTGTTCCCCATGTTTGCTATGAAGCCCTATTCACTCACCCATGCACACTTTCTGAAGGCCATTCTCATTGATGATCCTAAGACAGTATTACTTGAAACAGCTTTAGATCTAGATGTGAAGATTAGGGTGGCTTGTTAAACTGGGTCAGTATTACGCTATGATAGAATTATCAATTATATGTGATATTTTCTTCGTTAGTAAAGACATGGCCGCATCCTTGTTTCTCTGACAATGCATGTTGATGTGTTTCAGCTGAATGTAGTATGTTATCAAATACAGGTTTCTTCAGGATGTACACCCAGTAGTTTAATCATGTATATGCCAGGTTAGAACGGATGCTTCAGCAATCCATGCTTGTTGTGAGAGGCGACTAACAGGATCAGGTGGCCAGGATCGCTGACTTGTCATCGTAACCCAATTCATAGATCGATGCACTATCTTGCAACATTGGTCAGTATCCTACAACACTGATCACTATCCTGCAACAGCGGTCGCTATTCTGCAACATTGGTCACTAATCTACAACATCGGCCACTAAACTACAACATCGGTCAGTATCCTGCAACATTGGTCACTATACTTCAACATTGGTCGCTAATCTACAACATTGGACACTATCCTACAACAGCGGTCACTATTCTGCAACATTGGTCACTAATCTACAACACTGGTCACTAATCTACATCGGTCAGTATCCTGCAACATTGGTCACTATACTTCAACATTGGTCACTTATCTATAACATTGGTCACTATCTTGCAATATTGGTCAGTATCCTATAACACTGATCACTATCCTACAACAGCGGTCACTATTCTGCAACATTGGTCACTAATCTACAACATCTGTCACTATTCTGCAGCATTGGTCTCTAATCTACAACATTGGTCACTATTCTACAACATCGGTCAGTATCCTGCAACATTGGTCACTATACTTCAACCTTGGTCACTAATCTACAACACTGGTCGCTGTGGCCTACAGCATGAAGACTGGCCGTTGAAAACATGCAGACCTGAAATATTGGTCACTATCCTACAACATTGGTCACGATCCTACAACATTGGAAACTATCCTATAACGTTGGTCACTATCCTATAACATTGGTCACTTTCCTGCAACATTGATCACTATTCTACAACATTAGTCACTAATCTACAACATTAGTCACTAATCTACAACATTGGTGACTATCCTGCAACATTGGTCAATATACTGCAACATTGGTCACTATGCTAAAACAATGTTCACTATCCTACAACACTGGTCACTATCCTGCAACACTGGTCAGTATATTGCAACATTGGTCACTATGCTAAATCAATGTTCACTATCCTACAACACTGGTCACTATCCTACAACACTGGTCACTATCCTACAACAGCGGTCGCTATTCTGCAACATTGGTCACTAATCTACAACATCGGTCAGTATCCTGCAACATTGGTCACTATACTTCAACATTGGTCGCTAATCTACAACATTGGACACTATCCTACAACAGCGGTCGCTATTCTGCAACATTGCTCACTAATCTACAACACTGGTCACTAATCTACATCAGTCAGTATCCTGCAACATTGGTCACTATACTTCAACATTGGTCACTTATCTACAACATTGGTCACTATCTTGCAACATTGGTCAGTATCCTATAACACTGATCACTATCCTACAACAGCGGTCACTATTCTGCAACATTGGTCACTAATCTACAACATCGGTCACTAATCTACATCGGTCAGTATCCTGCAACATTGGTCACTATACTTCAACATTGGTCACTTATCTACAACATTGGTCACTATCTTGCAATAATGGTCAGTATCCTATAACACTGATCACTATCCTACAACAGCGGTCACTATTCTGCAACATTGGTCACTAATCTACAGCATCGGTCACTATTCTGCAGCATTGGTCTCTAATCTACAACATTGGTCACTATTCTACAACATCGGCCAGTATCCTGCAACATTGGTCACTATACTTCAACATTGGTCACTTATCTACAACATTGGTCACTATCTTGCAATATTGGTCAGTATCCTATAACACTGATCACTATCCTACAACAGCGGTCACTATTCTGCAACATTGGTCACTAATCTACAACATCGGTCAGTATCCTGCAGCATTGGTCTCTAATCTACAACATTGGTCACTATTCTACAACATCGGTCAGTATCCTGCAACATTGGTCACTATACTTCAACCTTGGTCACTAATCTACAACACTGGTCGCTGTGGCCTACAGCATGAAGACTGGCCATGACAAACATGCAGACCTGATATATTACTTGCCACAACATAATGGATTACCTGTCCGCCTGAAATATTAGGAACCACGACATAACGGATTAGCTGTCCACCTGAAATATTAGGAACCACGACATGAAGGATTACCGATCTGCTCAAAACAATACTGGCCACGACGTGGATTACCAGTTCGCCTGAAACATTACTGGCTACGACATTATGGACAGTGATTGTTGCACAGTGATTGTCACACCCGTACTAGGGTCATACAAAATATGAACTTCTCTGATATCTATTTCCAGGAAAAGAAACAAAACGTCTAAGCTTGAAAGTCAGTCAAGCATAGAGAGCTCAGACAGGAAGGATGAAAAGTTGAAGAAGATCGTAATTAAGCGTGACACTGCCGCGAGTGGGGACAACAAAGAATGGCGAGTCATGTTGGTTGATATTTCCTATCCTTATACAAACCAGTGTGCGGCCGGTCACAGCATGATGTACAGTGGTGTTCCAGTGCTAAGTAGAACGTTGGTTCTGTTGATGACGTTGCGCCGTTTACGTTGCCACTGTTTCCATCTGGCTGTTTGGTTTGCATTACTATGATTGATGGTGACGACCATGTCCCTTTGTGTACTACATGGTCATGTTGTTTGGCAGTGTTATAATGTATTTTGCATGAAGTCTGTGATTACGTGGGAAGTGTTTGTAAAAATGTACAAATGTACCTTCGTTTCATGTCAGGTAGATGCTGGGGATTGTGGTTAATTTTATTGTTATGTTGATTTTTGAAAAAGGTCTTCTAGTATATAAAGGATTATATCAGTATTAAAGGATAAAGAAATAGCTGACGTAAGAGTATACAGTATATAGCTAAAAGTAGGAAAATTCCCAAACATTCTACTATCTGGACAGGTAGTTTTGTTGTCTCCATCAGACCAGGTTGTACTGTGTGTCTGTCTGGACAGTTAGTTTTGTTCTGAGTGTCTCCATCAGACCAGGTTGTACTGTTGTCTATCTGGACAGTTAGTTTTGTTGTGTCCATCAGACCAGGTTGTACTGTTGTCTATCTGGACAGGTAGTTTTGTTCTGAGTGTCTCCATTAGACCAGGTTGTACTGTTGTCTATCTGGACAGTTAGTTTTGTTCTGAGTGTCTCCATCAGACCAGGTTGTGCTGTTGTCTATCTGGACAGGTAGTTTTGTTCTGAGTGTCTCCATCAGACCAGGTTGTACTGTTGTCTATCTGGACAGGTAGTTTTGTTCTGAGTGTCTCCATCAGACCAGGTTGTACTGTTTGTCTGTCTGGACAGGTAGTTTTGTTGTCTCCATCAGACCAGGTTGTACTGTTTATCTGTCTGGACAGGTAGTTTTGTTGTCTCCATCAGACCAGGTTGTACTGTTTGTCTGTCTGGACAGGTAGTTTTGTTGTCTCCATCAGACCAGGTTGTACCGTTGTCTGTCTGGACAGGTAGTTTTGTTGTCTCCATCAGACCAGGTTGTACTGTTTGTCTGTCTGGACAGGTAGTTTTGTTGTCTCCATCAGACCAGGTTGTACTGTTTGTCTATCTGGACAGGTAGTTTTGTTGTCTCCATCAGACCAGGTTGTACTGTTGTCTGTCTGGACAGGTAGTTTTGTTGTCTCCATCAGACCAGGTTGTACTGTTGTCTGTCTGGACAGGTAGTTTTGTTGTCTCCATCAGACCAGGTTTGTACCGTTGTCTGTCTGGACAGGTAGTTTTGTTGTCTCCATCAGACCAGGTTGTACTGTTGTCTGTCTAGACAGGTAGTTTTGTTCTGAGTGTCTCCATCAGACCAGGTTGTACTGTGTGTCTGTCTGGACAGGTAGTTTTGTTCTGGGTGTCTCCATCAGACCAGGTTGTACTGTTGTCTGTCTGGACAGGTAGTTTTGTTGTCTCCATCAGACCAGGTTGTACTGTGTGTCTATCTGGACAGGTAGTTTTGTTCTGAGTGTCTCCATCAGACCAGGTTGTACCGTTGTCTGTCTGGACAGGTAGTTTTGTTGTCTCCATCAGACCAGGTTGTACCGTTGTCTGTCTGGACAGGTAGTTTTGTTGTCTCCATCAGACCAGGTTGTACCGTTGTCTGTCTGGACAGGTAGTTTTGTTGTCTCCATCAGACCAGGTTTGTACCGTTGTCTGTCTGGACAGGTAATTTTGTTGTCTCCATCAGACCAGGTTGTACTGTGTGTCTATCTGGACAGGTAGTTTTGTTCTGAGTGTCTCCATCAGACCAGGTTGTACTGTTGTCTGTCTGGACAGGTAGTTTTGTTGTCTCCATCAGACCAGGTTGTACTGTGTGTCTATCTGGACAGGTAGTTTTGTTCTGAGTGTCTCCATCAGAGCAGGTTGTACTGTTTGTCTGTCTGGACAGGTAGTTTTGTTCTGAGTGTCTCCATCAGACCAGGTTGTACTGTTGTCTGTCTGGACAGGTAGTTTTGTTGTCTCCATCAGAGCAGGTTGTACTGTTTGTCTGTCTGGACAGGTAGTTTTGTTGTCTCCATCAGACCAGGTTGTACTGTGTGTCTATCTGGACAGGTAGTTTTGTTCTGAGTGTCTCCATCAGACCAGGTTGTACTGTGTGTCTGTCTGGACAGGTAGTTTTGTTGTCTCCATCAGACCAGGTTGTACTGTTGTCTGTCTGAACAGGTAGTTTTGTTCTGAGTGTCTCCATCAGACCAGGTTGTACTGTTGTCTGTCTGGACAGGTAGTTTTGTTCTGAGTGTCTCCATCAGACCAGGTTGTACTGTTGTCTGTCTGGACAGGTAGTTTTGTTCTGAGTGTCTCCATCAGACCAGGTTGTACTGTGTGTCTGTCTGGACAGGTAGTTTTGTTCTGAGTGTCTCCATCAGACCAGGTTGTACTGTTTGTCTCTCTGGACAGGTAGTTTTGTTCTGAGTGTCTCCATCAGACCAGGTTGTACTGTTGTCTGTCTGGACAGGTAGTTTTGTTCTGAGTGTCTCCATCAGACCAGGTTGTACTGTGTGTCTATCTGGACAGGTAGTTTTGTTCTGAGTGTCTCCATCAGACCAGGTTGTACTGTTGTCTGTCTGGACAGGTAGTTTTGTTCTGAGTGTCTCCATCAGACCAGGTTGTACTGTTTGTCTATCTGGACAGGTAGTTTTGTTCTGAGTGTCTCCATCAGACCAGGTTGTACTGTTGTCTGTCTGGACAGGTAGTTTTGTTGTCTCCATCAGACCAGGTTGTACTGTGTGTCTGTCTAGACAGGTAGTTTTGTTGTCTCCATCAGACCAGGTTGTACTGTTGTCTGTCTAGACAGGTAGTTTTGTTGTCTCTATCAGACCAGGTTGTACTGTTGTCTGTCTGGACAGGTAGTTTTGTTGTCTCCATCAGACCAGGTTGTACTGTGTGTCTGTCTAGACAGGTAGTTTTGTTGTCTCCATCAGACCAGGTTGTACTGTGTGTCTGTCTAGACAGGTAGTTTTGTTGTCTCCATCAGAGCAGGTTGTACTGTGTGTCTGTCTGGACAGGTAGTTTTGTTGTCTCCATCAGAGCAGGTTGTACTGTGTGTCTGTCTGGACAGGTAGTTTTGTTGTCTCCATCAGACCAGGTTGTACTGTGTGTCTGTCTAGACAGGTAGTTTTGTTGTCTCCATCAGACCAGGTTGTACTGTTGTCTGTCTAGACAGGTAGTTTTGTTGTCTCTATCAGACCAGGTTGTACTGTTGTCTGTCTGGACAGGTAGTTTTGTTGTCTCCATCAGACCAGGTTGTACTGTGTGTCTGTCTAGACAGGTAGTTTTGTTGTCTCCATCAGACCAGGTTGTACTGTGTGTCTGTCTAGACAGGTAGTTTTGTTGTCTCCATCAGAGCAGGTTGTACTGTGTGTCTGTCTGGACAGGTAGTTTTGTTGTCTCCATCAGACCAGGTTGTACTGTGTGTCTGTCTAGACAGGTAGTTTTGTTGTCTCCATCAGACCAGGTTGTACTGTTGTCTGTCTAGACAGGTAGTTTTGTTGTCTCTATCAGACCAGGTTGTACTGTTGTCTGTCTGGACAGGTAGTTTTGTTATCTCCATCAGACCAGGTTGTACTGTGTGTCTGTCTGGACAGGTAGTTTTGTTGTCTCCATCAGAGCAGGTTGTACTGTGTGTCTGGCTGGACAGGTAGTTTTGTTGTCTCCATCAGACCAGGTTGTACTGTGTGTCTGTCTAGACAGGTAGTTTTGTTGTCTCCATCAGAGCAGGTTGTACTGTGTGTCTGGCTGGACAGGTAGTTTTGTTGTCTCCATCAGAGCAGGTTGTAATGTGTGTCTGTCTAGACAGGTAGTTTTGTTGTCTCCATCAGAGCAGGTTGTACTGTGTGTCTGTCTAGACAGGTAGTTTTGTTGTCTCCATCAGAGCAGGTTGTACTGTGTGTCTGGCTGGACAGGTAGTTTTGTTCTGAGTGTCTCCATCAGAGCAGGTTGTACTGTGTGTCTGTCTGGACAGTTAGTTTTGTTGTGTCCATCAGAGCAGGTTGTACTGTGTGTCTGTCTGGACAGGTAGTTTTGTTGTCTCCATCAGAGCAGGTTGTACTGTGTGTCTGGCTGGACAGGTAGTTTTGTTGTCTCCATCAGAGCAGGTTGTACTGTGTGTCTGTCTAGACAGGTAGTTTTGTTGTCTCCATCAGACCAGGTTGTACTGTTGTCTGTCTGGACAGGTAGTTTTGTTGTCTCCATCAGAGCAGGTTGTACTGTGTGTCTGTCTAGACAGGTAGTTTTGTTGTCTCCATCAGAGCAGGTTGTACTGTTGTCTGTCTGGACAGGTAGTTTTGTTGTCTCCATCAGAGCAGGTTGTACTGTGTGTCTGTCTGGACAGGTAGTTTTGTTGTCTCCATCAGAGCAGGTTGTACTGTGTGTCTGTCTAGACAGGTAGTTTTGTTGTCTCCATCAGAGCAGGTTGTACTGTGTGTCTGGCTGGACAGGTAGTTTTGTTCTGAGTGTCTCCATCAGAGCAGGTTGTACTGTTGTCTGTCTAGACAGGTAGTTTTGTTGTCTCCATCAGACCAGGTTGTACTGTGTGTCTGTCTAGACAGGTAGTTTTGTTGTCTCCATCAGAGCAGGTTGTAATGTGTGTCTGTCTGGACAGGTAGTTTTGTTGTCTCCGTCAGACCAGGTTGTACTGTAGGTCTGTCATACAACTTATTTTCCGAAGGAATTCTTAAGGACAAATTATGAGATTTCATTTTAGACTTCGGAATAAATATACCTTTATATATATATTACCATAAGTGGAGTACAAGTTGGGTATTCCATGTATATATTCATGACTGTGTGGCAGGACGTTGTTATGTCTAGCCTGCCTTTGGTATAACACATACATTATAATTCCACATTAATATCATTCTAGTCTTTCCTATTTGCTCTTATCTGTGACTCTGTCAACTCAAATGCTACTGGAAAACAAACAAGTAGAACAAAATAGTCCCTGAGTATAGATGATTAATAGTACAGATCGGGAACATGCAGGTAGTACTATTATTAGATCCCTGTGAAATCTACATTATAGATGTCGCTGCAATGAAATTGCATCACAATGCTTTATAGACCATTGTGACATCATTGGTTACCATGACGTCACAATCAAATGACATCACTAATGGCTCTGCTACTGAATCTGTTAGCAGTACCTTTTACACTTAAGACACTGCTAATTACTGTCTACAAACTAAGAAAGTTGGAAGAATGATGTTGGATGATAAATAAAATCTCCCCCTCGTGTCTTTTGATATCAAATATATCAACACTTGTTGATAAAAGTGGAAAAAACCCTCAGCAAGCCTCAGAGTTTTTCGACTTTTATCAAATCGTGTTGATAGATTTGATATCAAAAGACACGAGGGTGAGATTCTCTTTATTGCACCAGTCAGCATACATCCACTCAGGGTCTCAAGTACAGATTATGTACAGGGTTTACTTTTGTTTGTTTACCAGTTTGTATGTTCTTCCAAATTTGAATGCATGTTGAAGTTTGTTTTGTTTTGATGGTCTTTCATCTCAGTGTGCTCCTGTCTGTCCGATGTGTCCTCTGGTGGTGTTCATTGTCATGTCAGTCATCTCTGTTAGAATATCCTCGACTCCTGAACATGTAACATCACAAGAAACACTTTACCTGATGAGTGAGTGAGTGAGTGAGTGAGTGAGTGAGTGAGTGAGTGAGTTGGGTTTAACGCCGCTTTTAACAGTATTCCAGTTATATCGTGGCGTGTCAGCTCAATGTGGGAGGAAAGCCCGAAGTGATGCAGGTCTCAGACATTTACCACTTCGGTGAAACCCACGAGCACGGGTATGGTGCTGACAAACCTAGAAACATAATCGGGGCGAACCGGAATTCGAACCCACAATCATAGGTTTCTGGTGTACCCAAGGGATGCAACTCTGCACAGCGAATCGCGGCGCCTTAGATGACTGGGCCACCCGTGCCCCCCTGAATAAGATGAGGCAATTAACGTAATAAGCATTCATATCACATCAACATGATAAGCACGGAAGCTGAAATGCAACTTGTCTTCATTCACTAACTCACCCCATAACTCATCTTCATGGACATAATCGATACCTCACGGTCGTCTATGCTCTAAGTTAAGCTCAGTATGGGGTCGGCCAGCTGACTTGTAGAGATTTTTGTAGGATGGGAACTGGGCAATCGGATTGCTTGATTTTAAGACAAGTAGTGATATACTCAGTTGTGGGAGGAACATTGACAATGCTTTACAGGTGGATGATGGCGATACGAACTTACACATGTACATCTCTGGCTTGCATTATGTAGGGAGCAGTACAAAAATGTAATGCAAATATAAATATTAATTCCTTAGGTTTGGGGGAACAAGTCTAAAAGTTTCCATCCACTAAAATAACTTAAGGTTTTACAGTTCAAGTCAATAAACAGATCCAGTTGGTTTGGGTCATATTTTCACTCAAGTTCAAAGATCTTTCTTGGTGTGATGTTCTGCATTTTGATAAGATTCATGCAGTGGTACTATTTATGTATTTTTCTTTCTGAAAATCTCTGGGCGAATGTCATTATTTTTAAGATGAAGTTTTAGAGATGTTTGGAGATGTCTCAAATTCCATGGAATTCATTGTTTTATGTTCATTTTTAGCCATCATCCGACCTTTGTCTTGCTGCCTTATAGACTGCTGAATAGAATGTGAACAACTCACTCACTCACTCACTCACCTTCACATCTTCCTACCATTTCCTTCAGGTCCTTATGTCCTTATTATTAGTGGTAGTTCCATGTTGTTTTGTCCTTGTGATGTCTTTGTGATCATCTTCTTGAGGCAAGGGAGTTAACTAACTGTAAAACTCCAGTTTCCCCCTTTCTGGGTTCGATCATAGCGCCACCAGTGGCTATTACGAGTTGTGTCCCTTCAATGTCCCTCCTATTGACCAATCAGATTCCACCTCTCATAATACTAGCATTTGCTTCAAATGAAAAGGAGCAAGATCTTTATTGTAATAAAATGGGTCTTCCTTCACGAAGTGCATCAAATCATGTGAGCAACCTGATTAGAAACCTGAAAAGATTTGGAAAATATATGTTTATGCCAAGTTGGTGGTATGTATGCTTTACAAATCCTGCAATCAACCGAAATCTGCACGGCAGTTGACGAACTGGATGTCAATTTTGTTGCTTGATTTTGATTTGACTATGCATAAACTCGTTAGTCCAGCCAAAATGTAACTCCATAATTCCAACCTTGTTCAACAAGGGTCGAAACTGGACTTTTTAGTCGGTTAACCCCCTTGCCTAGCGAAGATGCTTTGTGATTTGATTGTTGAAAATATATAATTTATGATATTTATTCAGCACATGCTGGCATGCACATGAGACAATGAAAGGATTAAGTACAATATGATTTTATTAAAATGTATATATTTCCTATAAAGAAGGTGGCACTGTGGTTTAAGGTGTGCAGAGTTACGTCCCTTCTCAGTGGCAGTATCCACTGATGTTTTGATCAAATTTGGTTTTTATATGATCCTTTATCTGTCAACGCCATACCTGTGCATATTAGATTTACAAAAACAGATTAATTCCGGCTTGCTCCAGCTTTTACCTGTGAAGATCCAATATAAAACACTGTTCAAACTGTCTTGAAGCCAGCTCATTCAACCCTTTAATTAGGGAGAAGATAGTAACTGTTTCCTTGCATGTCAAAAAATAAGAAACAAATTTAATGAAAGCTTAAATATATTTTCAGACATGTAATTTGAACTATGATGATATTTTCAAATGTTGATCAACATCGGGTGTTTGGTGTGCCAGGTACGAGAAGAAGACGGCTGCCTGGGTGGACAGTATATCAACTGATCCGATCTCGACTGATTCCATCTCCGACCCCATCATGATTGACGATGAGGAAGAAGCTTCCGCTCCTGTGAACAAACCTGAGAAGAAGGAGCCCATGGATTTTGATGAGCTACCTGACCTTGACCTTCCTGTGGAGAAGAAGCCGGTGGTGAAGGAAGTTATGCCAGATAAACCTAAACCACGGCTCGCGAGGAAGTCCACGACTACAGCTCACTCAGGTATGTCTGCAGTGTAGAAAATTCCTTAAAATTTCAGTCAGACTAGCGGACTGGCAACTTTGCAAAGTTACCAGACCAGATTAAAAGTTGCCAGTCCAGAATTTTCTAGAATAATGACAAAAGTAAGAAAAGGGTAAACAAAAGAATGGTACTGTTTAATGTTAGTTCTCAGAAAAAAACAATAAACTAGTGGATTGTCAACTTAGTAACTTTAATTCATTGAAATTTTATTCATCAATAATGTGTTTAACATTTACTGTTAATTTACCTCTTGCATTGAATTAAAACTAGAATGCTTAGGTCATTTAGGGGATACAGCAATAGCTGACCATCGGGTATGCAACCTTTCAAAACTGACCGTCTGTCAGCAAAATAGACCATCTCGGACTGTCGGGCAGACAGTTATTGTGATCACTGATGTTTGGTGTCACGGAGGGAACCATTGCTTGACTCCAGCAATGTTTCAGGTGCTCCTGGCAATTTCCATTGGAAGTTTTCTCACTTATTGACCAGAGAGAGCCGGTTGTGGAGAGATTAGGGATGCAAGGAATACACTATGAGGCGAATACGATTCATATCACAAATATAGGGTAACGAATACAAATATTAATTCACAATTACAATAACAAGTCAGCAGTTTATGTATTATTTATTATATTCAGTGAAACAATAACATCATAACTTATTTGACATGGTTTGTTAATTATTAATTAATTATACATTTATATACTGCACGTATCCAGGTACTAGTATCTGCTCAAATGCGACAATGACCAGTGAAAACAATACTGTCAAATTAAATATTATTAGAGTGTTGTCGCTGAAAGAAATCTGTGCATATGATATGTTGTTACTGATATTTTTAGGTACAGGGTATGTAAATATACATGATAGCATATTCATAAATATTCGATTCTAGTGGCCATGAATACGAATTCAATTCATGAATGGTTACGGTTCGATTCACCGAATACGCGAGTGAATGGTAAAAGCCCTAGGAGAGATGCCAACCATCACAGTCCTGGCAGAATCATTTTGACTGTTCGAATCAAATTCTGCCAAAACAATTTATATGTCACTAATTTTGTCAAAAAACATCACCAGTAATAGTTATTTAACTCACTTCCAACATAGCACACATACAACCAATAAATAATCAAAACATAATCGCTTGTTTAATCTTGAGTTTAAATGTTAACATATTTTGAGGAGTTTGGGTGATGAATGCAATGATGATTTAAGTTATCAAATCATACAGAGAATGATGCTAATGATGATGACTAATTGTTGGAGGAATTTCCTACTTAGACTAGAGACCCCAATTAATCACCCAATTACCTCATTTTGGGATTATTACAAGGAAATATGATCTGCTTTTGCAAGTGGATCAGCTCCAGGTTTCAAAAGTGAATTTGGTGCTACTCCCGTATTTAATAATGTAAGGGGACTTCCTGTGACCTGCGTTTGATTGTACCCCGACGCACACTGTGGAGTGTTGCTCACAATATCGATCACTGAATTGTCTGGTCCAGGATTGTTTATTTCTGGCTGCCATCCTACAACTGCTACAGAATGCAGAGTTAAGCAACAACAAAAAACAAATAACTCACAACAGTTGTAGTACTAAGATCAGTTTTTACCTGTCTGGCCCCTGGGTCAATGATAATTTGTTATCTTTCTGCTTTGACTGTTGCAACTCTCATATTGTAAAATGTGGACTTGTTGTAGTTGTTAAGACGTCCACAACACTGTCAACCAGTTGAGTACCAAATCATAAAGATTTAGTGTCAAAATGTATATTTTCTCCTATTCAGCTTCCAGCAATTTCTTCCATTGGTTGGTTGGCTGTAAGAGTCGTCCACTATGATAACCATTCTTGTGCATGTTAGTGATAATTTGTGACTATGTTATAGAGTCCAAACACCCAGATGTTGATGAGAAAAAGATCATCACAGGTTTGTTGATCAGCAGTGAGTGCCCTTCACATGAATATCTTAGTAGATTCTTGTAGAAACATATTTCACCTAGTGTAGTGTTTTGTGTTTTAGAAGATTGTTTGTCCTGCTGGTGGCGCAATCAGTGGACTGTTTCCTTGTTTCTTAGTAGATGTCGGTTGTAGTTTCTCATCACTAATAACGGGGGCATGGGTGGCCCAGTCTAAAGGCGCCACATAATCTGCACGGCAGTCGCCAGTTTGTTTGATTTTGATAAGCTGTTGATTTCGTTATGAGATTTTGATTAGACTATGCATAAACCCGTTAGTCCAGCCAAAGTATTACTTCATTATTCCAGCCTAGTTCGGCAAAGGTGAAAACTGAACTTCTATAGTCAATTATCTCCCCTGCCTCAGGAGGACGAAAAATTTGACATCGCGAGTCTGGTGACATGGCACACTTGACTTCCAAGAATTTTAATAACTGCATATCATTGCAATGCTCTGAAGCCTTGTACTGTTTATAGATGGGGATTTCCATGATTAACACAAAACTTGTGAAGAACATAAGATATAGGCAATATGAACTTTGATTGTATTTCTTCTTAGAATATAAATTTTACATGCATTCTGCAAGTTTCAATGATTCATTGAAAGGACAGGGCATGGTATTGGCGTTTATCAGAGTTGGTACTCACCCTAGCCCGCTAACCTGAGGTTAGTCAAAATCCCTGCAGGCGATAACAAACTTCCCTATTTCCCCATTGTTTTAACATGACTCGGGCATCTTTACCCAGGCTAGTAAAGCTTTTGAGTTTAGTTCTAGCCCTGGTTCATGCTAAATAGGGGTGGTGGGGTAGCCTAGTGGTTAAAGTGTTCGCTCGTTATGCCGAAGACCCGGGTTCGATTCCCCACATGGGTACAATGTGTGGAGCCCATTTCTAGTGTCCCCCGCCGTGATATTGCTGGAATATTGCTTTAAGCGGTGCAAAAACATACTCACTCACTCACGCATGCTAAATATTTATTCACAACAGTGTGTAACATTTGAGATAACTATAAAATGTTTGTATGGAATACATTTCAAAATGACCTTTATTGCTTGTATCTTTTGCACATGTTGTATGTATAGAAATATTAGTTGTATGTGATGACCGTGTCACGTTTCCCCTTGCAACAGTTGTCTTTGTAGTGATGTTATTCCTTAATGATCGTTTCCCCATGCATGTGAATGTGTAGTGGCACGTGTAGATTGTAGATTACTGGTAGCTGGTTTGTGTGTGTTTGAGTCTTTGAGATACAACAGGTACAGGGTTTATTATATACTTCAGTGTGAAAGACTGAGTTCTCTGAAGTTGTGAAAAGTGATACACTAAACTACGTTTATAACAAACTGACAGATATAACTAACTGACGGATATAATGAACTGACAGAAATAACAAACTATTTCTTGGTCCCGTCAATTTTCGATGGATCGATGCTCATGATATTAATCACTGGATATCACAAGGTATGTAACAAATTAAAATTAGTGGACCCTTTGAATTCATTATAACCAAGGTTTACTGTATTTTTTTTGCAGTGAATATAACACTTGATATTTGACTGCAGTGACCATAACACTTGATATTTGACTGCAGTAAACATAACACTTGATATTTGACTGCAGTGACCATAACACTTGATATTTGACTGCATTGAACATAACACTTGATATTTAACTGCAGTGAACATAACACTTGATATTTAACTGCAGTAAACATAACACTTGATATTTGACTGCAGTGACCATAACACTTGATATTTGACTGCAGTGAACATAACACTTGATATTTAACTGCAGTGAACATAACACTTGATATTTGACTGCAGTGACCATAACACTTGATATTTGACTGCAGTAAACATAACACTTGATATTTGACTGCAGTGAACATAACACTTGATATTTGACTGCAGTGAACATAACACTTGATATTTGACTGCAGTGAACATAACACTTGATGTTTGACTGCAGTGAACATAACACTTGATATTTGACTGCAGTAAACATAACACTTGATGTTTGACTGCAGTGAACATAACACTTGATATTTAACTGCAGTGAACATAACACTTGATATTTAACTGCAGTGAACATAACACTTCATATTTGACTGCGGTGACAATAACACTTGATATTTGCCTGCAATGAACATAACACTTGATATTTAACTGCAGTGAACATAACACTTGATATTTGACTGCAGTGAACATAACACTTGATATTTGACTGCATTGAACATAACACTTGATATTTGACTGCATTGAACATAACACTTGATATTTGACTGCATTGAACATAACACTAGATATTTGACTGCATTGAACATAACACTTGATATTTGACTGCAGTGAACATAACACTTGATATTTGACTGCAGTGAACATAACACTTGATATTTGACTGCAGTGAACATAACACTTGATATTTGACTGCAGTGAACATAACACTTGATATTTGACTGCAGTGAACATAACACTTGATATTTGACTGCAGTGAACATAACACTTGATAATTCACTGCATTGAACATAACACTTGATATTTCACTGCAGTGAACATAACACTTGATATTTGACTGCGGTGACCATAACACTTGATATTTTACTGCAGTGAACATAACACTTGATATTTAACTGCAGTGAACATAACACTTGATATTTGACTGCAGTGAACATAACACTTGATATTTGACTGCAGTGAACATAACACTTGATAATTCACTGCATTGAACATAACACTTGATATTTCACTGCAGTGAACATAACACTTGATATTTGACTGCAGTGAACATAACACTTGATATTTGACTGCAGTGAACATAACACTTGATATTTGACTGCATTGAACATAACACTTGATATTTGACTGCAGTGAACATAACACTTGATATTTGACTGCAATGAACATAACACTTGATATTTAACTGCAGTGAACATAACACTTGATATTTGACTGCAATGAACATAACACTTGATATTTGACTGCAGTGAACATAACACTTGATATTTGACTGCAGTGAATATAACACTTGACATTTAACTGCGGTGACAATAACACTTGATATTTGACTGCAGTGAACATAACACTTGATATTTCACTGCATTGAACATAACACTTGATATTTGACTGCAGTGAACATAACACTTGATATTTGACTGCAGTGAACATAACACTTGATATTTGACTGCAGTGACCATAACACTTGATATTTGACTGCATTGAACATAACACTTGATATTTCACTGCAGTGAACATAACACTTGATATTTCACTGCATTGAACATAACACTTGATATTTGACTGCAGTGAACATAACACTTGATATTTGACTGCAATGAACATAACACTTGATATTTAACTGCAGTGAACATAACACTTGATATTTGACTGCAATGAACATAACACTTGATATTTGACTGCAGTGAACATAACACTTGATATTTGACTGCAGTGAATATAACACTTGACATTTAACTGCGGTGACAATAACACTTGATATTTGACTGCAGTGAACATAACACTTGATATTTCACTGCATTGAACATAACACTTGATATTTGACTGCAGTGAACATAACACTTGATATTTGACTGCAGTGAATATAACACTTGACATTTAACTGCGGTGACAATAACACTTGATATTTGACTGCATTGAACATAACACTTGATATTTGACTGCATTGAACATAACACTTGATATTTAACTGCAGTGAACATAACACTTGATATTTAACTGCAGTGAACATAACACTTGATATTTGACTGCAGTGACCATAACACTTGATATTTGACTGCATTGAACATAACACTTGATATTTAACTGCGGTGACAATAACACTTGATATTTGACTGCATTGAACATAACACTTGATATTTGACTGCAGTGAACATAACACTTGATATTTGACTGCAATGAACATAACACTTGATATTTGACTGCAGTGACCATAACACTTGATATTTGACTGCAGTGAACATAACACTTGATATTTGACTGCATTGAACATAAGACTTGATATTTGACTGCAGTGAACATAACACTTGATATTTGACTGCATTGAACATAACACTTGATGTTTGACTGCAGTGAACATAACACTTGATATTTAACTGCAGTGAACATAACACTTGATATTTGACTGCATTGAACATAACACTTGATATTTGACTGCATTGAACATAACACTTGATATTTGACTGCAGTGAACATAACACTTGATATTTGACTGCAGTAAACATAACACTTGATATTTGACTGCAGTGAACATAACACTTGATATTTGACTGCAGTGAATATAACACTTGATATTTGACTGCAGTGAACATAACACTTGATATCTGACTGCAGTGAACATAACACTTGATATTTGACTGCAGTGAACATAACACTTGATATTTGACTGCATTGAACATAACACTTGATATCTGACTGCAGTGAATATAACACTTGATGTTTAACTGCAGAGAACATAACACTTGATATTTGACTGCAATGAACATAACACTTGATATTTGACTGCAGTGACCATAACACTTGATATTTGACTGCAGTGAACATAACACTTGATATTTGACTGCAGTGAACATAACACTTGATATTTGACTGCAGTGAACATAACACTTGATATTTGACTGCATTGAACATAAGACTTGATATTTGACTGCAGTGAACATAACACTTGATATTTGACTGCAGTGAACATAACACTTGATATTTGACTGCATTGAACATAACACTTGATGTTTAACTGCAGAGAACATAACACTTGATATTTGACTGCAATGAACATAACACTTGATATTTGACTGCAGTGACCATAACACTTGATATTTGACTGCAGTGAACATAACACTTGATATTTGACTACATTGAACATAAGACTTGATATTTAACTGCAGTGAACATAAGACTTGATATTTGACTGCAATGAACATAACACTTGATATTTGACTGCAGTGACCATAACACTTGATATTTGACTGCAGTGAACATAACACTTGATATTTGACTGCATTGAACATAACACTTGATATTTGACTGCAGTGAACATAACACTTGATATTTGACTGCAGTGAACATAACACTTGATATTTGACTGCATTGAACATAACACTTGATGGCTAGCTGGTTTATGTGTTTTTGAGATAACAACAAGCAACAAGGTGTAGAGATTCTGCCCTGCAGGCTCTCATCAGGAACATGTGCCTTCCAGTTGACTTTATAATTAGTTGATACATGTCATCGAATCCCAATTGCGTGGATCGATACTCATGATATCAATCACCGGATTGTCTGGTCCAGACTTGATTATTGACAGACCGCCGTCTTATAGCTGGAATATTGCTGAGTGCAGCGTTAAACAACAATCAAACATACAAACAAACTTTGGACAGACCATTCTGTTTTCTTGTTTCATGGGGGAATAAATCTGTCCATAATGGTGCAAGTAGTAAGAAAAGACAAATACATGAATTGTTTTTAATATATGTACTGGTATATTGAGGGCTGTGTTTGATTTGATGTGAGGTTTAACATTTCTTCAGGGGTTTAATAACTACTAGCAATAATTCCACAGTTTATTTTAAGGAATTAACCTCAAATCAATACTGACATTTTTTTAAATTTATGTTCGCTCCCTGCATCTTTGCATGTTGATTCAGAATAACAGACATTCAAGTTGGTCTGACCTGATTATGAGCATACTGTGCCCAGCTGCAGTGCAAGGATATCAACTGACCACTTCATGAACCCATGACATCTGTAAATACTTGTGGAACAACGTAGGAGTTGTGTCCCTTGGGCATGCCAGAAACCTGAGATTGCAGCCCTCCAAGTTGGGACCAGTTTGGTTCCTAAATTACCATATTGGGACTCGTATTTACTGCTTGGTTGCCAGTTGGCTCCCATTAATAAAATTAGCTTGGCAACTAAAATGTTTGCCATATTGAAAGAAACTGGGGTACAACATTGCTTGTCTCTATCGACATCATGACTTCCCTATATAGGGTGTAGTGTGTCTAGCACTATAAATCGGCATCAGTTTGGACTAGTACAAGCAGCCACACAAAGTGCAATAACCTTGAACACGACATTAAACCCCACCTCCCACTTTAAGCTGACACACCATGATATAACTAGAATGCTGTTCAAAGCATCATTAAACACTTGATTCATATGCTTTTCTTCAGCCTGTAATACATAAATTTCGCATTTTTGTTACAAATCAAAATATTAACACAACCAACATGTGATTGCCAACATGGGTGCACTTCTCATTTCCCCTGGGGATTCTGGGTTTGAATCTGTCGCCAGCAAACCTTTGTTTGTGGACTGAATTCAGTTGGCGGTTTGGGATGGTGGTCATGCTATCAATCACTGGATTGTCATTGTATCTCGGTGGTATGGTATGATGCTCGTACTATCAATCACTGGATTGTCATTGTATCTTGGCTGGTTGTCATGTTATCAATCACTGGATTGTCTACTCCAGACTTGACTGTTTACAGTCTGCCGTCATATAGCTGGAATATTGCCGTGTGCAGCGTTTAAACCACAACAACCAAACAAACTTATTTTTTATGTATTTTTTCAGATACTAAAGAAGAAAGTGATTCAGAGACAGAACCTCAGAAGAATGAGAAACTTCTTGGTCGAGGTGAGTTGAGATGAGTGGGTGCTTAGTTCTTACCTTTCGATTGCCTCAACATCCTGCTTTGTAAAAAAATATTATGATGTTGGCACTCTGTAGCAAGCACTAGCCGAGATGTTTTGGGGTGTTGCTTACCGTCGATGTTAATGTGATCTGAAGTTTATTTGCTAGGCGTTAACAATCGTTTGTAGGGCTTTTATAGTTTTAATCTGTCATCATATATTACCCACTGCACTAGATGGACTTACCACTATAGCCAGCAATGACAAAACCCTATCTTGAGGAAAGACTGGACGTATTTAGTGACAACAGCATGGAAATGAAAATAGGATCAGTTTAGTTCAGATACAATATACATCATTAAGAAATCAGGGAAGTTGATTTTGTCGGATGGAACACTTGCATGACCATTAGCCCCCACCTCTAAATTTAATTAATTAAGATTTTTATCGCATTGTGACAACAATCTATAGACAATGGAAATTTCAAGTTTTTATTTGATGAAGGTTAATTCAATCTCTTTGATTTTAACAACTATCAGAGTAGCATTTAGTATTTTCAAAACAGCTATTGTAAAAACTCAGTCTGTATTTAGATTTCCTACTTTAAGTCAGTTAAGACTCGTATCAAGAATGTTTGTGAGTATTTCTTGAAATTATTGAGCCAAATTTTTCAGGAATTACATGTCATGGTGTTTGATCATGAGCCAGTGGGTTGTGTGTTAGCTTGCTGTTGACTGACTGTACCAGGTTCTAGTTGTAAACATTGATGCCTCTAGTACACAATGGATAAGGCACAGCTTGAGTTTTCTTCAGTGAAATAGAAACGAAGAATGGATGAAAGTAATTTGTGTAATCAACTGGTGTTTACGAGTAATTTGTTGAGTTGAAAACAGCTACTCCTTTACAAACAACTGATGCCGAGATATGGTCGGAGTGTCATAGTGTCAAGCCACACTTGTTATTCAGTTACCTTCTGCCACATCATCAATTTGAAACTAGTTCCTGAGAAACCAATCATAATGAAACAGCCACACTTATAACAATCTCATTCAAATAAGATCATTAACTTCAATACCTCTCTCCATGAAGATCTGACATAGGAGGTCATGTCAGGAGGACTTTCTAATCAGTCCACCAGTTTTGAGGCAACTAAATTGTCTGTACAAATAAGCAAAGCATTCACAGCAGCATATCTGATTTCTGTATCTAAAAATATTAACATGAATGGGCAGTTCTGATTGAAAATAATAAAGGCTATGCTATTATGTTGTTGTGGATATTTATTCAAGCTGTTGTTTCTGAGCATTATGGTATCCATACCCTACAGGTGTCAGCCATCAAAGATTATTGGTGTTCTGTGTAGGTTTTCTTTTGTTAAGATAAAATTTCCAAATTGAGAGTGACGAAAGATGTTTTGCTGTCGAAGTTTGATCAGGTTTCACCAGAGATGACCTAGGGGTTGTCAGATCTACAAACAGAGAGGTAGCGCATTGGAATAAAAAAATTTTTGGAATGAGATTTCATATTTTTTTATTGATATACTTGAAATAAGTTGTTTTTGATTTGTTTATTTCAGCCAGGAAAAGCACTGGTGGTTCTCGGTTTAAGAACTTGCCGAACCCTCGCGCTCAGATGGGCCGGAAGGGTGACGACAGTAAGACACGTGAGTCAGAGAGTACAACGCTTGCGGGTCAGTCAGATTTACATCCATCTCTCTCCTCCTTGTTACCTGGGATACACCTTCCGTTGTGGACTCTTCGCACTTGGAGCTCTTCGTCAACATAACACCTGTCTTGCCTCTCTAGTTGGTAGTGGCACTCCGCACTCCACAGTGCCTGGTGCTGCCAGTGCCGGGAGTGTTGTGAGGACGGCTATCTGTAGTTACTTAACTCTCTCGGGATTGGTCAACTTGTTGTTGTGAATGGTGACAGTTTGTGTGAAAGTCTAACAAGTTTATTGCTACTGTGGTTAACAGATGTTCAGATTATTTTGTTTTATGCCAGTTTGGCAAGTTTTGTTGAAATCTTTAAGTTTATATATAAAGTAGGCCCCCTCGGTATGTTCCCTCCTATCAGGGTTTACAATCTTGAGTAATCCTGAGGAGAAGTGGTTTGTCCAACTTATAAAGCCACTCATCACACGTGTGCGAAATACGCTTCAGTCGGAAAGCGCACGTAAAATCTCCTAGGTACCTAACCTAACCTAACAGATAATAAGAAAACATCAAGATACCTTATGGTGAAACAATACAGTGTGTCATGGTATAAAAGGAATTCGATCAAAGCGTGAGAGAATAAAACCACATGCAACATGGACCAACTGGATTTTTGACATGTAAAATTGAACAACTTTTCAACACCTGCCCCGTGGCCCAGTAGGAAAACAGTGGGTGGGTTACAAAACTAAACATGAGGTTGCAAGTTCGGTTCCCATAATTAATAATGAAAACTTCATTTCTTGTCTTCGATTTGAGAACATTGGACGTTTTAAACACCAAGTACAAATTTATTGGTATAGAATGGATTACATTCATTGTAAACCAAACTGCAAGGGATTACATTTAAACTAAATGTGCTCTCTGAGGGAATTCAACCATTTAAAAAAACCCTCGCAGGGTTACACAACACGAAAGAGGGTTTTAGGCAGTGTAGTGCACATGTTTACATGAAATTGATGAAGGGAGTTGTAAAGCCTGTCGGGACACACAGTAGCTCTTCTTTGTAAATATGGAGACCCCTGAATGTCTTGGGTGATTAACAACATGTTAACTGGTCAAACATCATACTTTGGTATTTCTATAATTCATGGCAAGGAGCTGTGGGTCGGCCTTGTGGTTGATGCTTGTACTCATGGGTACCCTGTGGTTAAAGCCTAGTGGTAAAAGCGTTGGCTTGCCACGCCGAAGACCCAGGTTCAATTCCCCACATGGGTACAATGTGTGAAGCCCATTTTCCAGTGTGCCCTGCCGTGATATTGGTCAAATATTGCTAAAAGCGTGGTCACTCACTACATTGTGAGAAGCTCTTGGTATTCACCACCTCCTGTGATATGGCTTAAATGTTGCTGAAAGTGTCTTCCACTCCTACTCACTCACTCTTAACCTGTTCAGAAACATTGCCCCAGCATCCCATTACTTGTCATAAAGCAGGGCTAGGCTGGATCAGGTGGTCAGTCTGTGCCAACATGGCTTGACCATTGCTCATGTGGTCAGTCTGTGGTTTACCTTGACCATTGCTCATGTGGTCAGTCTGTGGTTTACCTTGACCATTGCTCATGTGGTCAGTCTGTGCCAGCATGGCTTGACCATTGCTCATGTGGTCAGTCTGTGGTTTACCTTGACCATTGCTCATGTGGTCAGTCTGTGGTTTACCTGGTCCAGTCTTGATGACCTGCCACAGTGATGCAGGTCGAACAGCGCTGCCTGCATCCCCAGCTACTACAGTCACTGGGGTGGTCGGATCGCCTAGTGGTCAAAACGGTCGCTCATCACGCCAAAGACACGGGTTCGATTCCCCACATGGGTACAATGTTGAAGCCCATTTTCTGGTGTCCCCCACCGTGATATTGCTGGAATATTGCTTGAAGCGGCGTAAATCCATATTCACTCACTCACTACAGCCACTGCACGATTGTGAGACATCATAACAAATGTACACATTTGTATGCAAAGCTTCAGTCAAACTGGGTAGATATATTTTATTGAATAGGAAAACTTGAAAGGTAAACGATATAGTTATCATATCAGAGAGGTTGATGGAGTTACCCTGATTCTTTCATATCCATGTCGTACTAATGTTCATTGTGTCCTTAATGCTTTCTTCATCACTCATCCTTCATGTTAAAGGTGCAAAATCACATCTCCATGTTTTGATGAACTTCAGCGTCCACCCTAAGGGCTGCTCCAAAATGTCAGTACACATAAAAGGAGCTATCTAATCCACAGAGGGTGGTGGGAGGGGTGTTCACCCCCCATTTTGAAGCATACAGATCATCTAAGCTTACCAAAAAATGGATTATAACTAAATCATTTGGTGGTCTGTTCAAACCCTGTCTCAGGGATTTAGCATGGAGTTTGGGACAAAGATTTATTTTGCTAAAAGCTGGGAGTTTTCTCAGTATAGAGGGATTTTAATATTGCATTCAATGCAACAATGATTGTCTGGTCCAGATTCAATAATTGACAGACCGCCATCATATAGCTGGAATATTGCTGAGTGTGGCGTTAAACAAACAAACAAACGATGTATGCTGTGAGCTGTCTCCGTATGATGTTAATGGCAATGACAGTGTGTTTGTCATGTCAGAATATGACACAAAACATATTGAATAGACACATAATCTGATTTTGCACCTTTAATGTCAATGTTGTCATCACCTCCATCACCATCACAATCATTTCTGTCATCAAAGTTCACTCACCTATTTCAAGTCTCAGGGCATAAACTCATTGCTCAGGTGTAACAGCAATGTAGGTGTCCACAATGGATATCGTGTATAGCTCAGGTGTGACAGCAATGTAAGTGTCTACAATGGATATAGTTTATAGCTCAGGTGTAACAGCAGTGTAAGTGTCCACAATGGATATAGTTTATAGCTCAGGTGTAACAGCAGTGTAAGTGTCCACAATGTATATAGTTTATAGCTCAGGTGTGACAACAATGTAGGTGTCCACAATGGATATAGTTTAAAGCTCAGGTGTAACAGCAATGTAGGTGTCCACAATGGATATAGTTTATAGCTCAGGTGCAACAGCAATGTAGGTGTCCACAATGTATATAGTTTATAGCTCAGGTGTGACAACAATGTAGGTGTCCACAATGTATATAGTTTGTAGCTCAGGTGTAACAGCAATGTAGGTATCCACAATGTATATAGTTTGTAGCTCAGGTGTAACAGCAATGTAGGTATCCACAATGTATATAGTTTATAGTTCAGGTGTAACAGCAATGTAGGTATCCACAATGTATATAGTTTGTAGCTCAGGTGTAACAGCAATGTAGGTATCCACAATGTATATAGTTTATAGCTCAGGTATAACTGCAATGTAGGTGTCAACAATGGATATAGTTTATAGCTCAGGTATAACAGCAGTGTAGGTGTCAACAATGGATATAGTTTATAGCTCAGGTGTAACAGCAGTGTAGGTGTCCACAATGGATATAGTTTATAGCTCAGGTGTGACAGCAATGTAGGTGTCCACAATGGGTATAGTTTATAGCTCAGGTGTGTTAGCAATGTAGGTGTCCACAATGGGTATAGTTTATAGCTCAGGTGTGACAACAATGTAGGTGTCCACAATGAATATAGTTTATAGTTCAGGTGTAACAGCAGTGTAAGTGTCCATAATGGATATAGTTTATAGCTCAGGTGTGACAACAATGTAAGTGTCCATAATGGATATAGTTTATAGTTCAGGTGTAACAGCAGTGTACGTGTCCATAATGGATATAGTTTATAGCTCAGGTGTAACAGCAGTGTAGGTGTTCACAATGGATACAGTTTATAGCTCAGGTGCCACAACAATGTAGGTGTCCACAATCGATATAGTTTATAGCTCAGGTGTAACAGAAATGCAGGTGTCCACAATGGATATAGTTTATAGCTCAGGTGTAACAGCAGTGTAGGTGTCCACAATTGATATAAAGTAGACACAATTCAAGAAAACAACTTTTTTATTTGACATATATATGTTGAATTGTTTCCATCTTTAATAAGATATATATAACAAAGATTAAATAACTTACTTGAGTCAAAGTAAAATGGTGTTGTCAGCAAGACCATTGGTTGGGGCTTTGTATGTGAGTGAACTTGGATGACATTTTCTTTTTGAGTGTTGTGTTCTTTCATCTCATGATTCATTTCATTTCCTTCCAGCCATGTTGCCATCATGTCATGATTATAGGGTCTGTGAGGTGTGAGTCTGTGAGGGTCTGTGAGGGTCTGTGAGGTGTTTAGACCTTTAGCTCATCACAATGAATGTGTTTCCCTCAATGTGTGAGCCTGTTTCTGGTGTCTGACATGTCACAGAGATTGCTTATAGCGGTGTAAAACTCATCATCATCTTAATTGTGGACTCCAGAGACTCTTGCTTTTGTGTACCTATGACTTAAATAATACACTGTAGTTATATCTGACCTGTGAAGATCCGGGGGAGAATACGTCTCCAGCAAACCATACTTGTCCTAGCAGGCGATTATGCTTGTCGTAAGAGGTGACTAATGGGATCGGGTGGTCAGGCTCGCTGACTTGGTTGATGCATGTCATTGTATCCCAATTGCATGGATCGATGCTCATGATATCAATCACTGGATTGTCTTGTCCAGCCTTGATTATTACAGACCGCCATCATATAGCTGGACTATTGCTGAGTGTGGCATTAAACAACAAACAAACAAACAAAGTAATATCTTCTGTTTAAGTGAGCTTCATATTTTTATTATTGTTGCATATAAATTTGAACAAAATATGTAAAATCTTATGACTTCATTTTAAATGATTTGACATTATATGACATTGTATCACATTTTTCTTTGTTCATAAGATGAATGGAGACTGTGCAGCACTGGTCCATTCTAGCAAGGCGCTGTTTAGCACGTGGTGTGTTTTGTGTTTGGCAGGGGAGAGGAGGGAGGGTCAGGATCAGCGGCCTGGGACACGCTTCTACTTCCGTGACGGTCAGACCTGCTACATCATGGATGCCAAGTCCATGGGCAATATCGGCCGATACCTAAACGTATGTAGCTAAATGTTAGGTAGATCATCTCAGAGTGCGAGTGACCAAGGGGATAACTGGAAATAGCAGAGAAATAAGTGTTGTAATGATGTGACTCCAGCATCGAGAGAGCGACACAGCTGTAGTCACGACAGGATGATAGTAGTAACAGGTGATAGTATACGTGTAGTATTGACATGACTAATAGCTACTCACTGTAATAGCTGTATGAATAGTAAGGAAGAGAATTTATGATGTCAACTTCTTTATTATGAGGAACACGTTTCGGAGGATATGCTTACTCCTTCATTCGGTACTCGTCACTATATGGCCGAGATACTGCCGATGTGACGTTAAATTTTAACTCACTCACTCACCTTCATCCGGTAAATATTGACATCCATAAATTCTACTCCTTATGTGTAACACATCTAAATGCCAATCAAGACTTGTACATGACTAGTCGCGAGATAACAGTAGCAGCAACACAACTGTAGTATCTACATGATAACTTGTCAGTTGCATTTTAAAAGAGATATTTCAGGCTTGAAGTACAGGCTACTCTCGAGACATTGTATTGTGTATAGATTTGGCTCCACAGTCACCTGCTCTGTTTACAGCACAGCTGCAGTCCTAACGTGTTCGTACAGAATGTGTTTGTAGACACACAGGACCTCCGCTTCCCATGGGTGGCCTTCTTTGCTGGACAGTGAGTACACACCATCACTTTCACCGTCACTTACACCATCACTTCCACCCTCACTTACACCATCACTTACATCATCACTTGCACCATCACTTACACCCTCACTTACACGATCACTTGCACCATCACTTAGACCATCACTTACACCGTCACTTACACCATCACTTCCACCCTCACTTACACCATCACTTACATCATCACTTGTACTATCACTTACACCCTCACTTACACCATCACTTGCACCATCACTTAGACCATCACTTACACCATCACTTACACCATCACTTACACATCACTTAGACCGTCTCCTACACAGTCACTTACACCATCACTTACATCATCACTTGCACCCTCACTTACACCATCACTAACACTGTCAGTTACACCATCACTTACGCGATCACTTACACCATCACTAACACTGTCAGTTACACCATCACTTACGCCATCACTTACACCATCACTAACACTGTCAGTTACACCATTAATTACACTGTCACTTACACCGTCACTTACACCATCACTTACACCATCACTTACACCATCACTTACACATCACTTAGACCGTCACCTACACCGTCACTTACACCATCACTTGCACCCTCACTTACACCATCACTTACACCATCACTAACACTGTCAGTTACACCATCACTTACGTGATCACTTACACCATGACTAACACTGTCAGTTACACCATCACTTACGCCATCACTTACACCATCACTAACACTGTCAGTTACACCATTAATTACACCGTCACTTACATCATCACTAACACTCTCACTTACACCATCACTTACACCATCACTTACACCATCACTTACACACTCATGTGCTACAGGCACACTCTCATCAACACTTTGTGATGGTGACTATTATTCACACCTTATGAAGAAAGATAAAAACATGTCTGGCACTTGGTGTTAAGAGGCTAAAACAAGGACTGGTCAACTCGGTGTCAGTATATGTCTGACTGGGGTGTTCATGTTAAGCTGCGGCAAGGTATCTCAGTGGGCTAGGATTGTAAAACCAGGAATGGTCTGGACTAGTATAAGGAGCCACACACACATGCATGCTAGGGTAAAAAAATGAAGTCAACCCATTCTTCTGACAACAGTTTGTGGTGTGGTGACATGTGGCTGCTTGTTGCAGGTATATCCGTGCGGGGACGGAGCTCACCTGGGACTACAACTATGAAGTGGGGAGCGTTCCGGACAAGGTCCTGTACTGCTACTGTGGCTCCTCCCAGTGTCGCGGCAGGCTGCTCTAGAAGCATGGTGTCCTCAAGCAGGCTGCTCTAGAAGCATGGTGTCCTCAAGCAGGCTGCTCTAGAAGCATGGTGTCCTCAAGCAGGTTGTTGAAGTGTAGGAAGAGGATGCACTTTGTATGTAGCATCTGGTGAACACAACATCATTGTGAACTGTTCATTGGTCTCATGAGTGATTTTGGAAAAAAGACACACTTGGTGTGTCAGCATCTGGTACATTGTGAACAGTTCATTGGTCTCATGATGGATGTTGGGAAAAAAGACACACTTGGTGTGTCAGCATCTGGTACATTGTGAACAGTTCATTGGTCTCATGATGGATGTTGGAAAAAAGACACACTTGGTGTGTCAGCATCTGGTACATTGTGAACAGTTCATTGGTCTCATGATGGATGTTGGAAAAAAGACACACTTGGTGTGTCAGCATCTGGTACATTGTGAACAGTTCATTGGTCTCATGATGGATGTTGGAAAAAAGACACACTTGGTGTGTCAGCATCTGGTGCATTGTGAACAGTTCAATGGTGTCATGAGTGATGTAGAGTTACCAACTCAGTTGTTGTGTCATCACCCAGGTGCAGCTGGTTCCATCTTGTGCTGTATCTGGTACACAGTCACAATAATTCATTGTTGTCATAAGTGCTATAGAAACATAAAACTGAAGAAGACACTTCAAGCCTGAACAGATCCATCAAACCATTGTTATCACGAGTTGCCATTACGGCAAGGAGTGGATCGATTCACAGACTGGGTACACGTCAAATGGACAACATGTCTCACCTCCTGAAGCATTTTGGCAAGGCTTCATCCAGGACAGTGTGGTGGTTGTTCAGCCTGTAGTATGTACTCTACAGAGTACAGAGAATCACACACAGGAGTATATGTGGAAGAGGGGTGAGGTGCATACCTCGTCATACTTTCATGTCTTTACATTGCCATACATTTCGATATATCAAATAAATCATGAAGAGTTTAGAAGTAAGATGTTTGTGACTATTAATATCACAATGTGCGATGATGAGATGATGGCTCCTTACAGTGATTGTATAGCTTCCTCCAGAGCCAACAGTAACATGGGAAGATGCCAAACAATTTGGTAGAGTTTCCTTGGCTATTTGTGTAGAGCTTGTGTTTTCCAGCTACCTCAGATCATCAGTGAAACATTTACCCGAAAAATACTGTAGAACACCTTGAGATGAAGACTGTGGTTCTAGATTTGGCATCAGAATTCTTTGACAGGCTACCATCCTCCCAGCATATACTTCCAGTGTCTGTCCATTCTGCCATTGTACTGTTACTTTGTTCCTTGAAATAGGAACTCAAAATACATTCAATATGACTTCAGGGAAGCAATGTCCAAAAATAATACCTTGTTGAAGTGTGTGCCTTTTGCTGTTTATGGACGTTTACTGCTTTCATTTTCATGGAAACAATTTGATTCCAAGTCTTCTGAAACAGTTACCCGGTAACATTTAGTGCTACTCAACTAAGCATTCACACATTTTAGTGTCCCTTTTGGTGATAGGGTTCTTTTAAAACTATTATTGTTATCATTTCGCTGATAAACAGACTGATAGTCTTATCCTGTTGTAATATACAACAACATTAAGATCAGATCTTTTCCTGGTTACCATACCTCCAAGGTGTAGTATTGGAGTAAAAGATCTGATTTTAATGTGATTGGTTCAGGAGCATGTGTAAAAAAATGTTAATTTCCTCGTGAAACTTTTCAAGGAAACAGGGATGTGCCCTTTTCAGAAGACGAAGTTCTTTAGGTGCAGATATTATCTTTTGAAAGGAGGACACTGTAGGTAAGGCCAAGGATGTCAGACAAGGTGTATAAAATTCAGTTTTCTGGGAGGTAGAGTTCTTATGTTGATACCAAGGGCAAGGCGAATACATCCTGCATCAGAAGTTGTCATTTTCTCAATCTGCTGATCGCCTTGCCCACATGTGTGATGTGTGTCACATGTCTAGTGGTTAGCATGAAGGTAGCTATGGTCCATAAGCTTCTACTTGTAGAGGTGCTTGTTGTAGTAACATCATTTAAGTTACGATTCGCTTAAGAATCGGTCAAACTTTGTGCCATGATATTTGGGGTTGGGGTTGGGTTTGGGGCCAGTTCGGGTGACCAGACTTGCAGACTTGTTTGATTTGATACATGATATCAATCACAGGATTGTCTGGTCTTGATTAAAGTATTTTCAAGCTGACCTCATGTACATGAAATATTGCTGATTACGAAGTTATAAAACAGGATGTTTAAACTGTATGGTTGTATATATACACGTCCCCCAAATGTACCCTCACTGGGGGAGTGTGATGAGACTACTTTAGATATTTGTATTTAGATATACGTGTGTGTATATCAGAGGCAACATTAAAGAGGGCATTGCTTGATTTGAAACAGGCAACTGAATTTATGGCCATGTTTTGTGACTTACTCATGATCTGTTGTGTATAAAGCAGCTGTCTTGTAGATGAACCAACCTCATGTTACAGTGCTTGTATATTGCGGCGGATCGTTTTAATGGCATTCATCTGGGGCCCCATTCATCATTGTGACGTTAGGTCACAGACTTACAACAATTGTAGTGCTAAGGACGTTGTAGGACGTCATTTCAGGAAAGTGTTTTTGATGATCAGGACATCGCATTGTTTCAATGAAAGTAATTGCAGTAGTAAAATGTCATGTTTCAAGGCTGTTGAACCGACACTGTCATGCTTGGATAATGTCCCGAGACACGTATAAACTGTATTTCCCCTTATAAAGGCTGGATAAGAACTAAAGTGTAAGAAGGTGACCATCGAGCACTTATTCCAAGCGCTGCTTATACCACCACGAAGCTTCCATTAGTGTGCCATTTGGTGTCCCATGTCACAACTGGTAGTTATAACACTGGTGTGTACTGTAAGAGAATTCATTGTTACGTATTTAGTCCCCGTGTTACTTAAGGATTTCCAGTCTTTGGTTATCACTCGATGGATTCCTTTAAGGAAATGGAGGCGTTCGGGTAGCCTAGTAGTTAAAGCGTTTGCTTGTCACGCCAAAGACCCAGGTTTGGTTCCTGACATCTGTACAATGTGTGAAGTCAATTTCTGGTGTACCCTGCCGTGATATTGCTGAAATTTTGCTGAAAGCGGCGTAAAACCATACTCGCTCACTTTGAGGAAATGGCTTCTGTACACATCATACAGTTGTATGGGAAAGGTCAAGATGAATTGTGTGATAGGCATTACTTAGAAGTTGACGGATGACAAAGTAGACACAATTTATGGTTAACATCTTTAATACTGTAAAGGCAACGATTCGGTATAGATCCTCATACCGTTGTCAAGCAAGACTGAATGAAGAACATTGTACAGAATATAGTACGCCACCTACTACTGTATATATATTCTGTACAATGTTCCACATTCAGACTTGCTTGACAACGGTATAAGGATCTATACCGTCGCCTTTACAGTATTAAAGAAGTTGTGTCTACAAGGTCAAGATGGTACGGTACTTGAGTGTGAAGAGCATGAATCTCCAAAAGATGTCAGGACTTAATAATCGGGTTCATTTCTCGAACACACTATTACCAGTTCACCTGGTTAGAACACATAGGGTTAGTCTGTTAGTCTTTGGTTTGTCTCTGATTGTGTCTTCGAGCTGGCTATTGATGCCATCACAAAGTTTTGACCATGAATAAAACCCACTGTTGACTGTTGTTACTGCGGCTGTTCGGTGTGTAAGAGAGTATTTTTCTATGAATGTGATCATTATCAGACTGTGTGATCTGTCATTTTCATATTGTCATCGGTATCACAATAAATGTCATTGAACATTTGATGTTTTTCTGTGTTAAACACTCACTTGTGGAACAGAGTCCAGTGCTCTAAGGTGGCGCAAGTTACTGTGAAGAGTTGCGCCCCTTAGATCCTTGTTGATTTTAAACCTGCCTCTTGTTATTCTGACACTCCATACACATACCTGAAAAATAATTAAGCCTCTCTTACTGCGTATTACAATATAAAATGACCTAGCAGAGGGTCCAGTTAACATGTGAAGAAAAAGAAGGGGGCCAAGTTAACATGTAAGGAAAAAAGAAAAAGGGGGCCAAGTTAACAAGTAAGGAAAAAGACGGGGGCCAAGTTAACAAGTAAAGAAAAAGAAGGGGCCAAGTTAACAAGTAAGGAAAACGACGAGGGCCAAGTTAACAAGTAAGGAAAACGACGGGGGCCAAGTTAACAAGTAAGGAAAAAGACGGGGGCCAAGTTAACAAGTAAGGAAAACGACGGGGGCCAAGTTAACAAGTAAGGAAAAAGACGGGGGCCAAGTTAACAAGTAAGGAAAACGACGGGGTCCAAGTTAACAAGTAAGGAAAAAGACGGGGGCCAAGTTAACAAGTAAGGAAAACGACGGGGTCCAAGTTAACAAGTAAGGAAAAAGACGGGGGCCAAGTTAACTAGTAAGGAAAAAGACGGGGGCCAAGTTAACAAGTAAGGAAAAAGACGGGGGCCAAGTTAACAATTTAGGAAAAAGACGGGGGCCAAGTTAACAAGTAAGGAAAAAGACGGGGTCCAAGTTAACAAGTAAGGAAAAAGATGGGGGCCAAGTTAACAAGTAAGGAAAACGACGGGGTCCAAGTTAACAAGTAAGGAAAAAGACGGGGGCCAAGTTAACAAGTAAGGAAAAAGACGGGCCAAATTAACAAGTAAGGAAAAAGAAGGGGGCCAAGTTAACAAGTAAGGAAAAAGACGGGGGGCAAGTTAACAAGTAAGGAAAAAGACGGGGGCCAAGTTAACAAGTAAGGAAAAAGACGGGGGCCAAGTTAACATGTAAGGAAAAAGATGGGGGCCAGTTAACATGTAAGGGAAAAAAAAGACAGGGCACAATCATGTAAGGTAAAAACGAAGGGAAACTGTTTACGTGTTAGGGAAAACAGAAACAGAGGGCACCCAGTTCACACGTAAGGTAAAAAGGGTCCAGTTAACATTTAAGGAAGAAAAGAAAAACGGGGCTCACTTAACATGTTAGTTACAAAGGGGCCTAGTTATGTAAATAAGAAAGAAGGGGCCCATTTAACATGTAGGGGGAAAAAAGGGTTTCAATTTACATGGAAGAAAAGAAAGAAGAGGGTCATGTTAACATGTAGGAAAAAAGAACGGGCCAAGTTAACATGTAAGGTAAAAATAAAAAAGGGCCCAGTTAACGTAAGGAAAAAGGAAACAGAATGTAAAGAAAAAAGGGGGTCCAGTTAACATGTAAGGATTTAAAGGGGTCCAGTAAACACGAAAGGGAAAAAGGGGGTCCAGTTGACGTGAGGAAAAAAGGGGGTCCAGTTAACATGTAAAGAAAAAAAGGGGGTCCAGTTAACATGTAAAGAAAAAAAGGGGGTCCAGTTAACATGTACAGAAAAAAGGGGGTCCAGTTAACATGTAAAGAAAAAAAGGGGGTCCAGTTAACATGTAAAGAAAAAAAGGGGGTCCAGTTAACATGTACAGAAAAAAAGGGGGTCCAGTTAACATGTAAAGAAAAAAAGGGGGTCCAGTTAACATGTAAAGAAAAAAAGAAGGGCTGCGCACCCCTCTGTATCCACCAGTGTATCCTGTATTTATTTTCATTTGTTACACATTTGTTTTTTATTTACAAGGTGATATACTCCATATTGCAATACAGAAACTGAAAACTTCTTATGAAATAACATAGATGTACTCCATTGCAATAGTTACATTACACTTTTGCCAGTGATGCTGGAGTGGCTTGGTCCTACTGGCGTAGAAGGCTTCCTCCTCAGTGATGGAAAAGGCCTTCCACAGCCGAAATAACGTCATCATCATTTGCATAATGCTGGCAAGACAGTTCTTTCTTCAAAGAGGTGGAAATATGATGATGCCACATCTGGTGATGATGGAACATGTTCAATGAAGTCATCCAGTCATGCATTGCCGACTTGAGCTGATGTGCACTGTCCTGGGGTAACAACACATCGTTTGTGAGTTTTCCACGAGGCTTAGCCTTGATTTTCTCCCACAGTTGCCGAATCAGATTAACATAGTATTGACCATTAACGGTCTGACCATTCGGGAGGTAGTTCACCACTTTGGAATCCCTGAAAACCGAATCCAACTGACTTTGCCTTGTTCGGAACAGGAAGCTGACACGCCGTGAGATGACTGAAGCACTGTTAAAATTCGGCTTCGGCTAAAATTCACTAAAATCACCCACTCACTGTATCGACAGTAACATTGGATAGGTCACTTGAGCAGTATAAAACAACAAAAGCTCCAGTGCGCGAAATACGCATATGTCGGAAAGCGCACGTTAAATTCCTAATTTAAGTAAGTAAGACTAGCTCCAGCACATACACAACTACTAACTTTCACCTTTTTCAGTCACCAACAGCACAAGCGTCTTGCTTTGTTTTCCTTCCCAGCTTCTGTATTATGTAAGTAAAAGGTTTCTTCTGTTTTTAGCTGACTTTGCTAAATTAGTTGGTCACTTACGCTTGAAAGAAATCAGTGTTTCCTATGATTGCATTCAAATCAGCGGATGATATGTTTTCTGTGCTCAGGATCTCTATAAGAATATGGCAATCGATGTTACGATGTCGGTGATCTGCCAGCGCTAACATAGTTGCCAGCTCATTGCCTAACAATGAGTTCAGAAACAACTAGCGTATGTGCAAATAAGGTCAGCTGTCAACTCACACACCAGTGGCCTGTTAAGTGTTTGCTGTCTTAACCGGAGCTTTGCCCGCTACTACACTAGTTACAAAAGAAACCCGAAAACATGAAAGTTGTGGAACCGAGGCGAGCGGGGAAAAAACAACAACAAAAACCAGCGAGCGAACCTGCACGTTTGCTGTTTCATTCCCTTGGCCCTCAGTCTCAAAGGTTGTTTGGACAATGAATATGCATGACATCCGCTAAATGTCTTGTGCATGACGATACACGTGAGCAGAAAGGGAATTCCCTTTGCTGTAATATTGGGATTCCCCGACATGCCGTAGTAATAAAAGTAGTGCGCCTCGGTGGGCGTGGCTTAATTTTTTACATTCATTGGGAAATGAATGCAATAACATGTGACCAATTCAGCTAATCAGAATGCAGGAATTGCAATGAACCCAAGGGAAATTTAATTATAAAGAAATGAAACCGAATTGTTTCAGACAGCTGACATGTGATTGGCTCCTGAACCAAAGCATCAGTGGTCGTTCAGGTTCTCCAGACGCGAGCTTCTTTTCGGACTCCACAGATCGTGACGTAGAGTTGTCTGGTGCTTGTTTCGGAGTAAAACATATGATTTTCATTACATTACAGGATACCCCGAATGATTGGTCCAACCAACGTTGATTTGGTGCTCCAGCTGTAAATGTTTGGAAACAAATAATTTGTTCCAAAACAAACTGAAACAAAATAGTTTATCCTCAGGCAAACAACTTTTATGGAAGTTGTGTGAGTTGCTGCCGATGGGACGGATCAAGCTCAACGTTTTCGCGGGCGCCTGTGTCGTCGCTGGTTTTTTGTGGTCCGCTCATATGGTTTTCACCGCTGTTTTATCTTTTACTCCCAGTTGAGTCTGTTCCGGTCGACAGTCGGGACTGGTTGTTCTCAGGTGTTGACGTTTTGTATTCACATCCCGGATGTCCTGAAAAAATGTGTTGAAAATGAAAATGCGGCTCCAGCTATCATACAGAAAAACATGTGTCATATGTAGTGAAAAAAACTAACGAACATGCCACCACTTATTGCGGCTGTTGACGCACTGCAGGCAGACGGTGTATACACCTAATTTCTAGTCGCTTCCACACATGGGAAACGTTGAAAATTAAAATGTTATTGACCTTATAACATATCGTACATCAGATATATCCAACCTATTATCGCCTCCGTAACTTAGACAAGGTTGCTGCGAAGTAAAGCCACATTCAACAGAATGGAGAAAAAACGAAGTTTTGTAAAGTTTGGAATACGGTTAAGTGTGAAACGATTTAATCAGACAATCGTTCCGAATTGTTTGGGGATTGCGTTCAGGGTATTATCCCCTGTTTGATAAATACTTCTACAGGACGTGTTTAGGTGTTACGACTGCATTAGAGAACACTTGAAAGGACAGAGGCTCAGACGAAAAGAACCAGCGTTGATGTGGGCGTTGAAGATGAACGTCTGATTGTCGTCTCCCTGCATGGAAGATCTCTGGGCACTGTAGGTCAACATGCAACATTCACACATCCTCGGTGTTACAGTGTATAACATGTATATGTCCATTGTATTATGATACATATCCTAGACCCAGTGACTCCTGAAACTTCGTGTCGGACGTGGTGGCGTAGTTTCTGAAGTGACGCCTCCGTTTTCTATCAAACACGTTCTCAGAATTTCTATCGTTTATGATGGGACAGCTATTTTTAGAATCGTGGCATTCGAATAAACTGCCTACCTTCCTTCACACACATACACACACAGACACTCGCACATACAGACACACACTCTCTCTCTCTCAAGTACACACACACACACACACACCACACGCACACATACACACACATACGCACACACATACGTACACACGCGTTCACACATACACACACGTGTATACACACTTTCTATCTCACGCACACACACACACCACACACACACACCAAACACACACACACGCACGCACACACCACACACACACAGCAAACACGCACACACACACACACCCACACACTAACACACACACACGCACACAGACTAACACACGCGCGCACACACACACACACACACACTCACAAACACTAACACACACACAGAAACACATGCACACACACACACGCACACACACACATAGCACGTCATGTAT